TAAATGCAGCACATTCAAACAAACAAGGACAGATCCTGCCCCGTCCTCGCTTGATTTCGCCCCATTTGAGTATAATCCCCTCGGATTGCGGTCTGCCCGCAACTGAGTCACTCGTGCCCTGACCTCTCTGCATGGACACATTATCGCTTCCCAGCTGAGCTGAGATTATCTGGAAAGAGTTGAGGCCTCCCATCGGTCGTGTGTGCCTGGAGACTACGATGATAACGGCTGTGTAATGAACCGCATGCAGACGTTAAGAGATTAAAAACACGCAAATTGGGGGTGGAATTCAGATATGATAATTGGACATCTTAGGCATGCCGTTCCAACAAATTAAATTTTATGATAAACGGCTGATAGTTTTTGGATATCTGTTGTATTGTCACACAATATAAGATAGTGAACGGATAACACATTTGAAGCTGGTGTGTCCTTTACGGCCGATAGCATTTCACATCCGATCCGCATATTGTGAGGGCATCCTATAATGAAAAGTACATCAAATTAATAGACGATATCAGGACACGGAGTATGAAGCAATAAACGAACACGCGTTACTATTCTGCAATATTTGGAACAAATATGAGAGTACAACAGACTTTTGCCGCAGAAGTTCAGTAAAACTAGTAAAAAACTGCAGTCAAAATTTCACTGCAACAAAACCAGAAAGAATAGGTGTTATGTTATCAAAACACCAAACTGAAACCTTTTACAAGGAATCATGTCTGCATTAACCACAATACTTGTGGTCAGAATGCAAACAAAAAACATACTCTGATCATATAATGCATTGTCTTGGAAACTGATTGGTCCGCACCAGAGACAGCTTTCTTTTGAGCCTCGTCTCTAACGGTGTTAGACCAGAGGACGCCAAAAGGCGAACAGCACAAAGACAATGCCACTATCAGAGTAATGAGAGCTCGGGGTGAGCATCTACATCATGGGACCTCCTTTTGCCAGTACTTTACTCAAATTATATTAAGACCATGCAACTGCTAGCATCTGCGAGCCTACTGTTCTTACGGTGCGTTTAAAGATTGTCAACAGCATAATCACCACGTATGTCGCCTTGTTAGAGGGAGTAAACGTTTTTTGGTTTGGACATGTTTGTTTTGTTGTAGTACGGAGTTAGACTGATGACCTTAATCTAAGTTTTCTTGTGGTTGTTGTTGTTGTTTGACTTGCATCCCACTGGGATTTTTTTGCACACAGGGTTGGTGTACGGTGCTTTTTCAGGAATATTTTGCTGTTTTTTTCATGGATTTTCTGTTTGCACAGTCACACATAGTCACTTTAAGATGTTTTCTTGTTCGTGTTTTTGTTTGTTGTGGTTGCACCCGATTCAAGAGCCGAATGGCTCACAGGGCTATACCAAATAAATAAACTGAAAACTAAATAAACTGAAACTGAGTCAAATGCAGACTGAAATATACCATGATTTGTGTCCATTATTTTGCGGCCGTCTCTTAGCCATACGTAAACATGGCAGGGGTGTCTGGACACCGAACATCAACAGTGGCTATCTTCCGATATTATTAAGCCACTGGAGCTATGCACTTTTAAATCTAGATTGAAAACTAATTTATTTAGAACTACTTTTTTCTGTTTAGTTTGTTGTCGTTCCCCCGTACCTCCGATTCGCATAGTTGGCTACGTACGGTGCGGAAGTTCAACATACATACATGCATGCATGAGGACAGATGGCAAATCCTCAGTTCTTGAAGCATTTGCCTTCTTCAGCCTCGATCAATTCTACATGTTGTCACCAGGTTCAAATTGTCAAATTCGCCAGTAGCACTGTGGAGCAAGACCAATCTCAGAATCTTTATTTATGCTGGAGGAATCCGATGAGTTCGAAAGCTCTTTTTTCACAGATGCCCAGTAGACATCTCTCCAGGGGTTGACTGCAAGGCTGCAGCGGGCTCTGTCCCGTGATAGTGATGGGTCTGTGAGCACACGGCAGGTCGTGGTGAGCCCCGTCTACAGCACCTGCCGGTCACAAGAACAATGTTTCAGTCTTGCGCGTTAGGTGTGGAAAAAAAAGCAAATTACGCACGGACCACTGCCGTTGAATATTAACTAAAAGTGATATCACGTTACATGGGATGGAGGCTGCCTGCGATGTATCAAAGAGTTACATTTTTGCTGAATGCTTGAGCAGTGTGCATGAAGTATATTTAGAATGTGTTTCAGCTCGCCAATGCAATTCGCGAGGATAACGATGCGTTTATAGCGTGATCATTTCTGTTATTTGCTTATCGTGATTGAGACTGTAAAAAACCGTGCCTTGCACAAATAATGTACGGCAATTTTAGTACTAGTTATTTCAATTGGAAATATATCAGTACATTTTGAAACAAACTGGATGGTTTATTTAAAATGTACGATTATAGGCTTGCGAACAAAACAGGAAAGACTGTGGTGCGAACACAAATATATAACCGGTACTTACAACCAATTGACGAATGAGACTGCAATAAAAATATATCTATGCGACCCTCACATTATACCTACTTTTAAAACACAACCTTGAAGCAGTAACAATGCATAATAGGTGAACATTTATTAAAATACATATTTTTAAAATGTTGTTGTGAATTAAATTAAAATATCAACGATACAGAATGCACATTCTTTAATACTGTTATATTTTTTGTAGATAGTAACGTTCATCTTTCTGTCAATTCACTGCGGGATGAAGGCCTCCCCACACCGTGTGAGTAATGGGGATTGTTTTGACCATACTTCACCATGCTGACACAATGCGGGTTAGTGAAGAGAAAGGCCCAATATTGATTCACATACCACTCACCACTGATACTAGCCATGACTCGGAATCAAACTCATTTCTAAGTTCATAACACAGTGTGTTAAATGCTGTCGCACCGCTCACCTCCACTGCACATTTTAATTTCCCATATGTGTCAATAGCTCAAACTTTTATTTCAATGAATGTTTATAATGGATTACAAGTATTTTTTCACATTATTTTGTCCAACAGGCTTGTGTTGACTTCTCAACATAAGGCCAAGCTAAAGCGGTTGGTAAGTCACGTAATATAATTTTAAGCACCAATTCACTTTATCTCATCTATCTGCAGATGCTGGCTGTGAATATGTTCAAGTATGATTTGTACAGTCAGACCAGAGCTTTATAGCCAATAACTGTTAATGATATTCCTCTGGACATGCGTCCGCATGTTGTTCCTGTGATCGAATATCGTGAGGTGTTAACCGTTGTTTACACTGGATTACACTGTTGTGCTTATATTTTTTGTTTCATGAAATGTTTATCTGGCAATTCCCTATATCTTTACATTTGGAAGACTGAAGATAGTGCTTGCACACTGTGGTTTCATGTTTCCATTCCACTGTTGGTGTCAGGTAATAAACAGCTTGCTTGATAATGGCTATTTCCCGTAGAAGGGACCCAGCCAGTATTGTGTTACTGCAATCATGGGAAAAGCTGGGATTCTCAAGGCTGGGATACAGCGCATTATTGATTGATGTTGCTAAAACACCCTAACTTTGATAGCTCTTGGTGTGATACTAAAATGGTCTCATTTAATGTCCAATTTTGGAACTATGTCAACTGATGGTTCATCGGCCCAATTTTTTACATACCACTTTATGATCCACAATGCATTATTGGTTTAAAAAAAGAAGACCAAATTACTCCAGATGTCCCCATGCCCGACCTCATCAAATCTCGGAAGCTTTGCCGGTTTGAATTGGCATAGTACTTGGATGGGCAGCAGCAGCTATGTTGTGGGCAGCAGGCAGCAGTGTGATTAGCGAGGTTGGCTACGTAAGGTGCGAAAGAAGTTCAACATACAGACATACAAAAGCTGTTGTTGTACCGTATGTCAACACTCCCACATCTATATCCCCCACTGTCACTAACTGGCATTGAACATTGTGTAGTATGAAATTTTGATTTAAAGCTTTCGTGACTGCAGTAATTCATATTCTTAGTTTTTTTCGGTAAAGTCACGTTGAAGAGAAACAACAAAATAACAAAATATATATAAAACAATAAAAAATTCTCACGACGTTTCGACCATAACTCATGATGACCGTTTGAGTTATGGTCGAAACGTCGTGAGAATTTTTTATTGTTTTATATATATTTTGTTATTTTGTTGTTTCTCTTCAACGTGACTTTACCGAAAAAACTAAGAATATTGTGTAGTATGGTCAAGTAATTCGCACAACCAGTACAACATGGGGAGGTCCTCACCCAGCAGTGCATTTACAAAGGGTTTTAAACACCCCCAGCTTCCCGCCTTCATTCGTGCATGTGAAATAATATTTTTTATACACTCCACAGCAATTAAACTAAAAAACGTAATGTAGATTGTGTCGTGCTTTGGCAAATATATTCAGCATAATTATTTCAACGTCAAATATTTGCGGTATAAACTTAATTAAGGCTTCATATTCTTGGTTCTTTCGGTAAAGTCACGAAGGGAAACAATAAAATAATAAAAATATAAAACAATATATATATTTTTATTATTTTATGGTTTCCCTTCTACGTGACTTTACCGAAAGAACCAAGAATATGAATCCCTGCAGTCACGAAAGCTTTAAATCAAAATTTAATTAAGGCTGTTGCTGTGAAATGATGATAAAAAAACACATTTCATATCTCGTTTGAGACATGAATGTGACTACACTCAAACGAAGCATTACACAGCTGAGTCAATAAGAAGGCGTTTAAATTTGGAGTTGAAAGTTGTACCATTCTCTTTCATGTAAAGTATTTGCTTTTGTCGTTCAAAAGGTGGCCAACTGCGACATTGCTGGAGCATTTTTCGACGAAAGCTGCGGCAGTAAAAACTATTGAACTTGTCAAAAAATGTGTATGAAGTGCACACAAACATACACTATTTACGAAGTGTTATTAGATTTGAAGCTATAAATAGAGTGAAAAAGATTACGTATTTCTGCCGAAATTTAAGATGCACGACAACAACAAAAACAACACACAGAAGCCTATTTGGTAAAACCATTTATTTTGTCTTAATTCTTTACAAAACCAAAAGGACAATTAAATTTTGGCTTATGCATATTCAGCAATGATATGCGTGGTGTATGAAAGCTAACACGTTCGACATTTTGAATTATTGTGACATGGTAAAAACTGCATTGTCCTTTAATAATTTTAAATATCGGTATGCCCCATTCCATAAATAAAATTACAAAATTGGAGGATAGATATTACTGTAAATAATTGAAAAGTAAAGATACACGTTCATGAATCATAAACAAATGTAAGAATAATTTACAAAAGAACTCTGCAAAATAAAGCTAACACAATGAGAACCAGACAGAAACCCACTACATGCACACATAATATATCCCTTTCAAGGCAATGTTTTGTAAATATGCAACAAGATTATAGAAAACGTATACTTTCATATTAAAAAAGGACTACACATTGATGTTTTCCAGGCAGTAAGTGCTTTCTCGTAACAACATGCATGATCTTTCATGAAAATATTTACGTACATTTTGTGCACATCTAACATTTACACTTTCGGATGTCACGGAAACAGAATTCGATTAAGCTCAGACATGGGAAATGAATGCACCCACGCATTAATTAAAGCTGCATTGATGGCAGCATTCATTTGGGAAAGTGCATTGATGATTATCATACAATCATGGGGGTTGCAGTGAACGTAGCAGCAAAGACAGGGAAGGTGTCAAATTTGTGCATGCAGTCAACTCGTGTTGCACGTGGCTTAAGGACAATTCTGCTCATTATCATCCTACAAATACGGCATTTGCACAATTGCATTCGCACTGCCAGACTAAAAATAAGCATGAATGCACAGCTGCGTGGCTCTCAAATGGGACTGTTCCATGTGGCGTCGAATTAACACCAAGGCCTCAAAAAGGAATCCGTGTACTTGATATTTTTTTTCAAATTATCCTAACTAGACTAACAAACAACACAGGGCTGTCTCAATGGACTTTACAATCCATAAATTTAAACCCAAACAATGAGCAATGCAAGGCCTACTTGTGTCCATAAAGTTGTTTTGTGCTAGATCGCGTATATAAATGTGTTGTTAAACCCGCCACCACAAAGGCATTTAGTAAGATTTGTTATATAAACAAAACGCGCCAATTAATTACTACTTGAGCACACCATGACAAGTTTAACTAATTGGCACGTTTTGTTTACGTGACAAACCTTACTAATTGGCTGTGTCGGGTGGCGGTGGGTTAAACGACACATTTATATTTACGTGATCGAACCCAAAACATATTTTTTATGGATAATAGTGGTCATGAAAGCCTTTGTTTTAAACGGTCAACTTGCGTGTTTTTTTCTGAGAATCGTGCCTGAAATCGAGTTGAAAACCGGAGATGATGACTGCATCCTGGCTGGGTGAGGATTCTGGGAAAACAAAAGAAATACATTTAAATGTGTGTGTTTTTTCTACGCATATAATTTCGTACTACACTGAGCAAAACCAGGTATGGACTTCTAGAAAGATAAATTGCAAAAAAATCTCTAAGCTAAGATTTATTGTAAACATAGCCATAAAATACAGATTGTTTTGTTTTCATCACATTATAAAGCTAACATAACAGATTGACAATGGGCTCTGCTTATAACTGCCATATTCTCCGGATTATAAGATGCTCTGGAAATGAGGATGCATTCCAAAATGTGTGCTTGGTGTAAATAAAGTTACACAATTCTGGTTAGACACATTATAAGAAGCACCTCCTACTTATGCTTTAGAATAAGATAACATTTGCGTCTTAAAATCTGGAGAAAACTCTAGTTAGTGGTTATACAGACACGTGTTACCTTATAAATGTATTTAAAATGCAGCAATAACATATACAGTACGGACAAATGACTTGCCATAGAAATATAATCCCTTCAAGGTTATTTTGACTATTCCATTACACATTGGAATTGTTTCAACACGGATTCAAATTACCGTTCACGATGTTCTGTGAAAAATAATAAAGGGCCATTGTTGTGAAGCACAGACCACATTTTTTGTTGCTGTTTTTTTGACGTTCCACAGATATTCTGAAACGTGGAGATCTCTATCTGGCAGATTTACGAGCTCAATGGCTGTTGTGTTTGTTCATAATGTGTATTGTAAGAGATTGCTTTAATAAAATACAACAAACCATGACAAGTTCCTTTTGTTATACAAATTACAAAACAGGAAAACAAGAATTATTTCAGATTCTGAAGTGTCACTTTGCATATGAAGAATTTTAATGAGAAAAAGGGGTTAAAACAACATCAATTCATTACAAAATAAATCATGCTGGTTATAGTATCAATCAGGGTATTCTTGCGTTAAGCGGCGAGGGTTTCACATGGGTATAACCCCATGATGGTATCAATTGTCATGAAGACATGGAATGCTTTTAAAGACGAAAAAGGCTTCCTCCCGCATATAATGTTGGGGACTGGAGCCCATGACTGCATAATTTGGCTCATCTTTTGAGCCCACGCAAACACGTGCACATTGCAATTTTCTGTTATAATATATCCAGAATTATATTCATGCAGCTGGGTTGTGTAGCGGTAATGTGCAAGGCTCACAATCGGAACGACGCGAGTTCAAATGCAGGCCAGAGGTCGTCGATGCAGCCCTTCATACAACCAGAGTTGTGGGGAGGTCTATGGGAACTGTCTTTTGGCAAACATCGTCCCTCCCTGCCATAAGAATGAGGATTTTCCACCACTGTCTCTGGACCACTTGTTTTGCCATACCTTCAACTTGCTGATTAGTGTGGGTTGGTGAAGGGGGGGGGGGTGGCAGTGACCCAGGACTAGTTCAGATTTGGTGCTGATGTTAGCCATAGCTACGATGGTACTCAGGTTGTCGGGTTTCCTCGTGCTGAGCACTAACCACTGCACCATAACTCCATTTTGGAAAATGGCCATACATAGCAAAATTGTACACAATTGTTCATAACGACAATAAAAAAAAGAACGTATGTCAGTTGACAAGTTATTTATGTGATAAATTACTCTACCGATCATCGGTTGGATTACTCAACTCGTCGGATAGCACGAAAATAGTTGGGAAAAAAAATCTCGGCTACTTTCTCACATGTGACACTCGACGGGAGGTAATGGGCAGGACATCAAGGTCCTTGCACTGTGATATGAACCCAGCCATCTGAGTTCGATTTCTCGCCATGGCTAACATCAGTGATGAGTGATATCTGCATCAGTCTTAGGTACCTCCTTCACCAACCTGCACTGACCAGCAAGGTGAAGTATGGTCAAACAACTCTCGTTACCAACATACCATTGAGAGGAGGGCTTCATCCAGCAGTGGATTGATGGAGGGCTGCACTACGTGCAAACGAATAGTGAGCATCTAAAAATAAATTATCTTCACGTTACGAGATAAGATCTCATTAAGAAAATGTGTGCCTTTTAGAGGGAAGGCCCACAGCTTTCCGAAAGGAAATTAACCCTGGGTTCAACTAAGGATATGCACTCCTTGTCAGAAATAGCCTATCCATCTGTCAACGCTTCAACACAGAGGTCATTTTACAGAATAATAAAGCCTATCCAAGTGGTCACATATTTGTATATTTTTCCAATTCGGGAAATCGGTTTACAGAAAATGCTATTCAATCTTCCTACCCAGAAGTACATACTCTTAGTCCTTGGAATTTTAAGCATTTTAACAACCCATATGTCACCGACACTTTAAATATTAGTTAGAAATGGGCATTTCCATGATACAAAACAGAGCTGTTTTATTTACCCAAGCAATATCCATCGATGTGTGTGACAATGGAAAGAACAACACTAGAGGTATATAAGCTCTTGCTGCATGGAATGTAGATGTATGCAATTAAGTAATTGTCCTTTGAGAAGGATTGCTGAAATGGAGTCAGGCTTAGAGTCACAACAGAAGCTTATGGTTTAAGACTACTGTCAGGGCTTGCATGCGTGATAAATTCAGGATTGATGCTCGGGTCACGGTCAGGGCAAAGGAAACATTTAAGGATAGGTTTATGGGTAACTAAATAATTCACTGCACACTATGGAGTAGTTAGGATTACAGGAGGGCATAGGGTTACGTTTATTGCTAAGATTACGATCCTGGTTCGGATTACAGTGGTTCTCATATGGCTCTACGAACCCGGCCATCGCCGAGTTAGAATCCTGGCCATGGCTGACGTCAGCGGCGAGTGACATCTGGACCAGTCCTGGGCACCCATTCTACCAACTCACAATGATCAGCATTGCGAAGATAGGTTTGTGGTGAGGATAGGTTTAAGGTGACGATACATTGATGGTGAAGACAGGTTAAGGGTTAAGTTCAGCAGTGTATTGTATTGGGATTGATGTTTTGGTTTTAACGTCAGTCAGATATGGATTTTACAGAATGGTTAGAATGCTGTTCAGAATTAGAGTGAAAATTATGGCTGTGATAGATTGAGGGCTACGGTTACGGTCAAGGTCAAGGATAACTTTAGGACAACTGCTATCATTACCCTTGACTTGACACATAGCTTAGGGTATCGATAGTCAAGGGACAAAGTGAGACCAAGTGGTGGCTGACAGCATCCAGATGGCCGACCGTGCCAGTTCGAGGTGGACATGGGCCTCTCTGCTCCAGTGTCATGGATTAAAACGAATGACTGGCTGGGGTGGAGGATGCCACGACTGTTTGCCGGTAAAGTGCAATAGTAGTCGCAGTGGTAGTAGCTACCATTGTTATCAGAAGTATAATTAAAAACAAGTGATTTGAAAAAGTCACTCCAGACACTCATGAACCCTACGTGTGTTTTATATGTGACAATCGGACACCTGGGGAGAGCAGTAGTGTCGTGGTTGCTGTGCTGCGCTATGAACCCGGCGACCTGAGTTTTATTCCCGGCCACGGCTGACATCAGTGGTGATATCTGAACTGCTCCTGGGTGGCCCACTTCACCAAACGTGTCGGCCAGTGCGGTAAAGTATTGTCAAAATAACCCCCCACGGATGACATAGCACGAGGAGGTCTTCATCCAGCAGTGGATTAAGGGTTGTCAAAATGCACAGTTACCCACCAATTTCATTTTGTCCACGGCTCCCCACGACCTCTCGTCTGCCGTGTCACTTATTGGACTTGACGAGGGATGAGAAGATGGTGTCGGGGTTGGCGAGCAGATTGGCAGGCGAGTCGTTCTCCTCCAGCAGGCCCTGATTCAGCACCAGCACCACGTCTGCATCGAGGATGTTGGCCACCCGGTGCTGGCCATTGTGAAGAGAGTAAGAGGAAGAGTGAAATTGAGAGGTATAGAAGATTTAGGGGGTGGGAGATCAGCCAGAATAACTGCTTCAGATTTGATGTAATAAAACTGGGACAGTGCAGGAGGAAGAGGAGAAGGATGATTATAGTACCACTGCTTAGATTTAGAGTAACGGACAGTCCGGATGGACAATATTTGTGATTTGACAAATGACAAAGGCTTATACAATGTCATAGAGCTAACAGGAGGCTAATAATGTTCTGCCCCCAGACCATGTAGAGACATAGTGCAACACTCGCTTCAACTCCTTGTATTCAGACATTCTGTAGCTTGCACTGCATCATATGAAAATGTTGCTATGGGTAAGAATGCTTCACCTATGGCCCAATCACCCAGAAAGCACCATCAGACCTCCGAAACTAACCAGGTTTGAGCCCAGATAGTGCCTGGGTGGGTGACCACCACGTGTAAAAAACAGGTGTTGTAGGTGTTGTCGGCAGTAGAGGGCAGGGCACAATAAACTCATTGTGTTTATATATTTCACCTACCTTCACTAACCCACACTGACCCACGTGGTGAAATATGGTCAAACAACCCTCATGACCTGCACGGTATGGGGAGGCCCACATCCACAGCAGTGGTTTGACAAATGGGCTGCACATGCACAAAATCACTTCACTTCCTTTTGTAAACTTGACTAAAAATAAATGTATGCAGTGACTTTGTCAATGTTTTTGATCAGACCGTGTTCGTTTTCAGATTGTGTGGCTGCCATGAGCCAATTTGTTTTCGTTTGACCATATTTAGTTTTTTCACCATTGCTTATATTTTCCTAATCTAGTCACTGTCATTCCAGAAGATGTGTTACATATTTTATAAATTTAGAATTTTAACGTTCAATTCACCTTTATTTAGCCGTATTCAATGAAAAAAATATATTGTTAAATTTGGTCCGGATTTGTTACGTGTATTTTTTCTTAAACCAGGCAGTGTTGTTTTATGTGTCTCAACGGGTTTATTTTATTTCCCAATTAAATAACGGTTTGCAAGCGGCACCACCAGCTCGCCTGATATGTTTCACACGTTCAATAGCAGTCAAATAAATGCATGCTTGACAGGATGAAAACACATTTTGACAGCCAGCACATAACCACAATGTTCATAATAAAAATTACATGGTGTTTTTTAACCGTTAAGTTTGTGGCAAGCATGCATGTGGAGGCATTTTTTTAAAGTGTACTTACCGCTATCATCACCACTGTTCTGTCAGCAAAAGCCGTCATAACAACTTTTTGCAATATTTTCTCCTGAATGTAAAAAAGAGAGAGAATTCCTTATTATAATATACGCAATGCTTTAATGAGTACACATTCTCTTTGGTATACTCCAAAGCATTCCACGAATAACATGCCAGAGTGTCCCAATGCTCAATCGAGCAATCACACGGTGCTCATCGCCAAGGGCGGCCCTGCTTGAGCAAAATAAACTCCTTTGGTAGCACTCAGTCTATACACGGGACAAAGATTGTTCACTTCCTACGAGTTCGTTTCTCAGTCCGCTTGTCCTGGTGAGGGACACGGCGGCAGCGTGTTGAGTAGGGCGGCCCAGACCTTCCTTTTCTACAAAGTGTTACTTATTTTATTGACACCGGAGGGATGATGGGCTGAGTGGAGTCCCTTATTGCTAGGTCACCCAGTCAGTTTAACATGAGCCGAGAAAAATAAACCTGAAAAGTTACTGAATTCGCTGACAGTGCCTAACTGTCATGCCCTCACAGGCATATGAGTGTTTGTTTACCAAATTACAACCAATAAATCGAGCTTTACCACTCCATGTACTCGGAGTAAAATAAACAAAACGTGATGCTATCATTTAATGAATAAAAAAACAGATGCGCCCAGTGAATATTCACTCATATATTCAAAATCACCGAGGAATCTTCTTATGCGACACCTCTGATATTGAAGCCTCATATCACATCAGCTTATGACATTCCCCGGGCATTGCACTCTAAATAAATTGGTATACAGGCGTCAGACCTTCACCTCTTCTTGTTTTGTCAGGACCAATGAAGGCTGCGCGTTTTTAAGATTTTGATGGTGCAGCATTATGCTGGTCCAACTGAACAATACCTATTGACCCTGACAAGCGCCTTTGTTTTTAGATAACGATTACAAATGCATGATTCTGTCAGCTCTACTAATCTATACGGAAGCCCTATAGCATCTGGTAATTTAACAGCATTTAATTAACAAGCCTGACCCTGCTGATGTGGCCATGAAGGTCAAAACAAGCCCAGAGTTTTGTTGCTTAAATAAATGCCACGAGATAATATTGGTTGAAGAATGCCAATATGCAAACGGATTAAAACAGTTTTATTTATATGTGCAAACACAGAACAGTAGTATGAGCCCATATGGTGTTTGCGCCATTCTTATTGCACAAAGGCTGTCACGAAGTCACTATGTTTATGCCTTGTAAGCTTTACAGAACATTACTGTTCGCAATGTGTGAGAGTCTAATTATAGCATACAGCTGCTGCTGTAAGCAGTCATCACTGTTCCTGTTAACTGTCTGATCTCCAATCCATGCTGAATACAAAGCTGTGTAATTTCGGTCAGTGAGGCCATATACTCCCCTTAAGGGACAGAGACCTTTCACCCAACGACCCCCATATCTGAGACTGTTAACCTGATTAGCTTATCGTGCAATCCCAATGCAATGGAGTGACATGCTTTTTTCCACTTTTGACAGCAAAGCCACCGATCACAATATAGCTTTATGATATATTGACAACAAAAATCAGAAGACCAACATATATATAATGGGCAGTTTAAACAAGTGGACATATGGATATTAGAAATATGCAGACCCACACATATTCCTTTCGTTTAATATGTAATAAGTACTCCCGTACAATGTGTACACTTATTTATTACAGAGTGTGATGAGTACTCAGAGACGGGGCTGTTAATGTTGGCGTCACTCACTGTGGTGTACCATTCTCAAAACGGATTTGGCGGGGCTGTAATGCATCATGAAGTCTCCTTCTAAAGTGCAAATGAGGTACACATCCATCAAATTTGAATGTTTCACTTGAAGTATAAAGTGACTAAAAGAGGTGGCTGAAATCATTCACCTCTTTATCTCTCTCCACCCACTTCACCGCAACCCACGGCAATTCAATGAATTGTCACGATTTAGGGCCACAATTTAAAGTATACAAACCTGTTTTTTTATATTCCCGTGGATGGTAGTGCCTCTGTTGGCTGCTGGAGTGATGTGAATGCATTGCTTACATAATATAAAATGGAAAATCATCAATGCTTACAGTTTTCGTGACCAATATCCATAATATAGGCTTTTTTTAAAAAAATTATGGCGTAAATATGTCATTAAACCCGCCACCACCCGCACACAGTCAATTAGTAAGGGTTGTCACGTAAACAGAACATGCCAATTCGTTACTAGTACAGCACACCGGTGTGTTGGAGAGCAAATCCACAACATTCACAATCTGAGTACGACGTTTTGCCAGTAATTACAACGAGCATCATCAGGCTGACAGCCAGATTTGTTCAATGCTTACCAATGCTTAAAAATGCAATTCAGTGCTTTGTTTCATAAGCTCATTAATGGATATTATTCCTTATTAGTCAACGCATCGATTCAGTGTTCCATCTGTACTCGTGATCCTGCTTATCTAATGCTCCAGCACGCACTTATTCAAGCATGATGGCACAGCTCATTATACGCTTGCTGAATGCTGTGGTTAATTCTTCACCCTTTGATTTGCCTCTCCTGCTTGTGTTTTTGGAAGGAGTGTTTTTTTTTTACTATACTTGTCTCTTTGAGTTTTTGGGCAATTCTAGAAGGATGGCTCTTTTATTTTTTGTCAATAGGAGCAGCAGTATGTAATAGTTATGAGATTATGATTAAGCTCTGTGTCTGTGATATTGTTATTCAGCTGGATTTCGAATGCGTGCTACTCTGGTAAGACGACTGCATGTATATGACATATTCTGTCATGACACATGCCTTTAGTAATTTTATGGCAGCTTCAAATTCATCTGTTGTTTTTAACTGTATGTGTTTTTTTTAGCTGTACTATTTTCTTGCTGTTGATTCAAGCAAATATCCAGAGAACCCTAAAGTACAAAAAAAGCATTAAAAAGTCCCCTGGTAGCAAGATTAATTCTTGTCTGTAACTGTATGAGGCACAGCAGCAGCGCACGATGCAGAAAGAAAGGCCCGGTTGGATCGATGACAAATCAGCGTTGCTCACCGTGGCCATGTCGAGCGCTGCTGTGGCCTCGTCCATGATGAGGATGGCAGTCTGCCTGACGAAGGCCCGGGCCAGGCAGAAAAGCTGCCGCTGCCCCAGGCTGAAGTTCTCTCCGCCTTCCCTCACCGTGGCGTCTGAGCAGACGGAAGCCTCATTAGGTGCCGCGTTACTGCCTCGTCACCATCCCCGTTTCTCACCTCTGCCACTGCTGCTGCCGCCACTACTCGCACGATACGCGTACAAGTGATAATTTAGTTTTTATCCCAAATGTCTTATGTGTCAAGCGGGGGAAGTTTAACGAGCGAGCTACTTGTTCGAATGTGACAAGGCTGGCCCAGGTGATTTATGATGGGTAAATGGAGTCCAGATAATGGTGTGTCTGGGTAATTGGCCTTTGAGAGTAAGGTTTCATATCATTACAATTCCGATAACTTTGCTTCAACAAAGAGGGCTTTTAATAATGAGCCTTACGTTACAAAGTGTCATATGATTAGATTTTATTTAATTCTATCTATAAAGGCATGTGATCTCACACAATGCAGTGCATGGAAGACTATCATGGATTAAAAAAAAACACAAGAGGATTCACTGGCAGGGGCAGAGCCAGGATTTTGACTTTGTGGAGGCTGACTTCAATATTCTGAGATATCCAGTGTATGTTTTCCAATGGGCGCCACAAATATATAAAACAAATTTTATTGGATTTGAACGTGGAGTTTATTAATAGGTCGGAGCCGCTGATGTGGCTAATAAGTTCGATAAGTTCGAACTTATTAGCCACAAGCAGCCTGCAGGGCAGCACGAGGTGGCAGCCAGCATTTTGCAGCAGCCGGATATCCGGTTATCCCGATTACCGACTTTCCCAAAATTTCAGGGGGGGCTTAGCCCCCCCCCAGCCCCCCCTGTAGCTCCGCCCCTGTTCACTGGGGAATACACAAAGTCCTTATTATTAAAATATTTTTATCTATTCATTTATACACGAACAATAAGATTATTTTTTTCTCAATTTCCAATTCTATTTCATGCATCCTGTTGCCAGGATTATAGAAACATGGGCTGAGATTACTCTACTCAAACAATCTTCACATCCAGTGGTGGTTAAGCGAAAATAATGGTAAAGTATATATAAATATATTAATTCCCATTTGCTACTCTTTCTCATTCACAAAATGAAAGGTGTTTCTTTTACTGATAACACAACCTACACACATACAAGCAGTACCAGCACCACATTTGTCAACCTTCTGTCGAGTGCCCCTCTCTATGGCCCCATGGGGCTGTAGGCAGTTGCTTGCTCTGCCTGTTGGAAACCAGGCCTGGGATGGGAAGGACTCGCGACTAATATGGGCAGGGTCCACTCGGAGGCCCATGATGTGAATGGGTCGTGATTTCACCCAAGCTTCAAATTTGTCTCTTCACTTCAGGATCTCATCTGGTTCGTATTATTTGGACAGTCTAGTTTGCTTCCTTTATCTAAATTTCATTGCAATGTATATTCTATGTATATTATTTTACTTTAATATGCTGAAACTGACGAATGTGTTTTTATAAAATGTTAATTGTATACATTCTCTGATGAGTTTTCTGGTTGTACCACGTGTTATTCGACAGCTTACTACGTTTCGCATCACGTGCTGGGAGCACAGGGAGCTGTACTGTACACAACTAAAAGCTATGCAGTGGTAGTAATTGCATAGAACTTTTGTATCATTGGAATAAATTGTAAATAAATCGAACATACACATTTCCATGCATTGAGTTTAACTGATAATCCATGAATTGTCGCAATCCTCTTCGGGGCAAACTTGGTACTGACCTGGCCTCCATCATTACTCTGAACAGCAGAGAACACTGCTCTATGCTGCCGTGGGCCATTGGAGGTATGGCCCCTATGTCATGGAAAACCTCGTGTCATGGATACTTCCAAGGGGCTAGTAAGGATGTCAATGAGAATGCATGAGCTTCTCCTGGCCTTTAGATGGCTCTCTAGGTCTGGGAAGTGATGACAACTGGAGCTGGAACAATTAGTCAATTTAATCATTTAATTCACTGAAAGTTTCATTGGCAATTTTTTGGTGGTGAATGTATTTGGGCCCTTGAAAAATGGCGACTGTCCCCACAACCTGCCACCTGAAGGTGGGAAACCTCCTACAAGCCACGCTCGATGTGATGAGGCTGATGATGCCGATGATATCAGCAATCCCTGTCCATCACCTCCCCTTTAGATTAGCGGCACACGTGGAAACAAGATTGAGGGTTATTTTTTCTCCCAATTATGTACGTATGTTCGTGATATCCGATTATTTGAGTAACTGGGCCGAGTAATAGCTTACTTAAACGATTGGGTAGCTCAGCTCTAATGTGAACCCTGGCCAGAGGTTCCGTGCGGTTGTGAAGCCTTACCCAGCCCTCCCGGCAGTGCCTTCACCACACACTTGAGCTGAGCAATCTCAAGAGCATCCCAAAGCATGGAGTCCGTGCTGCGAGCCTCGGGGTCCAGATTAAACCTGGGGTGCCAAGAGATTCATCATCCTGCAATTAGGAAGGGATTTTAGGAAAACGACCTAAAGAATTACACTGTGACACGGCCATTCGCAGGAAGCCAGTCATCTTGCGGGGCGTGAAGGTGCTGCCGGCAAAAAAAACAGCAGCCCGATTTCGTTTAAAAGAGGGCATACATCACACAAAGTGGGAACATGGAATGTTAAACAAATGTGAAACTAATATTAAAACACTGAACAGACTGAGGAACAATACGATCTGTTTTCTTGTCTTTTGTACATTCTGGTATAACTCTCACCTCCTGTGTTACGAGTAAAGGCTACGGATGCCCATTGCTAAGCTGGACATTTTGGTAGAATATTGAATTTTGAAGGACGCCTGAGCCTTTAGTGGAGGGGTACTCAGCCTCCTCCCCCCATCCAGCACATCCTGCGCCGTGGTGGACGTAAATGTGTGGTGCTATGTTGTTTCATTTTACAATGCCTTCATTGAAGGGAGAAACCATGGGATGGATTTTCAGCAATCGCAAAGAACAAACAAATGGACACATGTCCAGTTCTAGCAACATCACAATTTCAATTTGGACTTAGTTAATTACCAACCAAACCAACAAAGGAAACCGTCAATTACGGGGATTCGTGTCACCTCTGTGGAGCTTTTGAAAATGAATAATTGATTAACTTGTTCCTATGGTAAATATCGGCAGCCAGGGTTACAAGGGCAATACACTGCATCTTAGCATTGGCATGTTCCTCCAGCCTGCCCAGCCCAGAAAATATCCTCATTAATGCATGCGATTACCAGTTAACACCAACATATTCATGTTTACAAACACACCCATAGATACACATACACACACACACAAAAGATAAAGATCCCCTGCGTAGTCTACTTAGGCTGTTTGGACAAGCGCTGTAATTGAGCGCCATTATAATAGATTGGCACGACACACAAGGGGTGGTGTGGCTAACATGGACCATGACTGACCACTTATGTTTCTCTAGTGCTGATGACCATGTACTCATTTAAGGCCAAGTCGACCTAGTGGGGGCCCAAGACTGGTTCAGATATTTTTCACACGTTGGCTATGAGCGGAATTCGAACTCAGGTTTCTGGGTTTGTTGGCAGTGCACAAACCGCAACACAACTCCTCCCCACACCTACACACAAATACACAAACTTGCACACAGCAATACACACAAACCAATGACGGAAGAGGAATATAAGTGATGCATGCATGTGCATTTAATGAGAATATCTATACCAAGATTGTACATTCTGAAATATGTTTCATTAATATTGCCTGCTCTGCCACTGCTCCATTAGGTGAGGCATGTGCATTTAATCAATGGCAATGCTGCAAATTGCAATATAGCAATTTAAAGGTGATTCCTGTGTTGAGATGTGGCTAGGCTGACGAATGTGATGCACACGCGAACACGCGAGAGTGTACATGCACACAATGTATGTACGTGTGTTAAACTTCTTTCAAGCCATACGTAGCCAACCGTGCTAATCGGGGGAAGGACAACACAAATGCAGCACGCACAAACACAAAAAGATTACTTACGAAGAAAAAAACCATAATATCATTTCAAAAACCAAAAAATAATCTCTCCAACGATATTCAGGACATTGGCACACCCAGCCAAATGTTTCGGAGGGGGCAAATCACTTTGGGAAACAAAATTGATCGCATATGATATACAATAGCTGTCTAAAGATTTCAGGTGAGGGGTGGGGGAAGAAGGCATGGGGAGCTACGCCCCCTCCTCCTGAAACACCAATGCATAAAGTAGTAGTCATAATAATAATAATGATTATTTACAGCCCCTTGTCAATCCACAATCAACTGCTGGATTAAGGCCTCCCCATGGCGTGTTCAGTCATTGCATAAACATACCTCACCGTGATGGTCAATGTGGGTTGGTGAATTGGAAGGGCTCGGGACTGGTTCAGATATCACTCGCCACTGACGTTAGCCATGGCCAGGAACTGAGCATAGTTCCTCTGGATCAATGGCACATTGTTCGAGCCGCTCCTTCAGCTCTGATCGCGTGGTTAATAATCTCCCACATGAAGATTAATAAAGATTGGGCCTCACTTTTCAAGCAGCACCCCTCCATGTTATCATTATATACGGATTATATAGTCTACATCTAATTATTTACAAATTAAAACCGGACATATACTGCATAATATTCAGCATTCTTAATGTATATTATTCATTTCCCTTCAATTTTATTTTTGTGGTGTTAAGCAAAGGGCTACTATAATTACTACGGCATATATCTACGAAAAAAAACACATCCTGTGGTTTACGTACAGAATGAGAATCAGAAAACATGGGCACTGAAAATGAAAACCAAACTCAAGTGGAAAAGTGCGTTAGAAAGCAGTTCGTGGTGCATGCTTGCAATTGCACTGAAACAGAAGCGGAACAACATGGATTATATAGCAGACGCAAGTAAAAATAATCCTATTTACATGAAGGACCTGTGCAGGACATGGCACGAGATAGGACGGTGGCCAGTGGTCCTCGACTCAGGATGGAGTGATAGCCATAGGAAGGAACACAGCCATCATGTGCATGCGTTAGATTGATTGTTACATCACAGGACCTTGAGAGATGACAACAACTTGGAGAAGCTTTCATGGAGCTTGTGGAAATGCCATCGCTGATGTTTGCGATAACGATGAAAACAAAAATACGAGACAAACGTTGCGTAACATCATGCGCTGCGAAGGAAACGCGTTCGGGTGCCTGGTATTTTATTTTCGTGAGGTTACACGAAGGGCTGTACGAATTGGATCGCTGGTGATGTAATGAGAATTCCGCCACGCTCAGGAAGCTGTCCCCCAGGGAGGGAGTGGGAGAGGGGGGGGCGAGCGTGCGCACGCACGCACACGCACCGTATCGAGCCGCTGAACAGCACGGGGTCCTGCAGGATGATGGACAGCCTCGAGCGCAGCAGGGAAAGCGGAATCTTGGAAATGTCTACGTCGTCGATAGTGATGCTTCCTGCGGAAGAGGCGGAAGAATTTGTTCACGTGAAGGTGCAGCCCTGCCATGTCTTACTTTTGCCCCGGAGAGCGTTCATTGGGCTTTGCCTGATAGGATGGGGGTGGTTTCGTTTTATTTCCATGTGTTTGGGTGATTTGTTTACGTTTCTTGTACTTTGCATTCCTATCGTGTTTTTGTACCGTGTGTTGTTGTAACCTTCTTACCTGCCCCTACCGGACAACTGTGAAAAAAAGCTTCAAAGCTCATCAGATTCTTCCAGTATAAATATATACTCCGATTCCGATTGTATTATTACGTAGTTCAGCAGCTATTGCTTGCCATTGTCTTGTTCACGCCATTACTCGCAGAAGGACCTCCGCTAGAGGAAGCCCGAGAAGTCCCATCGAAAGGATATTTTTCTCCTACTCTTCCACACTATCGAGACATCTTGGAAGAGGTTGTATTACCTACAATTTATGCCACCACACGTGCACTGCCGATCATGTTTCTACTACCGTGTCGGGAGATCGAAATGAACCGGCGACCTCTGATGAGCAAGTCTAGCGTGGTGCCAAGAGTTACACAACGCCTTTGTTTATGCAATTACAGCAATTAACGTCTGCGAAATGCATTGCGTGCCTGCTGCTTGCGTGTCGAGTTGACGCTGAATTGTTACCGCAGTCAAATAGAATACCCTACCGTGATTAATGCAGGTGAATGGATTCCCTGTGGCCTGATCCTAATCCAACAAGGAAAATGCGCCCGACGCACTTCTTACTCATGCAAAGAAGATGCATTAAAAACACCCGTAACCAACGGTCTGTTGCGAATAATCGTAACGTCGATCCACTCAAATCCTCTGCGGGTTAAAATGCAAATACTGTGTCCCATAAACTTAGCCCAAACAGTTGTGGCAGTGGTGCTTGCATTTAGAGCGATAAGACAGCAGATTCGATGACCTTCTGCGAGATGTAATGAGCTGTAGGTTATTCATTTCTTTTAAGAGCAGCAAGCACATCGATACCATGTTATTGTTATGCAAGGGAGAGTCAATGTCACTTGATGTATTAGTTACAGTGTTACACAACTGAAGGGGGAAAAAAGGTTGAGTTTTTTTTTTACCAGATTTTGGAATCTTGCCTGTGAGAACGTGAAAAAGATGTAAACGTATACTTTTAATAAATCAGGTCTATTTTAAGAGAGTATTTGGGAAGGTAGAAAATGCTAATTATGACCCACTTGAAACATTTCAGGAGTCATGTTTCGTTTCTATATTATTCTTGATATGTCTGAACACAATAAAATAAACAATGGAAATGTTCAGTAATGTTATATTCGCCTCCACCCATGTTGAGAACCCCTGCCTGTTAGACCGACTGATTGTTCAGCCACTGTGTAGACCACAATGCTTCTCTGTCTCTCTCTGCTATCCTCCCTCGCATTGCTGTTCCACTTGGGAAGTGCCTTCTCCCACCATCTCGTTTCCTAAATTGTCATGACCTTGCTTAATTCTAGAAAAGTATTCAACTCGTATCTATTACAACATTAAGAGTGCTGTTTGTTGCTGGAAGCCTGGCATTTTGGTCTGTGGGCCCTGTTGCCCAGTAACTATGATAATCTTATAGAAAATATTTTTAAAAAACCTTAATCTGTATGTCTCTAAAACCTTCAGGGTACTTCCCGACCAGGTAGAAAGATGAAGTGTGGTACACAAGTAGCTTTTAGGACACAAACAACAGGAAAAATATGAAAATCCGAGATTTGTATTTGAAGGCCCACAAATCTCGATTTTAAATGCCCCATAAACATGTTTGTGCGTGCCATTCAGAAGCGTTCAAAATATACGATTGCGTTATTTTAGTTTGAAAGAACGTTAAACAGCAATACAATTTAAGCGAGAATCATTGTTCTATATTTTATTGTTTTTGAGATATTTCGGATTAAAGTGGGTTTAAATGAAGAAATACACATTTTATGATGTTCAAATGAGAATAATTCGAAAACGGTAAAAGATATGATTTTCCCCTCATAGAGTATTACGTTCAAACATTTTTGTTCTTTCTCATAACAAAAGAATGGAATCTTTAAATTGAGTGGTTTCTGACGGGTACGTCTTTCAATATAAGAAGTTGCATCAAGTCGTCAACAATTTGTGTTTTTGCGGAAAAATACACATTTTTGAAGTAGTTGTTAGTGCCTGATCATATCAGCTTAATTATTATATTTATTGAAAACTTTTGCCTGACGAAGACAGGCTTTATGAACGAGTAATAAAATATACCATTATGTAATTTCTGGTCTAAAGGTACATCTCGTTTTTAAAACGTAAACCAAAGCCGGTCACAGTGGAGAGAGCAGTAAGAAGTAATTTCCAAGAGTAAATAAAATCAATCGAAATCCCGTTTTGCCCACTCAACAGAACAGATATAGGAAATAACAAACCGACGTTTAAGAGGCAAAGAGGTAAAAGACATCTTGACAATTTCCTTTTAATACAAACTGTTGCCTTTAGTTTTAACTTTTTCTTACGTGTGACACACTGACCACTCATTAATCAACCGCCTTCAAAAGCTGAGCTCACCAATTTGTGACTCAGAGCCCTGATAAAATCAATGTACATAAGGCATGTAACACAAGCTGCAGTGTACGACTGATATATCATTACATCATAGAGTGTACATGTGCATAAATATGAACCTTAAAAGAAAATTGTAACATAGTTGTACCACTTAAATACCATGTTATCCAGATTTTAAGATAAGCTGGAATAGTAAGATACACCTCAAATTTGTGCCCAGTCTCCATAAACGTATGTAAATATAATTTCCTGCACGCACACTGGATAATAAGATGCACCCACAACTCTTGATGTTTAATACAGAAGGGAAAATTTGCCTTATAAACCGGAGAATACGGTAACTCAAATTCTGAACAACTGGTGATGACAAAATCGAAGCATTTGACAAAAGGAGAGTTTGTTTATGATGGCGTAATAATGCATCAATACTAACAATGATACTTAAGCTCACAATACATGCTATTAATCATGCATGTAAGAATCAATGTGTGTCGATTTATACATGTTGTATGTAATGGGGTCGAGTGACCCCTGAATATGCCATAGGCAGCATAATGTTAAACAAATACTTAATTCGTGAATTAAATCACAACCCTGATCCACAACAATCCATGAAGCCACTGGGAAGGGTGAATTTTTACACCACTATTATTTTTTTAGACCTTTAATCGAGTTTATAATTTATAATTATATATATTTTAAAAGGGTTCCAATTTCCAAGTTCAAACTGTGCATAGTCGAAGCGAGAATACGTGGCAAGCTGAGAATTTAATTGGGTTTGCGATTGCCACATGACAGACTGTTATTGTTATGCTTCGTGACATGTTCTATCGTGTTCACATTACCCACGGTACACGACGTCGCACTGCACGGGTAACATTTACACTGGCTCAGTGCTCTAAATTGGTCACCTATTGTTTATTAAATTCATCTCTCCTTTGAGATCAATTTAATAATGGAACAAAACAAATGTTGTATGTTTTAAAGCCCACTATGTAGTTATGCAGGCAGTGGCAGGTTATGTTCTTTTATGCCCACTGGGCAAGGCATTTTCAGTTGCTTTTAAGGTTTGCTCAAGACTCTGTGAGCAGTCACACATCTATCTGGATATGAGACTCAGCAAGAGCTGCTGCATATGGATGGAGTAGAGTCCAAAGTAATTTCAAGTCGGCTTCCCTCTGAACACACATTAGCTGTGCCATTATTCACGAAGGCTAAATACAGAGGTGAACACGTGGAACAGGGAGACATTTGCACAAGTCGTCAGAGAGAGGCTGATAATAACGGTGATAAGGGTCACCTCTCACCGTCAAAGATATCCAGCATTCGGAAGAGAGCCAGCGACAGAGAGGACTTTCCGCTGCCGGTCCGCCCACAAATCCCAACCTGGATTACAAAAAAAACACATTTTCATCACAGACGGATTATTCACTGTACAATAGATAACTCAGTTCGAATTTGTGAATGCCCAGTGATCCCAATAACACTTTTCACATTCACGATAATCCATCGTATTTCACAAAGGTTCTGCATAATACCACATACAATATGCAGTGGCAATATTTTATGTACAGAGTTACAAATAAAATATCCAATGTGGTTGAACCTGATCACCCGACGTCCATTTCCCAGCCACGTCTAACGTGAAAGACGAGTGACATCTATACCATCCTTGGCCACGACCTTCACCAACCCGCACTGACCAACGTGAGGAAATATGTTCAAGCAAACCCAATGACCCACACGCCGTGTGGAGGAAGCCTTCCTCCAGCGGTGGAAGGGCTGTCAATTATTTTTTTATATTTTCCTTACCGTCGATTACCTAATAACTAAATTAATGGAAATAATAATTCATCAGCTGGTTTAAATATGAGCTGTTTAATATTATGCACAGCACCGTCCTCATTCTGCATTCTGGTTACCAAAAAAAAAAGAGTTTAAAATAGTGCGAGATACTGTCAGTGCTTTTTCTATATCAGCAAGGTAAGCAACATATGAGAGCCCACAGAGATCGAATTGAAAACAAGCGCCAATATTCAATAATGCCAAGGGTAAGTCGATGCAGTATTCCACCAGAGAGCTGCACTTTGCAATAAAATACCAGAGGCTATATGGTACGAACGCTAGAAGGTTGTGCTGCGTTTATTATTTCACCCAGTTAAGTATACGGGATGTCCTCTAGGTATGAAGAGCAGCACGCGTGCATGTGTTTGTGTGTATGTGCGTACATGGGGAGCGGTAGTGCAGTGGTTATTGCGCTGCGCTATGAACCCAGTGAGTTGAGATCGATTCCTGCTCATGCGCAAAAACCAGTGACGATGATCTAAATTGGTTCTGGGTCTCTCCTAGGTTGACTAAGCCGCAAATGAGTACTTGGTGCGGTGTGTAAACATCGCTACTGGGGATACAACGGCGACCAGGCGTGGCGCTGGTCATCCATCCTATCGTGTGCCGCTCCGGCCTTGATAGGTGCTCACTAAGAGCCCTTACCCAAAAAGTCTGTTAAAGGCTATATGGGGAATTTTTGTGTACGTATGTGTGCACTGAAGAGACAACGATTTATGGGCATAGTTCCAGCCACATCATACCCTCATGCTCCGTGCATATCTTAACAGGTGCTCGCTACACAGCGCACGCCACAACAGTATTATAACGGATATGTGTGGGATCTTTTGTGCGTGTATGTTTTAAGAGGTGTGTCTCCATCTTGCCATCGTTCTGCTGCTGTGGGTTCACATTCGTTTTAAAGGGCCACTGTTGCAGTTCTCAAATGAAATATATTGTCAATGTTGGCTGTGACTAAAATGTCCATCTGGAGGGCGCAAGACCCTTTTCTGAGGACGCGGAGCGGGGTAGGAGGCAGCTTGCCCCGCACGCCTCGCTGTTGGAGGTGGCGCGCATGCATCCGTGCCTTGGGAGTCCACACTCCCCACATGACCTCGGTATGTTACATGTGCTGGGGGGAAAAAAAAAAACCTCTGTGTACTTGCCACTGCTGTAAGAGGCACCGGTGCTGCACCCTGATCTTGTCATTATTATTATTCTTCGTTGTATTTAAGATGTTTCGGTGGAAATCCGTGTAACGCTAATATGAATCATGTGCCGTAAAACTTAATTACATCATTGTAATAGGCTAGACTGCAGAGACGCTCCTGCCAGAGAGTTAATAACTGAATTCTCAATTGCAGATGAGTTCACGTAAACATTTTTTAAAAATGAAAATGTTCCCATTTACATTGCCCTTTAGTGGATTTTGTTTTACCTTTCAATGTCAGTATTAAAATAGAATATTACCGGCGACGAAACGTGTTAAGTTTCGCACCGGTAATGATAACTCACTGGTGCGTACTGTACACGTTACTGCGATAACGCCAGTGCCGAAGTCCCAGCGCAGGTTTCAAAACAGTGGCAGATTCTCTTAAACGGTCGCCACATCACCTCAACGAACACCCATGACTATGTTCAACCTTTCCTCATATACAGAGCGGGGGAGGTGGTAGCTTGAGGAGTACACCCTATCATTGTTTATTCCGTTGAGGCATTCAACATTCATTGGACGTTTGTTTAACATTGACGGCGTCACGCCACCCCCTCCGTTTTAGACGAGGTCAGCTACAGGGTGTCTGTGAGAGTATTTAAATATTTAAATATAATCGGTGGTGAGTGTGAATTCACACATGGTGTGACGCCCGCTCACCTTCTGCCCTGGCTGGATGACTGAGCTGAGGTTCTTGAGGGCAGGCTTGAGGGAGGCGTCATAGCGAGCGGACAGCCGATTGATCTTGATCTCCCCACGGTGTGGCCAGTCCTCTGGCACCGCGTGCAATTCTGCAACAAGAGAGGGCTTGAACTCAGCTGCCAGGTTTCACACATCAATGAAAAACTAAACTTTTTTTTGACCAGATAAGGCCCACTGAGCTATATAGCTATTTTACAGAAGAGACGTGGCCACAAATTATAGCTCAACGAGGTGGCTTATCGCGTGTAAATGTATCGCAGCCAAATAATCCAATCGCATGTTGATTCTAAAAGTGGCGGTTAACGTTAAAAATAACCGCCACTTTTTTCAAATTTTCTTGTTGTGGTTTTTACACCTGATGATGAGTGCTTGTGTTGCAGTCGAAACGTCGTGAGAATTTTATTGTTTTATATTTTTATTATTTTATTGTTTCCCTTTTACGTGACTTTACCGAAAGAACCAAGAATATGAATCCCTGCAGTCGCGAAAGCTTTAAATCATAATCCCTGCTTACGTTCCTGTATTTTATGCGATCGGGTGAACTCTGGGTGATTTGGCCATACATAACGTACACAGCAGCAGTAGAATACAGCATAGAGCAGAATTACACTCGAAGGCCATGGGCACTCCCAGTGATGAGAACGTGAAGGCAGCGCCTGTGCTTTACTGAGCCACAGTGCTGCTGGGTCCATGGCAGCTGAATCTGCACTGCTGAACTCACATTGCTAAGGAAAAAAGAACAAGTTCTTTTGGAACGAGTAAAACGTTGTTTTTTTTTCTCTTGAAACAACGGTTGATATTTCGGCACTGTTCCTATTGTACACCTTTGACCAAATCGCCCTCAATGTCTCTGATCGCGTCAAATCTCGGAAGCTCGGTAGGGTTGAGCTTGGATATGGCTTAGATGGGTGACCACCACGCACAGCAGGTTAGTAAAGGCTGCTGAGGATGGGGGCGGAACGTGGTGGGCAGCAGAGGACAGTGCAGCAGCAACATTCATTGTTCTACTGTACTTCTATGCTCCTGCATCCATGAATCCCACCTTTATCGACTCGCACTGACCGGTGTGGGGGAGGTATGGTCATGTATCCCCAATGGTACGCATGGCATACGGAGGCACTATTCCAGCAGTTGATAAAGAGGCTGTAGATGTACACGTGCACACTTAAATTAGCAGTGAGAGTGACAACGGGGATAATGTATTACATCATTATTTACCGCTTCCACGTTCCTGTTCAGGACTGTAAACTCGGTTTCTATAACACTGCCAAATGCATGCCCTCTAAGATAAATGAGGGTATCTTTATATAGTGTCACATGCCACTACAGTAGGACCCACAAACAGTTGTCATGCTCAGTAGCATGGCCAAAATATAATCCTTAAATCACACTAAATGTAGTCACGTGACCCGTAAAAGGTAAAAGTGCAGCCCTGAAATTACTTGCTCATACCATTGCTGGCGGAAAGACCTCCACGATAGGGATCTCTAAGGGAGCTTTAAATTGTTGAAAATAGTTTTTTTTTATTGCAACTCAACGCGAGCCTGGCACAAAACGCCGATCACAGCATGGAGGGGGAGTGGGAACAGAAACTCCGCGAACAGCAGCAGCCCGATCTCGGTGCGACTGGTGCCCAACAAAAGGGGAAAAGTTTGGGCTCACTGCCCCACTCAGGTGGGGTCATTTGCAGGGGGACATGAAGGTATGTAATAGAAACGAAATCTCTGAGAGCTCTTCAAAGAGGGCATTTGAATGTATTGGCGGTACACCGGTGCAGCATAATACACCGGTTTTCATAGAACAGTCTAAAAATCTAAATTTGAATCACCAAATATGTTTTATCAGTCTTTAATTGACCCCGTTGCCAAGTTTGACACGATTCGAAGGTTTATTCAGACTTTCTAAAAAAATGTCAAAATTCACCGTTGATTTGGGTCCATTGAATCGAGGAACCATCCGACCAAGGCGAGGGCATGGGAAAAATATGCCTTTGGAACACGGAGCTAATTGTCATCAGGTTGGGTACTATACAGCAACAGACTGTGAATCTTCGTGTTCAGCTGCTCGTAACATTCTTCTGTCGACTGCTTCGACATCACGAGAACTGATTTTGATGCACCATGCAAGATTGTATGACTGTGGTTGCGAATCACGGTAAAATAATGAATTATTGCCAACATTTTGCATTCATTTGGCCTATTTTCCACAGCGGCCAGGTGTCTTGGAAGAGATGGGCATACCCACACTTTACCCTTCCACGTGCCAGCTGTCATTTGACTAACCAGTGAACCTATTAATGCTGCTGGATGGACAGAGGCGGTGGGCGATTTCATTTTCCCACTATTCCAACTGCCACCCCCGGAAGATGGAATGTTATGACCTCTGGAGTGAAAGTCTGGTGTGCTCACCATGACAGCACGGCGGCATCCCAATGTGATGGTCGTGTGCCCTGTATTACGAATTAAATCCTGTGCAAGGACATTGGCTTGTTGAGTGGGGGTGGCGGGGGGAAGTCTAATTTAAGCTCAAAACTCGCTGGGTTTCAAGTGGCAAACTCTCTGCTCTGCCAAGTAAGATCGAGCACAGAGTGCTGGGTAAAAGCTGGCACACAATCTCCCGCTGACTTTGGACGCAAAAAGACAAGCACCGTTGCTCGAGGTCTTTCTTAAATAATGAAACAGGGATGTTTTATTTAATTTCCAAACGCAACAACGACATAATTTAAACCCGTTCAATATTCCATTTGAACGTTCGAGTGTTGTTATTCTCCCGCTGCATTGGAATGTGTTACATGTTTTTATTAATGTAATTTTACAATTCAAGAAAAGGTCAGGAATGCATTCAGAAATGTAGATTTGCATCCCATTTTCCAGCAAATGAATAGCAAATGCACCAATGCCTTTTGTAAAAGTCCATGTCAGAGGTCTAAACTCAAGCACAAATCGAGTTTAAAAAAGTACACGACTATTACCAAGTCATATATCTATACAACAAACGGGACAAGTGAACTGCATTTAATATTATGTAGGTAGACTACTTTATTAAAAGGACCTATCAAATTTACATCGCCAAGGTCATAACGCTATGGGAAATATGTTACACTTCATTCTTGGCTGTGCACTTGATCATATATTTAAAATGTCCAATAAATAATATCAACAAAAGTACAGTATCATTACCCTAACATTGTCCTTCGTGGAGTTTCTGGCCAAAATAAACACAGTTGACATTAAGAGGCGTTATACAATTATGCTCGCATGTTTGGGGACTGTGTTGTCTGCTCGAAGCCAGAGTTTGATCTTTAATACAAATAGAACTACTGGTCATGAAAACACCAGGTGATTCGAGACACGTAACCCTCTGATCCATGGGAGTGCACTCCAAAAATGAAAAAAATATTTTTTAAATGTCACACAAATTGTGCTCAGGGCTGCTTATGACTGAGGAACATACACTTTTTGGAAAAAGTTTCAATCCTCACTGGCGCCTGTGCTGAGAGCATGAACTCTCCGCATGTAAGCACTCTTCCAATGTCACAAATCAATGTTCATTTTTCACGGGTGCACCTCTGCTGCTTGAACCCAGGCACACGAAGGTGGTCAATAACCACGATGCGTGTAGTGATCTGGCCACATCCAGTAAAACTACCGTTTATATCAGAGCACCTCAGGGCAATTTGTGATGTGCAAATCTCAGCGTGAGATAATGATGATACAGGTTATGAGCCAGTTATGGAGCGGTAAGCACTATATTGGCCTCAGGCATAAAAAAATTGCCAATTTAAACATAAATTTATTTTTCTTTTTTGCACACCGCAAGGTGTAGTGACATCGACTTGTCCCTAACTTTTCTCATTTTAAATGTTGTGCATGCTTGTCATCGCTCGAGAATGAAGTTAAGTGGGAACCAATGTCACCTCTCATTTGCCCTGTGTGATGAAGTGGGCATTTATTTTAGTGGACTGTCGCAGTAAAATACATTTCTTTGCTGATTGGAGGAGGCCTTTATTGATTGGAGCTTTTAGTGTGTCATAAATCTCTGGAATAGTCTAATTGATTCATTGATCATGTTAGGTATTGGCCGTGATGTTGTTCGCACTGATTAGTCGGTGCTCTTGTTCCTCATTTAACATGACAAAGTTGTGAATGTATCGGCATTGGTGTGATATCAACAGCCAAATTGGCTGTTGTATAAGACCCCACATGCAATTTCCTATTTCTGCCCATAATTCATTCTCCAAACCGATACCCTGTGTGGCAATAGGTTCCATTAGCTTGTATTGAATATTTGCTTCAATATTTCAGGCAGCATACAGTCAAAATGTGGGTGCCAGACGCGTCACTCCCTACTAAGGTGTCGTCTTCCTCTTTAGTTCTCCGATGTGTTCTCGGCTCGTACCCTGTGCTGCTCGGCACAATGTTCTGACATATTTCGCCCCACGCGCTGAGAGCTCCTTCGGGATGTGAGCAATCTAGTTCCCAAAGGAGGCTTTCGTATAGAGTATATAACGCGTGCATAGGGGTTGTGTAGCGGTGTTATATAAGAACATGTGAACGTTTATTTCCCCCCCGGATACCGAACAATTCAGTGCAAGTCCAGGACATAGCGGCGTGACACGGCACACCCACCAACGCCGACACAGTGGTGTCTTCTTGTTGCCTTGTATTTTTTTAGTCAAGCCTCGGAGCCTCGACGACTCTTACTTTCCATACGGATGCCACCTGTGAAGGTATGCCGTTGACATTTGTGTGCTCTTTAAATTCTAGATTTAAAGCTTTCGTGACTGCAAGGATCCATACTCTTTGGTTCTATTCGGTAAAGTCACGTAGGTAAAAAAATAAAACAACAAAAATCACGACGTTTCGGCCACAACACAAGCGGCCTTCATCAGGTGAAGGCGGCCTGAAGGCGGCCTGAAGGCGGCCTTCACCTGATGAAGGCCGCTTGTGTTGTGGCCGAAACGTCGTGATTTTTGTTGTTTTATTTTTTTACCTACGTGACTTTACCGAATAGAACCAAAGAGTATGCTCTTTAAATGTTCAACTCATTTGAGCTCTGATTCTCTTTACCCTTACGGGTTTAGCTTTGAGTTTCCCTGGAGGCAAGGTGATAATACGCTTTTGGGGCACATCTGTTTTGGTGATATATCGGAAATTGTAATCAAACTATTTTCCCCTTGAATGAGAAAGAGCAAGAGTCAGCAAATGTTATTTCTCGCTGTGACGAATTGCTTTACCGGATGTTCAGTGTGTGTCGAAAGTGTCTATGCAAAGGGCACAAAATCTTGGATATTAAATAATATATACTAATTTTATGTATCGGGCGTATTATTCCTGGAATGCACTATTTATGCATTGACATTTATAGTTTATTAGAGGGCCATGGAGCAGTGAAAAGAACGAGTGAATGTAACAACATACACAAAAAATTGAAATGCACAACGTTTTGTTACAAAATAAACCCCGAACACGGAACTTAAATAGATATGACAAATGTGCATTAAACTAATGAAAAGCCAGACAAACGAATCAAATGTCAAACTGCAATTATCCGTTTCGCTTGTGCAAACGGTGAATAACTCTTTCTTGAAACGATAGCAGTGTGATTGTTACTTGCGGACATCTAATTTGGTAAAAGATCATTCAATTTCAATGTTGAGTTCCTTGTCAATCCACCGTTGGATGAAGGCCTCCCCATGATGTGTCAGTCCCCGGTGTTGCTTAACCATACTTCACCACACTAGTTATACTTCACCACACTAGTCATACTTCACCACACTAGTTATACTTCACCACACTAGTCATACTTCACCACACTAGTTATACTTCACCACACTAGTCAGTGCAAGATGTTGGAGTTGGCCAGAAATGGAACCGAGGTCACTGGGTTCAGCGACATGAAAACAAGTTAATGAATGACTGATTAGCTTATCGCACATAGGGGCCCTCCATAAATGACGTCACGCACCTAGGGGGGGGGGGGTAGATTTTTGTGACGATGTGTGATGAGGGGGGGGGGGTTTGAGAAATGTGACGTCACATCAAAATGCGCAACTTTAAAACACATTCCTGCGGAGGGAGCTGGTAGGGACGTTGGGTTGCTCGGTCAATAGCCAGAGTCAACGGCGGCACCACGTGGTGTATTCCGCAAATATGCCCGACTGTGAGGGCGGGCACAAGCCGGCGTGAGTAGGTTAAACGTTGAGTTTTTTCAGGGCACCACGGGGTGACCAGCCCCTCCCCACCCAGCCCCACCCCTCCCACCCCCCACCCAGCCCCACCCTCCCTCCCCACCCAGCCCCTCCCCTCCCTCCCCACCCAGCCCCCCCCCCCTTACCACCCAGCCCCTCCCCACCCTCCCCTCTCCACCCAGCCCCACCCCTCCCATTTTTGGATGCACGACGGACGGACACAACAATCCCCTGTGGGCTGGTGTAACCAGAGGTTCCTACCAGTATAAATATATAATTGTTATAACAACACTCCTACAACATCGGAGTGCAGCGCCACATTAATTACGCACTACAATGACAATAGTTTAAAGCGATCTGAAGCATATTTTATTTTCAAAATGGAAATATGGTTGGGGGGGGGGAGGCAGAGCTCTGTGACGTCATATTTGGGGGGGGGTCTGACTTTTTGTGACGCCGTGTGACGAGGGGGGGGGGGTCAAAAATCGTCCAAAATCGCGTGACATCATTTATGGACGGCCCCACACTTCACCTCAATAAAAATGTTTCAAAAGCCCTATATGTAAAACAACATGTACCTGAATTCCCGGCGCCTAAAACGTATATAAAATACAAGCCATATAGGTTAAACAAAATTAAAACTGAAACTTGCGAGTTACCTGGGCTTCGCTCATCGTCCTCGATCTCCACTTTCATTAGGTTGTTGACTCTCTTTATGGCTTGCAGCTGCACCTCGATGTCAGCCAGGTTCCTTACCACCCAGTTCAGGTAGATGGACACCTGGTTAAAAGAAAGGGTCAGTATTATCCTTGGACATATCAGCAGTGTGGATGAAAGTAGGCCAGTAATTTCAAAATTGTTCCAAAGATGCATGTTTTCAAATGTATCCGGCCGCGAATGTAAAATTCTGCAAGTACCAGAAAGTACAGATTTAATTAATAAGTGAGTGATACATTCCTGTTACAACATAATGCTATGAGCCATATAGTAATGTGATGTGCGATGTGATTATGAAATAACAGGGGGCCTGACAATTTTAAAAGGTGACATTGTCAGGAATCTAAGGAAGGTAACATCGCAAATCATATTGTTCTTGAGGACCAAAACCACAGACCACGCTTCATAACACACAATGAGCCTTTTGCTCAACTGGGGCTAAAACAAACCCTTTGTGAATACAAAACATTGAATATTAAATCTAAGAAAGTGCAATATTTCCAAATCCATGGGATTACTCGTCAGATGGTTTGGGAAGAAATGAGAAAGAAATGTGTAGGATACCGATATGGGTGCAGTTTGCAGGGGGGGCAACGCCATGCCCAAACTGATTTTCAGTAGTTTACAATTAAGAATTTTTTTTATTAATTGCACTCGCGATTTCTAATGTAGGGGACAGAGCGAACCCCCCCCCCCCCAAATATAGTAGTCAAACTCCATCTATGGTAACAGGTAACTTCTCATAGTAAATACGTTTAACAGTTATGCTGGCATCTCCACAAACATTCACTTACCTTTCATATTTGAAAATGATGAAGGTGAAATGACAAATCTTGTGTGCCGGGTGGAAGTGAGCGTGTGATTGTACGCGTGTGGGCGAGTGATTTGTCCACCGAGCTTTTAGAAACCCCTTGCGGATTCATTATTTTGGTGTTCACAGATGGGAGTCCAGTTTATCCATTGCAAATTCATGCTCTAGGCACGAAGAAAACAGCCACACTCTAAGGATTTAATTGCAACTCACGAAATGCGTACTCTCCTTTGCCAACGCATTCATTAGCAATCTCCCATGAATGTGAATGAGGGTGGCCTTTTTAATGCCATTTATCAATGTACCTGCATCAACTATGGTAATACAACCACGTAACGTTTTCTGACATTATTCCTGTATCGATGGACACACGGGATGGAATCCCATTAGCATATTCTGGCACAATGTCCCAGTGGGTTCCACAATGTCAAAATGTCATACACATAAAATAACAGTCCAACCTAATTACTCTGCTTGGAAATTGAATCAAACACAGTGTGTGGTCGTAATTAAGAAATAGCAGGAGGCCCCAGGCCCATGGTTATATTCAACACTTCATTACCGCAGGATGTTGGTCTCCAATAGACCAAAATGATAAGTCACGGAGAAAAATAGGTTGTTGTAGATTATGGGCAATGCATCACAACATGAATCACGTTGCATTGAGAATGCATCTTTTGATAAGTGACAAATATTGACGTTTAAATATTGTTATTCAATATCACATTGCCAGTGAATATTAATAAACACCAAACAAATGATCACTGTTGGATAAATAATCTCGAGAGTCTGTCCACTCTTGTTAATCCCACTCTTTTGCTATCTCGGTTCAAACAAAACAAAAGTCCCATAACATGAAACCGACTTGAATAAAATGGAACGTGTCCAAGAGGATGTCCTCTGAGATGGAGCGATAAAATCGGCTCATGTGTAGGCGTTAGGTGGATTATATCACATTGCAGGATTGCGTAAGATGTCGAGGGCTTGGGGAGACCTTCATCTAGCAGGGGGATAGACCGCGATTCATCGTGGTGGACAATATAAACGTCCACAGGAGGTCGTTTCTGACCAGCAGGGCGTAGGTGAGCCCCAGGCCCACCAGGCCGGAGTCGAGCCCTGAGTAAAAGGACCTCGTTATGGACGCCATGGCCGTGGCGAGCACGATGGATGCCCCGATGTAGTCCTGTGAAAGACAGCATGGCACAAACGTACGGGGTCACCCTGCCTCACGGCTCATCGTGGGCAAAGTACTCTCAGAGGTGCAGCAGCAAGCGCCTGATAATCGGCGAGCACCGCAAAGCATCAGAATTGCTCCTCGTGCGGCAGATCGCTGCAATTTGTTGTTGTTATAACCCCTTAACCAGGTCGTCGGTACACATTGCTGAACCAGGAGGGATGTGTAAAACGAAAATAAAACGAGGGGTTCATTATTTACATATTTTGCACCGGAGGTGTGCGAGCTCAGGGGAGCACAAGGCCCATCGAGTTGGTGCCAAGTGATGTGGCACGCGGGTGGCGTTGGCTCTTGCCCTGGATTATACTGCAACGGAAAACTTTAATGAAGCACAATTTGAGGAAGCAACAGCTGGGCAGCCTACCATCCCACCGTGAGTCTGATTACGTCATGCTTTTGAACTTTAAATGTCGAGAGAACGTGTGGAGATGGCGACCTTCTTAAAATGCATGGGGAAGCTGCACTGAACATAGAAAAAAGTGACAATTTTTTGGGAAAAACTACTTAAATTGTATTTATAATGCTGACATGTTAATGCTCTGCACAGGGTCAATAGGCATTTAGGGAAAGGTTACTTGGGTTTAGTCATAAATGATATGCAGCATAACTATCGAATAATAGGACGTATTTTAATGCCGCATTGAAATGTATGAAAGTCAAACTGTGCTTGCTAAAATGTATGAAAATGCAACATTAGTTATTTTTAAAAATGAATCTTAAAAGGTTTTAGGGTTATCTTTTTCCCATAAAAATCCACAACATCCATTTGAAATCGTTATATAAAGTTGCAAATTAAATCCCACGGATACAGTTACTTTTCAAAATACAGGAGTAACCCCTGAATTAGTTCCGTCTGAATATCCTTGATAAATATGTGGCTTCATGAATAAACCTGGGACCATACCTCAGAAATTTCTCCTTCTCAAAGGACGTCCAAAATGTCGCATGCTTTTTCCACAGACTACAATTTTAGAAGCACACTTCAAAAACATTGTTCATGCAACAGCAGCCACTCCAGAAAGGCTATGGAGCAATGGCACACACTCGAACAAATGCTCATTGACGATACTGCACCGTGGATACATCACATTTAATTAAAGTCAAAGTTCAGCTTTAAGTACGGCGTGCCTGCCTGCTGCCTCCTTCATTAAAAATCAATGCCATGGTCCTCGCGTATCTGTTTATTCATGGATTGGTGAAATCATCGCATTGCCCCTGCACAAACCTATTAACCCTGCTATAAATGTTATTTTTTTAGGGCAGTCGACAAATGAACTCACAGACGTCGTATACTTTATGGGCAGCGATTGCCACACCAAGCAAGTGAAATTTAGGGTTGTCATGCCAACCAGTAAATCTCACACATGGGCAAGCCCCAATCTCATTAAAGCAGTGTATAATAATTATACGGCAACATAAGCCACACGGTTGAAATGTTGCCTATTTTTTTAAACCAAAAATCTCGAGTGATCTTCAACAGCTGGCGAGAGGAGCGTTCGTAGAGATGCTGGTGAACGTCTGAGACTCTCTCTCGATGTGATGTGTGTGGCCAATGCTATGGCTGACACAGGGTGAGACTTGCCATTTTAGGAGATGACGGTATGGTAGGGTAGGGTATGGTATGATTGCGATGGTAAGGTGGTTACTGGTAAGCACAGCATTCACTGTAATTGCGTGTACAGGCAGATGCTGAAAGGTATGGGCAAAGCCCATCAAATACTGAACTCAGTTGTTGATGTGCCTTCCTAATTATACTTAAACGACAAATATGATTAAGAAATTTGTTGATTGTCTAATTGGCTATTTATGAATGTATAATCACCCTGCAGTGCATTACTGCTTATTCCGGAGCACCACTTGAAGAAAACCTTATCTTGGCTCCATCCAATTAAGCATTACAATAATTGCACTCAATCTTTGTTTTTTTCGGTAAAGTCACGTAGAAATAAGAAAAAATAAAATTACATAATATACGACGTTTCGATTGCAACACAAGCAATCATCATCAGGTAGAGGAAACACATAACGGCAGATATATATACAGACCTTAAGTAGAGGGAATTAACACAGAAAAAAACAAAGATTAATTCCTGCAGTCACGAAAGCACCAAAATCGAGTTTGAACCACCTCTTCAGGGAGGTATGAAATCTGTGTCTTTGTGTTCTCTGCTGGTGTGCCTGCCTTTGTGTCTGGAATTGGGTTTATGTCGCTGTGCTGTCTCTGCCTATAGTTGTGTGCCTGGGTGTCTCTAAGTGTGTGCTGCGGCGCCCTCTCTGTGTGCCTGACAACTTGTATCATGCTCATTTGTGTCCCATTGTCTCTGAAACCCAGTCCCTCCATCTCTGGCTATTTAAGGCCTCGGTACAGAGCTGCTTTACCTCTTAACTGTGTGCGTGTCTCCCCCCATAGGTCTCTCTACGGTATGTATTCTATCACTATCTTAAATTTCACACTCAACTTACAATTTAACAATCTTTGAAATAGCGTATTCAACCAGACCATGCGTTAATTGTATTTTAACCGACCGTCTGTGTTGCTTTACATAGTTTGCAAATTTTGCTAAACCCTGTTTGATTTAGTGTGATGCTCCGTCTCTCTGTGTCCCCTGGTATATCTGTGTTAATTCCCTCTACTTAAGGTCTGTATATATATCTGCGGTTATGTGTTTCCTCTACCTGATGATGATTGCTTGTGTTGCAATCGAAACGTCGTATATTATGTATTTTTATTTTTTCTTATTGCTACATGACTTTACCGAAAAAAAAGATTAATTCCTGCAGTCACGAAAGCACCAAAATCGATAATTGCACTCGTCAAAGTGAATCGTATGCCAAACACCAAGCTAGGAGCGTTGGGCAAAATGTCAACATGTTCTAAAAGTGCTTTTTGATTAAATGTGTATAGCGCCAAAGTGACTTTGAACAACATCAAAGGCCACTTTTAGCCAGAGCGGTGCTCATACACTGCCAAGCAGGATAGTCCATTGCTTTACTATAAACGTGTAAACCTGTTACTCATACTATATTGTGTACAATTCATTGTCATGGAATGATAAATATGGTACAAAATAGTTCAGTGCAGTGAGAAAGCCTAACAAGAACTGTCGACAGCTGTCAATGTTGTTCAAATCGCTGTTACTTACTCGTCATGTGCGAAATATAAAACAATCTAAAGGCATGACCATTAATGTGAGTATTTTTTCTACATTGTTTTATCAACTTTTCTTAACCTCTAAATAAAAATGATAAAGATGACGAGTTATTACATTGACTTGCCGTTGTGGATTGAATACTAATTTAAATTTTGCCTTTGTCAGCAGTTAAACAAGTCTGAGCATGTTACTGAGTTACAATTTTACTTTTTTTAAAATCTGCATTCATGCTATTTATTCAAATAAGGATGAAAACATAAATTATACGACCATCATATATTACCAAGTAAATATATTTAGGTTACAGTGAGTTAATTTTAATTTAATTATATTTTGGAATACTTTAAGTTACTCAATAAAAAAATGTTTACAATTTTAGCAATAGAGAGCAGACAGCTGGGCTGGATCTCATGAGATTCTGAGTTTGAATTCAGCTAACTGCCTGCGATTAAGCTGGAATTCAAATTCAGTGAGTTGATGGTCTTAGCCAATCACCAATGACTGCATAAAAAAGCATTTAATCTAATGGTTTTGCACTTAATTTGGTAAAATTCCAACTTTGAGAGTTAGAATATTGGTTTTACTGTCATGCAACTAACACATTTTAGCAGAGGTCACTTAAAACACTTTCAGATGTAACTCTTGAGTGTCTGCCTCTGTGGGCCAAGATGATACCAACAGACAATTGGGATGAAGTTGGAGAAAATACGAAAATGTTAAACAAAACAAGAAATTGATACAATTTGCTAAACTAGACCTGATGGATTCCATCCACTAAGTTATTTTCAGAACCATACTGTAAAATAACTATGCATTTGTAGTCACAGTACCCTTTGCCAGCAGAAGCAATTAAAGAGAAACAATTAAGGTATGGAAAATGGTCAGTTGCTCAACTTGTTGGAAAAAAGAGGGCAACTTTTATTTGAGTAAATTGAGTTAATTCTGCTACTTCTTAATGGAACCCATTGTGAGTGCGAGTTTATAAAACAAGCGAACGCGGAAGGCATAAAAAAGCATTTAATCTAATGGTTTTGCACTTAATTTGGTAAAATTCCAACTTTGAGAGTTAGAATATTGGTTTTACTGTCATGTAACTAACACATTTTAGCAGAGGCCACTTAAAACACTTTCAGATGTAACTCTTGAGTGTCTGCCTCTGTGGGCCAAGATGATACCAACAGACAATTGGGATGAAGTTGGAGAAAATACGAAAATGTTAAACAAAACAAGAAATTGATACAATTTGCTAAACTAGACCTGATGGATTCCATCCACTAAGTTATTTTCAGAACCATACTGTAAAATAACTATGCATTTGTAGTCACAGTACCCTTTGCCAGCAGAAGCAATTAAAGAGAAACAATTAAGGTATGGAAAATGGTCAGTTGCTCAACTTGTTGGAAAAAAGAGGGCAACTTTTATTTGAGTAAATTGAGTTAATTCTGCTACTTCTTAATGGAACCCATTGTGAGTGCGAGTTTATAAAACAAGCGAACGCGGAAGGCATACCATGCGCACTTCAAGCCACCGGTTAGCAGCTGAGAGGAACAGGAATGGGACGTTGTTGGCATCGATGAGTTCGAAGATCCTCTGCCGGAACTGGCTTTCGTGCCTGACAAGAACAGTCTCAGAAGAGACTTATTATGCAACAGCAGCTCAGCTAAATGAAGAATATCATAAAAAAGAATAATCACTGATAATGTAAAATCAATGACAATCATTATTACTGTCATCATCATATGTTGGATGTAACTACCCAGTATAAACAATAATTGGACATTTTTCATGGGACATTTAGTTCTAGATATCGGTCACCAAAGGACAATCTGCCCATTTTATAGTTATACTAATGAGTCCGTGATGCCAACCCACAGTGGCCAAATGTTATGCCAATGACAAACTCTGTTGTGCAATAATAACACCATAGTAGCAGCTGGTGTTCCAATCTGATTACATTTGCATAAGCTCCACAGAGTTTGTGATCAATTTATGCACGAAGATAAGTACAATGAGATGAGACTAATATTACAGCATTTAATTTCCACGAAAACAAGTGTCTGGAAAGGATTTGAAATAAATGTACTCTCAAATGGATTATTCATTTGAATTGTAAACACTACATCAGAAGGACAGACACTGTGATAATTACACAGGAAACGATCAGCATCATAATGAGTTTGTGAAAAGGGTGTTTTGGATTAGATATTGAATATTATGATTATAGTACATAATTATCTCTTGATCAATGATAATATTTAGTTTTACATTTGATCATTGCTCCTTATTTTCTTTTCTGACATGATAATTATCATTTTACATCGATATTATATCCTCTCAAGTATTCACTGCAAAGGAGATCATCACCCGAATTGACTCAGCCCTACAGATTGATGGGTTGATTGGAATTGAGGGCATGCTGCTCAAATTGATAGCTTTGATCAAATTCATAAATAGCTCTACAAGGGACCTCTGAAAAATGTTGTTCGTGAGAAGTGCCCGTTTATATTGATATTACGCTTGCTTACCCTGGAAAGCCTGAGCCTCAGGTCTCTTTTTGAGGAGGGTCCTGCTAAGTTTTTTGGCATTTGGGGGACAATGTGGTCATGTGTAATCCATAGTGAGTCATTTGCAGGTATATTTTATGAGGTATGTTTTATGAGGTATATTTTATGAGGTATATTTTATGAGGTATGTTTTATGAGGTATGTTTTATGAGGTATATTTTATGAGGTATGTTTTATGAGGTATATTTTATGAGGTATGTTTTATGAGGTATGTTTTATGAGGTATATTTTATGAGGTATATTTTATGAGGTATATTTTATGAGGTATGTTTTATGAGGTATATTTTATGAGGTATGTTTTATGAGGTATGTTTTATGAGGTATGTTTTATGAGGTAAATTTTATGAGGTATATTTTATGAGGTATGTTTTATGAGGTATATTTTATGAGGTAAATTTTATGAGGTATGTTTTATGAGGTAAATTTTATGAGGTATATTTTATGAGGTATGTTTTATGAGGTATGTTTTATGAGGTATATTTTATGAGGTATGTTTTATGAGGTATATTTTATGAGGTATATTTTATGAGGTATGTTTTATGAGGTATGTTTTATGAGGTATATTTTATGAGGTATATTTTATGAGGTATGTTTTATGAGGTATATTTTATGAGGTATGTTTTATGAGGTATGTTTTATGAGGTATATTTTATGAGGTATATTTTATGAGGTATGTTTTATGAGGTATATTTTATGAGGTAAATTTTATGAGGTATGTTTTATGAGGTAAATTTTATGAGGTATATTTTATGAGGTATGTTTTATGAGGTATGTTTTATGAGGTATATTTTATGAGGTATGTTTTATGAGGTATATTTTATGAGGTATATTTTATGAGGTATATTTTACGAGGTATATTTTATGAGGTATATTTTATGAGGTATATTTTATGAGGTATGTTTTATGAGGTATGTTTTATGAGGTATATTTTATGAGGTATATTTTATGAGGTATGTTTTATGAGGTATATTTTATGAGGTATGTTTTATGAGGTATATTTTATGAGGTATGTTTTATGAGGTATATTTTATGAGGTATGTTTTATGAGGTATATTTTATGAGGTATATTTTATGAGGTATGTTTTATGAGGTATATTTTATGAGGTATATTTTATGAGGTATGTTTTATGAGGTATATTTTATGAGGTATGTTTTATGAGGTATATTTTATGAGGTATGTTTTATGAGGTATATTTTATGAGGTATGTTTTATGAGGTATATTTTATGAGGTATATTTTATGAGGTATGTTTTATGAGGTATATTTTATGAGGTATATTTTATGAGGTATATTTTATGAGGTATGTTTTATGAGGTATGTTTTATGAGGTATATTTTATGAGGTATGTTTTATGAGGTATATTTTATGAGGTATGTTTTATGAGGTATATTTTATGAGGTATATTTTATGAGGTATATTTTACGAGGTATATTTTATGAGGTATATTTGATGAAGTATATTTGATCAGGTATATTTGATCAGGTATATTTTAGCACTGGAATGTTTGGCCGATATCATTTACAATGTAATTTTCTATTTTAGCATTGTTTTTTTTCCACGGCGCATTGCTTTGATCCGGTGGAGAAGACTGAGTTCCTCGCAGACCTGAGCATATTAGCCAATGACCTTAAAAACAAACATAAACGAGCTATTAAATACATTAAAATTTGTATAATAACACAAACAAATTGGTTTAACCCATTCTCTCTCATCACTTTATCTGATTACTTTATTTCTCTTTCTCTCTCTCGATGAAGTCATGTAGAGTTCCAGATGCGATTAGCAGATATCCAAAATCGCGGAGAGCAAGTTCCTGAATAACGACGGAATACTGTATTCAGCGAGAGGTGAGACAACATTAGGATGAGAAGCCCCTGAATGTGCACCAGCCAGCCCAGCTTGCGAGCAGAACTCACCGGAAGGCTCGAATGGTTGCAATGCCATCCACCGTCTCCATGATGTGCAGGAGGAGAGGCAGTTTGGTGTTTTCATCCAGTTCTTGCAGGTCTCTGTTCACAGCCACAGGATCATACATTATCGTCCACCCATCGCACGCCACATGCACTCGTGTCAAGCTTCAAGATGGTCTTACATTGCTTTTGGCCATCTCATACACCAGTGGACAATCAAGAATGGCCCAAAATGCAAATGTGGTCATCAATTTCAAAAAGTGGAACACATAGGTGGTACACCACTGCTCGAGTCGACCATTCGCTGGCAGCATTTCAGATATTTACCCGGTTACTCCTTAAGCCTTCCATTGGGCTCACTACCTTGACTTCCAACCATACCAGATAACTTTACTATACCGTTGGAACAAGCAGTGCCGCCAGCATTTGACAATTGTCTACTTGACTATGTTGTGGAAATATACACAGCAAGAAAAGTGCCTAATTCTATCAATCACAATGCAAGAACCACATTGGCAAATGTGTTCATCATGAACATTTCACTGGCAATTAGGTGCGTGCGGAATTGTCTTGAAGTCGATGCAGAATTACGTGTCTGTTCAACTCTGATCAACGGACACTCTGTGGGGCAAGACGAACGTTTGGCCACGACCAGTTACACTCTACGTTGTATCTGCATCTTCTGTAACTTTCTTCCACGGGGCACTGCCCTTGACGTTGGCGGAGGAGGTAGAGTCACCTGCAGACGTGAGCAGCTCGACGGGGGATAGGGACAGCCGTATGCGCCAGCTATTTGGCATTGCAACCGCTGGTGAGGCTCACTTGGACGCGATGCGGAAGTGCTTCTGTATGAAGTAGTGGACGAGCGCCAGAGGCACAAGCGCCACCAGGAAAATGGGCGTCACGTAGGCGATGACGCTCACGGCCGACAGAGAGAAGAGAGATGAGCGCACGAGGCTCTCGGTGCTGGACGGGATGAGCTGTGAAGGTTACAGAGACAAGTGGAGAAGAGAGATGAGCGCACGAGGCTCTCGGTGCTGGACAGGATGAGCTGTGAAGGTTACAGAGACAAGTGATCTACAACACCACTGATTTTTTTAAAACTGGGAAAAGTGCTGTTTGTGTGGTGGAGGGGGGGGGGGGTGTGGTAGTGCAGTGGTTAGTACATTTGCACTCTAAATCTGACTTCCTGAGCTTGATTTCTGGCCATGGCAAAGATCAGTGGCACCTGGCACTCACGAGTGTGGCCAAGTATGGTCAAGCAAGCCCCTTTGACTTGACTTGCACAGCGTGGGAAGACTTTCGTCCAGCAGTGAATTGCAAATTATTTTTTTTTATTTTATTTGTAATACACCTCGACATTAGCATTTATCTCCCGGACATGTTGCTACCATGCGCAAGAATAGAAAAACAGCTGCAGACAGGTGACAAGTATGGCCATGTGCTCATTTGAGCACAAAACCAATGTGACTGTGCATTTAGCAACAACAACAGCAGCCGCTGTTCGCCAAGATATAATAGTAACTTAGTAATGACACCGAGGACTGTATACTGGGAGCCTCTGAATTATCGACACAGCGACAACACGAGGCCCGGGCTTCATTTTTGGTCTCAAAGCTCGTCCCTTCCCTCGAGCGTCGCCTCTCCTCGTGCTCTCCCCTTTAATCCTTCTCGAGCCCCCTTCCTCGGACTCTCCCCGTCACTGTTTTTACCGCAGCCAATCCCCGTCCTTCTCCTCTAACGGTTCCCAACCGTCGCCTCCGATTTCCGCTCTGTTTTCCCGCTCTTTCCCCGTTTCAATCTTTCCTCCAACCTTTTCAAACCCCTGCCTCCCGACCAATAATCGCGGAGGCCTCTTTCCGCCAATAGGAGGCTTTGGCCTACTTTTGAAATGCAGTTTGGCTGCACGTTGGCTTGGGGTGAGTGCTTCGTAATTTTGGTCATTACAATTTTATGCAGTTTTAAATCTCAATTGAAAACTCAGTTAAAAAAGAACTGCTTGTTGTTGTGTTCAGTTTCTTGTCCTTCCCCTGGCACATCCGATTAGCATGATTGGCTATGTATGGCGCGAAATAAATTTTACATGCACACATACAGGTGGTGATGGCATTATCACGGCTCTTGTGTCGGGCTCGGTAAACTTTGAGGAATATGCATATATACACACACATTCCATTTCACTAATTCTCACACTTCTCACTTACCTGATCAATCATGTGTAAGTCAGCAGAGAATCTATTTAGAATGCTTCCCAGGGGTGTAGTGTCAAAGAACCTGCAATGCATATACACGCGTTATCACAAGGCATATCAATCAACGTCAGTTAAAATTACCACTGTGTGCATTGGTAAATCAATCTGCCAATACAACAATAATCTTCATGATCAACAACACTGGCACTTTTTGTCTGACGTAGTACAAGTAACAATCATGATGGTAACACCAATGATGAAGACAACGCTGCTGATAATGATGATCAGGACAAAATATAAGACAATGCAGCATCTGCTGATGACAATGACCAAAAAGTGAAGATGAAGTTGCTGCTGTTGGAAATAATGAACACAAAGCTGCTGCTGATGAAAATAGTAATGAAGATGCTCCTACTAGTGATGACGATAATAAGGAAGATGCTGCTGATGATGAAAATGTCAATTATGAAGGCAATGCTGCTGATGACGGTAATGACGATGACGTGTAAGCGAAAGGTGCCTGCACCTCAAAGGAGCACGCACGATGCGCCCCAGCAGCCGCTTGTGCAGGCCCCGTGCCGCTTTGAGTCCCACCCACTCGACGGCGAGGGACGAGATGAGACACATGACCACGGCCAGGCAGCAGAGTACGGCGAAGATGGATGCATACCAGCGGTGCTCGAAGACACAGGACTATGGGCAACACACAGAGACACACACCAATCAGGGGTGCTCAAAGACACAGGCCCATACGCAACACACAGAGACAAACACCAATCAATGATGTTCAAAGACACAGGCCCATACGCAACACACAGAGACAAACACCAATCAATGATGTTCAAAGACACAGGACTATGGGCAACACACAGAGACAAACACCAATCAGGGGTGCTCAAAGACACAGGCCCATACGCAACAAACAGAGACAAACACCAATCAATGATGTTCAAAGACACAGGCCCATACGCAACAAACAGAGACAAACACCAATCAATGATGTTCAAAGACACAGGACTATGGGCAACAGAGACAAACACCAATCAATGATGTTCAAAGACACAGGACTATGGGCAATACACAGAGACAAACACCAATCAATGATGTTCAAAGACAGGCCCATACGCAACACACAGAGACAAACACCAATCAATGATGTTCAAAGACACAGGCCCATACGCAACACACAGAGACAAACACAAATCAATGATGTTCAAAGACACAGGACTATGGGCAACAGAGACAAACACCAATCAATGATGTTCAAAGACACAGGACTATGGGCAATACACAGAGACAAACACCAATCAATGATGTTCAAAGACAGGCCCATACGCAACACACAGAGACAAACACCAATCAATGATGTTCAAAGACACAGGCCCATACGCAACACACAGAGACAAACACCAATCAGGGGTGCTCAAAGACACAGGACTATGGGCAACACACAGAGACAAACACCAATCAATGATGTTCAAAGACACAGGACTATGGGCGACACACAAACACCATCAAGGGTGCTCGAAGCCACAGAGCAGCGGGAGATTCACAAAGAGACAAACGCTTACCAACAGTGATTGAAGGCACAGGCATACAGGCGACACACAGAGACAATGACAAACACCAATCAGTGCTGCTCACACACACAGGGATATGGGCAACACAGAGACAAGGACAAACAGACATGAATCATTTGCACAAGCGGAGTGTCAGTCTTCAGGATATTAAGTAACATGATCTATTCATAAATACCATGCTGAATTCTAATTATCCTCTTACTTTTTTTCCCAGAAAGTGATTAAATATTGTGACAGCGATGGCTCGATCTCTTACAAAAAAAACAGTGTTAAATATTAAATAATTAAATTTTGATTTAAAGCTTTAGTGACTGCAGTGACTCATATTCTTGGTTCTTTCGGTAAAGTCACGTTTCACTTCAACGTGACGTTACCGAAAGAACCAAGAATATTTAATAATTGTATTGAGATTTCGATTTAAAGCTTTCGTGACTGCAGGGATTCATATTCTTGGTTCTTTCGGTAAAGTCACGTAAAGTCACGTAGAAGAACAGAGCTGTCTTTCCGACAGCTCTGTTCTTCAACTGAGGACGGCTGCTTGTGTTGTGGCCGAAACGTCGTGAGAATTGTATTTTATTATGTTTTATTTTTATTATTTAATATTTCCCTTCTACGTGACTTTACCGAAAGAACCAAGAATATGTATTGAGATTGATGTGAGACATTAAGAGGCTTTGATATCAAATGTTGTTTTCCCATCTATCCCCTCATAATTTTAGTGGGGTTTGTATAAATTGATCGCCCTGTATATTAAGGCCAATAAGGCACGTAAGAATATGATGGGGTTTACTTTTGTCTCACCACAAATGTTTCTTGGGCATGAACCACTTATTAATTGATACGGTCAGTTCAATTTCAGCAATATTAAAAGCTACATTTACTTCAGCTTTGTCAAATACAGTGATGGGATACAGCAGTCGTTTCACCATACTTCACCACGCTGTTGTTTCCCTGTTTGAAAGTCAGTTTGTCGTGGTTTGAGGGGTGGGGGGGTGTCACACCGATTACCGATGGGGAAGGCTATGATTTTGTCACGGTCATTTTTTTGTAAAATTCATGGCCGAGGTGCAGAGAAAAAATCAATAATTTCACAGCAAGGTCATGGGATATGGTGGCACAGTGTCCCACTTATACCTCTGTTTGAACTTTTTTTTTCTCCATAAACATAGTAATAATTGCCTTTTAAAAAAAAAACCTGTCAAAAAAGTTTAAGTAAACCAAGTGGATCATTTAAGTAATTTTCTTATTTTTCTTGGAATAATGAATATATTGAGAGATGGAGTCAATGACAAAACAATTTAAATACGGAACACCCAGTTTGCATAGACAGCTCTATGACCATCCTTCTCCCTCCCTTCCCCCCCATTTATCTAATCACTGATAGGAATCACTTTCTTGAAGGAATCGCCGCTTGAGGAATCATGAGATTCAGCATATGATTCCTGCAGGAATTTCTACCCATGACCTCAGCTCTACCCATGACCTCAGCTCGGCATGAGACCTCTAACTCTACAAGAGACCTCTAACTCTACATGAGACCTCTAACTCTACATGAGACCTCTAACTCTACAGGAGACCTCTAACTCTACAAGAGACCTCTAACTCTACATGAGACCTCTAACTCTACATGAGACCTCTAACTCTACATGAGACCTCTAACTCTACAAGAGACCTCTAACTCTACAAGAGACCTCTAACTCTACAAGAGACATATAACTCTACATGAGACCTCTAACTCTACATCAGACCTCTAACTCTACATCAGACCTCTAACTCTACATGAGACCTCTAACTCTACAAGAGACCTCTAACTCTACATGAGACCTCTAACTCTACAAGAGACCTCTAACTCTACATGAGACCTCTAACTCTACATGAGACCTCTAACTCTACATGAGACCTCTAACTCTACATGAGACCTCTAACTCTACATGAGACCTCTAACTCTACATGAGACCTCTAACTCTACAAGAGACCTCTAACTCTACAAGAGACATCTAACTCTACATGAGACCTCTAACTCTACATCAGACCTCTAACTCTACATGAGACCTCTAACTCTACATGAGACCTCTAACTCTACAAGAGAGCTCTAACTCTACAAGAGACATCTAACTCTACATGAGACCTCTAACTCTACATGAGACCTCTAACTCTACATGAGACCTCTAACTCTACATGAGACCTCTAACTCTACATGAGACCTCTAACTCTACATGAGACCTCTAACTCTACATGAGACTTCTAACACTACAAGAGACCTCTAACTCTACATGAGACCTCTAACTCTACATGAGACCTCTAACTCTACATGAGACATTTAACTCTACAAGAGACCTCTAACTCTACATTAGACCTCTAACTCTACGAGACCTCTGACTCTACAAGAGACCTCTAACTCTACATGAGACCTCTAACTCTACATGAGACCTCTAACTCTACAAGAGACCTCTAACTCTACAAGAGACCTCTAACTCTACATGAGACCTCTAACTCTACATGAGACCTCTAACTCTACATGAGACCTCTAACTCTACATGAGACCTCTAACTCTACAAGAGACCTCTAACTCTACATGAGACCTCTAACTTTACAAGAGACCTCTAACTCTACAAGAGACCTCTAACTCTACATGAGACCTCTAACTCTACATGAGACCTCTAACTCTACATGAGAACTCTAACTCTACATGAGACCTCTAACTCTACATGAGACCTCTAACTCTACATGAGACCTCTAACTCTACAAGAGACCTCTAACTCTACATGAGACGTCTAACTCTACATGAGACCTCTAACTCTACATGAGACCTCTAACTCTACATGAGACCTCTAACTCTACATGAGACCTCTAACTCTACATGAGACCTCTAACTCTACATGAGACCTCTAACTCTACATGAGACCTCTAACTCTACATGGGACCTCTAACTCTACATGAGACCTCTAACTCTACATGAGACCTCTAACTCTACATGAGACCTCTAACTCTACATGGGACCTCTAACTCTACATGGGACCTCGGCTCTACAGTCGCTGCGTCGGCACCTCGGGTAGCAGGTCACTGGTGCAGTTGTGGTTCTGAGCTGTGACATTGAGGGCGCGGCTGGTCCACATGGCGAGCCAGAAGTCTGGCGCGGCCATGGAGACGTGCTTGCAAAGCTGAGACAGGACGATGAGCAGCAGCAGGGGCCACCCGCTGGCCGCCAGGTATGACCGCCACTCGCCCAGAGGCAGTCCCGGCAGCTGGCGATTAGCGGCCGTCTCCCGGGCCTGCGTGTGTACCTCCAGCTCCTCCTCTGTGTGTGCATTACATGGCATGGCAAGCGTCTTACAAAACCTACAACACCAGCAACGCAGCAGCAGCAGCAGCATCGTTACCACCACTGTTATTAACATGATCGCAATCGTTACCATCATCATGAATTTCAGTTGAATGAAAAGGTAAATTGCTTGCTCGTGCCACTTCTCAAAGATGGGCTTCTATTAGAGGGATCTCTAGAGAGCCTTTCTCAAGAGGGTATTTGGCCTATTCTTCCAAGCTGGCCCAACGTCTTGCATGAGGTGGGAGTACCAGCCACACATAACCTGAATTTTTGACTGAGTGCGGTGTACTCATGTATACTGGTGGGTCGACAGAGGTGGGATTTAATAACCTTGGTCATTTTGTAAATGGGACATCGAATCGAACTGGTGACCTCTGGATTGCAAGTCGTGTGTGCTAACCATTACACTGTCTCAGTATCTTCTTGTCTCAGTATCCTTCACTATCTGTGCATGTATGATTCTTGACAGCTTACATGCTCTGAGTTAATTCTCTTTATTTATACAGAAAATCCTCAGGGTAGTCTCAAGATTGTGTTTCTGCAGAGTGTTGCTTTGGGATGTTTGGCCAATTCTAGTAATTAGTGTTTGGCACATGGGAGGAAACTGAATTATCCACATAAATCCTAGCATACTAGGAAGTAAGACTCAAACCTTTGCACCGATGGATTCAAGAGTCCAACTCACTGCCATTTCCCAGTGATTGTGAAGCCCAGTGACTTTGGGATAAAACTGCAGGATCTACCAAACCTTGCTTCCAAAATGCTGAATGACTGTTGTGTCTGAAAACGGTTCATTACATTATTAAATATACATGAACCGTTGCGCTATATTGTACTTAAAATATAAATACAATAACAAAACATCACTTTTCATATTTTTGCTGTGTGAAAGTCATTTGGCTTTCATCTTTTGTGCATGAAATGTTACGATTATTTGGTTAAGTCGGTTAGGGTTTTTAAATAGAATGCAAGTTTGAGTCTGCAGAAAAATATCATAAAATGTTAAATTGAAGCCAAGCTATCAACACTGAACTAGAATCGCTATTATCTAATATGGAAGGCAATAATGCATCGTGATGTGTGGAATTCGCCTAAACATATTCTAGACCTTCTGTGTCAACAATGTGATCTATTGCTTAAGTGACCGTTGTCATCATAGCTTATGAGAATAAAACTGTAGTGATGGAATTAAGGTTGGGCAGAAGCAATAGTGATCATCCCTGCAGAATGAAGCAGAGTGCATGTGCACTCCTTTGCAGTAAATGACCTCGGTTACACGCACGGCAGAACATGTTAAGTCATTGTTAAGCCAAACACTCGCTTGTTATGAGTGGTTCAAAAACAATTTGTAGGTGGTTTTGTTAACTCTGCCTTTGAACAAAAATCATGATCTGATGTGGCAGCCAGATCAACAAACACACACACACACTCTGCCCCCCCCATTTACCATCTGTGCCGAGCACAGTGTCACAATATTAGAGATATAAAAGCCGTTATAACGCTTTCCTCTCGCGAAATTGGGAAACTTTTTCCCACACTGCAGTTGGCTGCATCTAGTTAAAGGGTGACAACTCTGCCTTTATGAAGATTTATGCTCCAAATGACTTGTGTTTAATGCCCTTAAAACGTTCAAAAGACTCTCTGCGGCATTTGCGCGTCTGGTTGCCCTTTTTAAATGCAGTCAAGTAGGAGAATCTCGTGTCAGATGACAAATCACACGCACACTTCTTAGGGCAAACCCACACGGATACTTGCCCTTGCGAAATATCACGCGAATGGCCATCACATCTGAGCAAGCGGGATTGGTGCACAAGACAGCGCGATTTGTGTTACCATCACACACCAACTACTGCAGGTTTTAACGAAACACACATTTGCATTTTCTTGAATGTGCAGCACTTCACGTGGAGCCAAGTTCAGGTCAAAACAGAAGCCACAATTAATGGAGCTGGCCTTTTACCCTCGAATATGAAAATGATACACTTTATAGTTTGGCCTTGTGCCGGACTCATGACAAGGTAGCAGGCAATATTACCGTTTTCTTCATCCTCAAACGACGTTTTTACGAGCACTTCTTTGGAGTACATCGCACGCCGAAGGTTCTTTCTCTCCAAAGCTGTTCTGCTCTCAATAATAGTCTCCTGGGAAAGATATCAAAAGGCACTATCAATATGGGCCATCATTGGGAAAAAATCATCTCAGTTCGGTGTGCAAAATTGCAATGCACTTCAGAGCCGAGCGCTTTGAATCGCTCACATTTACTCTGCTGCGTTCACAGTGCCCTTGGCAGGCCTTTATTGCACAAGCAGAGTAAGTGTGATTTTTTTTTTTGCAAGAGTGGACTGTCTGGCTCGTCTTGGCCTGGGGTATGTGATGATGGGTCGACATTGCCAATATCCAGGCTGTTTGAGCAAGAGCAAATTCTTTAAGTGAGCAGCTGCCCAGGCCAGCACGGCAAACGCGTGGCAGGCGCTACGGCTGGAAATCTTTTTTCCGCCCAATGCGATATTTACAGATTGCACTCGGAACTCACGTAAGGCTAAGTAGACATTTGGTCTGGGAATGTGGTCCAGCACCGATTAAGATATATTCACCACCGACAGGGAAATTGAACTGGGATGGTCCGTTTTGAGTGCAGTGAAGTGAGCAGATACGTCCACACACCTTCTGTAGCTCCTCATCCTGCTTATTCATGAGCTCCTTCCACATCTCATAGAGCTCAGGGTCTGACGTCTGGATGTCCTTTAGGGTGCCTTCCCTCTGCACCGTCCCGTCCTTCATCGCAATGATCTGGAATGACAGAATCAAATACATACGCAAGCAACACCCCTGTGTTGTTCCTTGTTCGTTATTGACACTGCCCTAAAAGGAAAACAATACATATATATGCTTTATCTATATAATAGGAAAAGTGTTTGGGTAATTACCCTTCTTCGTAGCAGAGAGATATATTTAGTAACAGACAAACTCTTCCAAAATCAAATATGCATGCATTAAGTTATTGGACAATCGTATCAATAGATCCCATTATTAGTCTCCCTCATCGTTTTTCCATTGTACTTGAGTATGAATTTCTTGAGCAGATGCCACAACTAACAATTCTGTTTATGTACAACTAACGGAATTGGAATCTTAATCTCACCCGGAGCACCCATTAAGTCAATACAGCCTAAATTGTGCATCTGGCATTGGGCTGCCAACATTCCAACTGGGGAGATCAAGGTGCTGGGCACACTACTAGGTAAAAACACTAAGCATTTAATAATTCCTTACAAATCAATACTTTTGTGAACATTAAGAAAAATAGAGAATTTGGTTCGCATTTCTTGCAAGCACACGGCGAGTTTACATATAATAATGAAAAAAAAACATAACTGTTTGGGCGAGTTACATTTAGAATTTTACCCTTTGTGCTCTGCTTCCACAAACTTATCTGGATCAAACTGCTGCAGGGAAATATAACACTTACACACATTGCGAATCCATGTAACTCACTCTTAACAGAAATACCAATGCAGATTCATTTTATGTATGTAATTGCTGCATTATAATTTTCATTCATTGTCTTTTCCCCACATTTATTCCGATTGTGCTTTCAGTGCTGTGTAATGGCCTCTTTCGCCTGTTTCCTGCCCATCTGCTTACACGACAACTTGAACTGTAGCTGTGGTGCAAGATAGACGGTGAGGCACATTGTTGAAGACACTATTGTCTGCTAACCAAGCTTAGTGGCAGTCTGAGGACACCGCATTATGCAAATGATAAATTTGCTGCCTGGCCCGGCACAAATGCACACGTGACAAAAAAAACAAGTGGCATGTAATGACAAGAATACTCATTCAGAACTATTGCCTAGATGTGGATCATAATGTGTGCAAAAAATATCCCGTGAAAGGTAATATCAATATTACTTCTGCGATATGTTTAAGTGACCTTGATTACACTAGGGGTATTGCACTTTCTCAAGAACCCTGCGAAATTAATGTTTGTTACATAGCAGTTAAGCAAAAACATATATGTTAGAGTCTCACATTGTTGAAATTGCTGAATTTCATGAAAGCCAAACTTAATATACGGGATGTTTGTGCAGTTATTGGTGACAGGCTGAGACCATCAACGTGCTTGGACGTGGGCGATGACACAGCCACCTGCTTCACGAGTGGGAGATCAGGGATGTTACCCCAAATGCGACTGTAGCCATGAGTCCCAGACCACGGAGCATATCGGATCAACCTGCCCACTGAAATTTGTTGCTGCAGGCACTTAGATTTCTCCACATAACATCCACACCTCCGATTCGCACGGTTGGCTACGTACATACATCTCAGAAAGCCATTGAGTGGATCGCCAAACTAGATGTCCCATTGTAAGCTTTTCCCAATATACGAAAGAAGAAGACTTGAAAACCCAGATTGTAAGACAGAATGTCAGTCGTGCTGGCCCAGTGCTCTGACCACTAAGCCATCTGGCCACCATGCATTATACATTTCTGAAAGTAAAATAACAACACACACAAATTTTCAGCTTTGTCAATTCACACCAGGAAGAAGGGTTTTCCATCATGGGGGTTATCTGAGCATACTTCAACTAACCTATCAGCAAAGTTTGGTGGATTAGTTGGATTGGTTGCCATACCATTCACTACTAATAGTTATGGCTGGGTATTAAGGCAGGTTGCTGGGTTTAGATAGCAGTGTGAAAACCAGTTACAAAAATAAAAGAAATGCATGATAAGCTTGTCCATGGTTTGCCTGATCGAATCTCATTAGCACTAATAAACGAGTAATGCAGCTTTCATGTGAATATTGTCTTGAGCTGTAATTAGTATATGAGCTTACCTTAATACAGGGTTTGAGATGACTGTCTGTAATATTAGGGGGATAAATCCTTGCATCTCCTGCACTGAATATACCCACACGGCCCTATTGCTTGACACCTAAGCCTAATTAAATATATCAGAAACAAATTGGAGACAAATTACGCACACTCGATAATAGAGGATATGAAAATGTCAAACTGATGTTCACTTCCTATTGAATCAATGAATAATGTACGATCTTTTACGACTTCTTCGTAAAAATAACATGTACACAAGAATCACTTTTGTTCATTCATTGTACATTACTGTGATGCAACGTACTGATGTTTGTTGGGCAACTACCACTCAGTTCAATTCCATTTGAAGTCCACAATTAAGCTCCACGAATAATACAAGATACATTGAAACCACTTCATTATAACAGGTTAATTTTATATTTTATGGCATTAACATTGTAGGCATATTATCTGGCAAGCCAAGCAGTGGACCGAACTTAGGAGCCAGCCAGTGAAGCAGGCAACTGAATCTCACATTTACACATCGGCTTTCACGACCAATATTATCCCCAAAAACCTCTATTTTGAATCACACATTTTAGTCAAGCTATGAGCCAGTGGTTGAGCCACAGGACACATAATGTTCTGTGCTTTTTATAATGGATCTTTTTGTCCTGCTTCCTATGACCTTGTTAACATAAAGGCATTGGTTGTTTGCAAAAGCAGCGAAATCACTCAAGACACGCTTATTTAATTTCTTGCAAAGAAAATGATTATTGTATCTGTATATTTGCGTCCATTGCTAATTTTGTTTTACTTACTAAACAAATGATTACCGATCAATATACTTTGTTCCTGTTCAGAGACTGCTGGATAATTTATTGACTTGCTATACTGACTGTTTGATGATGGATGACTGAATCACTGATTGCAGGATCTCTGCCTTCTTCACTGTTTGATTTATTGAACTGAGTGAATGAGTGAGCAAGTGAGAAATCGGATTGCCACCTTGGAAAAAAACTCGAAAATATCATAGAAAGATGAATATTTCACAATTCTGGAAGGGGGGATGACAGTGTATTCAGAGGTTTATTCAGCCAGAACAATGAGAACGCTGTTCTAGGAATTATTTTGCTACATGACATCCATCTTGTATTTTATTGTCCTCCTGATACTGATAACATGTGTGTCGGCTTATAGGAACACAGCGAACAGTAATATAGGATTCAATGGATGGGCGTACCTTGAATGATAGTGGTCGCGCCTTACGCCAACAATCCCTACTCTAAGCCAGCCGAGAAGAGTCACAGAATTAGGAATTAGGTCCTGTGTGTATGACTATACAACGGACAAAACATTGGACGAGAATATTCCGAGAAGACTCTACGTGTTAGCCTGGATGGCTTGGCTCCAAAAAACGAGGACATCCTGGGAAAACCAGAACAGGTGGCAGCCCTGGCGTGAAAGCTGGGGGCACTCACCCAGTCTGCGTGAGTGAGGTACTGCAGCTTGTGCGTCACCAGCACGACCGTGCGCGTGTCGTTGTGCAGTAGGCCCAGGATGCCGCTGTGCATCAGATGGTCACTGAGGTGGATGTCCAGGGCTGTGAACGGGTCATCCTGCCATCATCAGCAAAAATAATAATAAGAAGAATGACAAACCTACACATGCGGTAACACGGTGGACAGGACCAACATTATGGGGTGGGCGATTGTGTTGAGGACAAAGGACACGAAGCTGTGGTTGGGCTAGAAATTCCACATTTCTATGGCAGGACTTAGTCACATATAATTAAACCAGAGCAGACTTTACGCAAAACGGTGCCAATATGATTGCTTCCATAGAAATAAAGGGATGTGCCAACCCTTGACTCGGAATTCAACTTTGCAATGTTGCGTTGCCACTGTGCCACCAAGCTTGGTAATTACTTTGTATAAACGTGCATAATGCAGAATGGTATGAACAAACACTGATGTGTGAGAAGACATGTTGCATCATAGCAGAATGAATCAATCACATTGGCAATAATATAAGCTACGTGTAACGGCATAATCTTTATTTACTCACACTTGCTGTAAAAGGTATGTGAGCAGTGGTATGAGTGATCTCTATATTCTGGGACACGTGGACTTAACAGATTTGGATCAATCTCAGTGTTGAAACAAGCCGCTAATATTGATGTGTTGCTCCTAACGCCTTCTTAAGGTTCATATCTCTGAGTGCAAATGGGACCTTTATGAATAACTATCAAGTTGTCAGTATGAATGTTTACAATCGTTACCAATGTTGATAAATATCAACATTTGAATAAAAAAATATACTCTTTACAAAAATAAGTACACAGGTAAAACACGTAGAATGGATTGGATTGCCAGAATTATTGCAGACATAGAAAAACATGCATCTAATTTTCTCCTTGCAGGGTATGTAATAATTGTAGGATGCAAGCAGTAGTTAGAGGATAATTTTACCTCTCATTCAATATTCAGTTGAGCCATTATATCTGGCTCAATGCATCTCTTTGAATGCATCGTACCATTATTAATGCTTTTACTTCTGTTAATGCAGCTGTTCCTATTGTTGTTAAATAAGGCCTCTGTCCGTACTCCTTTAACATTGCCATTCATTTTATTCGCATTGCTCTCTCTAAAACCAATAACAACACATTTTTGCCCCAATTTGTCAGACAAATTTTGGCTCATTAAAACTAACATGCGAATATTCTCTCAGAAATATATGTACGTTATAGGAACGCATGGCTGCTGTTGCTTGATATCCAATTATTTACAACAACAGCTGCGGGTTGCTGAATATTCCACACTCTTCCATCTGATTAGAGGTGGGTTTATTTCCGTATAATTTTTAATATTTTTGAAAATTAGCAATTTGCATCAGTCTACGGTTGCACAAATGCTGCACGTTTGCATCATCAATACACGCCACAATAGTTTGTTTAAATCCGCTATTTAGTGTGTGCCACGCATTAAATACATAAAGCTTTCTATAATGTATTTTGGCCTATTCTTCCACGCTGGTAAGATGCCTTGGAAGAGGTGGCAATTACCTAAATTTTAACCAATCACAAGTGACCTGCTGATTGACTAACTGCAGTGCACCCCTTTGATACTGCCGGGTGGACAGAGGAATTAAAGAAACTTCCAAATTTTTCGAGTGCCGCGATGGAAAATTTAACCAGCAACCTCTGGAATACAAAGTCCAGTGCAATATCCATTGTACCACGGGAACATATCCCCATCTATTCATTCGGTCAATACCACATGTTTAATCCAACCCTTTAAGTGGACACCGTGTGTCCTCGTTGCAGAGTCATGACCCATCCTGGCACGTCTGTCCTCGGAATGTGTTTTCTCACCAGGAACACGACGTTCGTGTGTTGGTACAAAGCCCGAGCCACGCTGATCCGTTGCCTTTGCCCGGCACTCAGGTTGATCCCCTGCAGGCACAACATGAACTGAGTGACCCAGCACTATGCCCCCAACAAGCAGCACAACCGAGGAGTATTATCCCTTCATTTGCATGGGTTTTCTCCAGGTATGCTCGTTTCCACTCACATGCAAATATAATAATTCCAATAATGACCTTTGGTTATCCAGGAAAGCCCTAGTGAGTCTCAATAAATATTTTTAGAAGCGTCCTGCATTGGAATGAAGTCTTGATGTATGGGAGGAAATTTAAATACCCAGAGAGAGAAAAAAAGAAATACCAAAGGGAATAACACCCCAAGTTGCAGCACAGGTGGATTTAATCAATTTGCAGGTCTGTCATTTCCTGCCCACCTTTGCAGCCCAGCGAGTTTTGGAGCTTCAAAAATCTGCGCGATCCACGAACCCTCGCCTCCAAAGTGCTGGGTTACTGACGTGCACTATCATAACCCGGTTGGAAACACATTACGATCAGGACCCTACTGAGCAAGAGCTTTCAAACTAAGCGAGGTTTTCCTAAATAACCAGGAAAAAAATATAACCTATCCAATCAACAGAGGTTGTAATATGTAATTGCCTAATTTGCGCACGTTTAATTGAATGGTATATAAACTCAATTAGCACTATCCACCAGCAGCATCACCATCAACAGCAGCACCAAGAGCACAACCACTATTCCTGGCGTCAGCAACATCACCAGCACATACAATCCACTCAACTTTGAACATCGACCAACCATGTATTTATCAGTATAATTCAGAGGTATCCGCTACGGTCTATATAATCACGGAAATTGTAACTTTCAACAAAGAGTGAGATGCGATATCGAACAGGCGCTTGGGACAGTCCTGTTTTTGTTGTTGTTAAATGTCTCATGATCTCGGGTTGTTACATTGAATCTGTTTTGTCAATCAATTTTCAACTGACCTTCTCTCCAATCTGGGTCCGGTCCCCTTGGGGCAGGATGTCAATGTCAGGCTGAAGCGAGCACGTGTTGATCACTGCTTTGTACCTGCGCGGCATTGGAAATGGTTAAGACCTCTCGGGAATCCGTCACTCATTTATAAACCCCACATTGGCAGCTGCATTGATCACCGTATCCACGATTCTAAATTAAGAGGCTTCCGGTTCCCTTGGTGATAGCGCAAATGATTGCCCATGCCGGAATATGGAGTGGCGGTCTATAATTTGTTGGTAATACATATCAGATGACGCCCATAATCCAAATGTTTAATCGAAGGAAATTACTAATCCGTTGAATTTGTCACAGCCTGGTCATGATGTTCCGTTGGAAATGGTTCCAGCGATTTCCCATTCGCAATAAAATTCTAAACAGCTTCTACTGTGTGTCCAATTAGCGTGGTTGGCTACGTACGGTAAGAATAAAATTAAACATACATACTTCGGTGACCTACCTCATGCCTTTACTAAAGGAGGTTATATAGTGGGTATTTGTTTCAAACATTGCAATGCATTAGTAATCATAATGTATTATAATATATTTCCCAGCTGTGACACTACCACTGCTGGTCACTGGAAATGTACTTCTGGAATTGTATAAACAGTATGAGGGATAGAATGAAACATCGATTTCTCAATGTTAATTACTAAAAGAATTATGCATGTATCGAATAATATGTGAAAGAATCAATGTTTTTAGATTAGTACTGTTAATATTGTATGGAATGGGTGCACGTAAGCCCTGTAGCCAATAGAGGCACGACCATTCACAATGTAACAAAATAATAATCGATTTTTGAATTGCATTGACACCTAAAATCTCAATAATTCATCACATTGCTGGGGTGGGGTGAAGCATTTCACCCAGGGATTAATTTCAGATAGAGTTGACCAGGGCTGAGCTCTGGAATATATTTTCCTGCCCTCCACTGCCCTTGGCTATGAGGCAAGCCAGGACCCTGGGGAGAAAGGGGGGGTTAGAGGGCCCTAGAAAATATTCCATGATAAATTATTCCTTGGTTCCACCACTACCACATTGCTCAGAATGTGAAGGGATAAGATGTTTATGGCCGTCTATGTATTGCTTATCAGTTTTTTCTTTGTAATGGTGCAAAGACCCTCCACTGGATTGACACGGCATGCATCCAGAGCACATCTAAAGTAGTTTCCATTACAGTGTTCACTTCAGCATAGACTACATCTCACAAAAATCAACGCTTCACCACAATTTCAGATAAATAGACAAAATAGCCATATAGGTATCAGCCACGTACTGATGAGAAGTGCAATTTTTCTGTTATTTCATAGTCTCAGCTCCACTACCGCTTGTAAAAGAGAACCTAGCAGTGTAATGCGATAAGCAGTGAGATCATCATTAGCCATGGTCAGTCCACTGTTGGATGATGGCCTCCCAAAGTTGCTGGCATATCTCACGATCCTTGTGACAAAATAATCCACGAAGCAATGAGAGTGCAGCTCGATGGAGACGTAATTAAGTGAACAGAGCTGAACCTTTCTTCATTGAAGGGGCTCCCGAAGGTGATGTTCTCCTGCACGTTGGAGTTTAGGATCCAGGGTTTTTGAGCTGCGTACGCCACGGAACCTCGTCGCCTGCCAAATGCAAGGTGCAACACCAAGCAGGGACAATCGCCGTCAATCAGGAGGCATGTCACGTGATTAGAACGGTGTGTGTTGGCTATCGGGATGAACGGTGGAAGAGAAATAATAAAAAAAAACAATGCTTACGTTTCAGAGTTTTAGAACATTTTACAAAATGTTGAGGCTCTCCGCTCTTGACGATTATTTTTTGTGTTTACACTTTGCCAACAATGTTTATTATAGCAAGCATGATAAATAGGAAATACAATAATCAAATTAAATAATGTAAACATTGATTAATAAAATAATGGCATGTCGATGAACTGTGAAAAAATGTACTGAATATTAAGTGAAAAAAAGCAATGCCTTTATATATATGCAATGTAATTATATGTAAAGCACTTCATCAATCCACTACCGGATGAAGGCCTCTCCATGCCGTGCCGGTCATGGCGGTTGTTTCACCATCTATCACCACACCGGCTAGTGCGGCTTGTAAAGGGTGATGCCGAGGGCTGGTTTCAGATATCACTCGCCACCGATGTTAGCCACGGCCGGGTGACAGGATTCATAATGCATCGCGCAAACCTGTTGCGCCAGCGCTGATCTCCAATGCCTCTATATTTTTTCGTACTTTTAAATAGGCTGCAAGAGACAGCATGTTGCATGCAGCTAAGCTCGTACAATGGCAATGCTAAACAGAATTACAATCAACCCACGGGAGAGCTGCTCGGCACAGCCTGACCTGTTCCAGTAGACTGAGCCGCTGACGAGATGCATCTCTCCCAGCGTCGCACTCAGCAGGGACGACTTCCCACATCCAATCTGACCCACGACCATTGTGAGCTGCCCTGTGCAGACCAGGATAGGCAGAAACATTCATGGATGTCTTTGTCGTCCCGTTGCTTACCTTACCGCATGACAACGGGGTGCACGCACAAAGTCAACCTAGGCCAAACCCCAGCCAAGTTGAGATATTACGTGTGGTTGACTTGTACAGAATGGGAAAACAAGACATGAATGTGGTTTCAGAAAAGAATGATGGAAAAAAGAAGCCATTCTAATATCATGAAACTTTCGAACAAAATACTGTATCTAGTAAAAGTGTTCAATAATCGTCAGCCTGCTGCTTACACTGGTAGGATTGGCAAGCTTGGGATTATACATACACACACAATGTGATTGTAGGACAGCATCACCATAATAGCCGCTACTAAGAGTCAACGGCGTGACCACATTAGCGATAAACTGCAAGCTTACATTCAGATTATAAAATAATGATTATCAAAGGGTTACTCGTAACCGACCGTGTGGAATACAAATGTTGATGTCGGTGAGGAGGGATGGTTCACTGGAAGCCCACGTAAACACCCCACCGGTCACCTGCAGCAGCACCGACAGCAAGTTAGGGTTCACCACGTGCTCCACGCAAATCAACACATGGCACGGCTCAAGAATACACTTCGGAAAATCTGTCGGATATTGGTCGTTTAATTTTTTTCTTATTTTATTTCAGCTTTGTCTTAATGTCAACTGTGTTGTTTTTTTTTGCCTTTCCCTATACAATTTTAAAAAAGAATCATGATTGTGCCATCGGTATCATGTCATGACACCGACTATTCGGATCTCCCACAGAAGGGCGCAACCCTTCGCGTTCGAGACCGTCCCACGGAGCCACCCAACCACCTCGTTCAATCTTTCATTCACCCCACAAACTGTGAATTTCTGCTTCCAGGGCCTCTTGGTCACCTTAATGGCAAAGTCCTCTGATCCATCGGTGAATTCAAACTGCCTCCAGTCCTGGGGGGGCTCGAAATCATCCCACACAGGCTTCTGTGGTTGCTTTCGATTCACCGCCATCATTTGCTGTGAGCAAACACACAAGGGAGCCCTAGTTGTGCAGCATCACTGACGACGCTGCCGCTGCACCCGGGCACAGATCCATTCCCAGACGTGTTGTAGTTGACCGTCGAGGAAATTAAACTTGCATGAAACACTGAAAACGCTGGTTTAGCAAAAGCAATGTGTCCGAGCCCTTAGCGCCGCATTCCTTCGTGGCAAAGAGCAAAAGGGTTGCAGTCAAATTGTGTCCCTCGGAAAACATGCTTTTCGTGTAGAATGTCTCAACAGACTAGACATAAATGCATATATATGCATACACGTATATTTATGCATTCATAAATGCATTCATAAATATGCAATACATGTATGCACTCATCCAACATACCATTACAGTATATTGGGATATAAAAGGCTCGCATTGTACATTTATATTTGACATCACATATATAGTGTTTACATAAACTACGCACATTTATCGACACAGCTGTAATGTTTTACTCATGTAATTTCGAAGATTGTAGCACAATTACCCTTTTCAGATGTAATATATGCAGTATATTTAAGATGACTCTTTGGTTCTTTCGGTAAAGTCACGTAGAAAATAAAATCAAACAATAATAGAATATGACGTTTTGGTTGCAACACAAGCAACCATCATCAGGTAAGAATGAATGATAAAACACAGACACGGGGAACAGCATAGGCAGACACACATGCAGAGAGAGACACACACAAAGACACACCGAGCGAGACACACACCATTTAAGATTATCAAACATGTCAAAGTCAATTAATTAGCATAATCCAATCAAAGCAAAAAGGTCAGAATAGCACAGTCTATATCTGAGCAGATGACTTGGAAAATCCATTCAGGGTATGCGAATGAAAATTGTTACGTATAATTCCAATTACCACAAACATAGCTTACTAAGTTGGTAATAGTTATTGATTTAAATGTATAATGTTTAAACACAGACGCTGTTTAACCTTCTAAGATGTAGATGGCGTTTCCATTTTAACTAATCAAAATAAATTGTAAAAATAATAATGAAGGAACAGCTGTGCAATTACAAGTTCACACCACTGCTGGTGGGAGTGTAATGATCGCATTTGCATGAAGAACGAGCGGACAGACCACGACGGGCATGAGGAATGGGCGTGTGAGAAAGCTCTCAATACGTGCTATGTAGACGGATCTCACCACCACATCGGCGTTGCTACTTTTTTTTGGCCGAGGCTCCACGTCCAGCGTGTTGGGTTCGTCACCAATTTCGCTGGTGGCGAGGAACTCGGTCAGCTTTTGCATGCTGCATTGTGCACACAAAGACAACGATCCCCCAGGTTAGCCTTAGCAGACTGCTGGGGCAAGTGCTGTTAGCGAGCACCTCTCACACACACAAACAAACAAAGATCCCCCGTGTAGCCTTAACAGACTGTAGGGGCAAGTGCTGTTAGCGAGCACCTCTCACACACACAAACAAACAAAGATCCCCCGTGTAGCCTTAACAGACTGTAGGGGCAAGTGCTGTTAGCGAGCACCTATGAAGGCCGGAACGGTACACGAGGGGGTGGGTGGCCAGCACCACGCCCGACCGCCTTTGTCTCCCCAGTGGCGATGTTTACACACCGCACCAGGTACTCATTTGAGGCTGAGTCGACCTAGGGGAGGCCCAGGACCGGTTCAGATCATCGTCACTGGTGTTGGCCGTGAGCGGGTATCGAACCCGGATGACTGGGTTCATAGCACAGCGCGCTAACCGCTACACTACCGCTCCCCACACACACACACGGCGACACATACACCTCCGATAAGCATGGTTGGCTACATACGGAGCGAAAGAAGTTCAACATACATATATAGAGACACAAGGCGAATGTGCTTTATATTAATGAACAACTGCAAACCGAATTTGAGCATGCGCAGGAGCCCTGTACAACAAGGGTTAAATTGGAATCCAAAGCGTATAGCACAAATGTGTGTGTACATTTACAGCCCTTCTGTGAATACACTGATGGATGAGGACCTCCCCACGAGCTGTGCGGGTCACAGGGGTTATTTGGGCCACACTTCACCACGCTGGTTCGTATGTATGCATGAATGTTGAACTCATTTCGCACCGTACGTACGTAGGCAACCGTGCTAATAAGAGGTGCGGGTCAGACAGGGAGCACGGACGTGGGAGCATGGACGTACAGAACGACTGCTATGCTCCGCGCTGCCCACAACAGAACAGGGCCCCGCAGCTGCCTACAACACCTGTTTACAGCTTGGTGGTCACCCCATCTAAGTACGATACCCGGCTCCCGCCTGCTCAACTCTCTGGCTGATACGATCATAGGCATGAGGACAGTAAAAACAAAATGGTAAAGTCTTCTTGGTTCCTTCGGTAAAGTCACGTAGAAGGGAAATAATAAAATAATAAAATTTTAACATAATGTTATGGTCAGAAATTAATCTATCACATTAACACAGCTACTTCAATGCTAAATTATTCTGTTGATATGTAAACTCCTTTATCAAGGCGCTCTGCTCCTCCCACCCAGCTTAAAATACGCTGCCAAGCTTAGCAGTGTTCTTTGGAGCGCTGTCTTTCCGACAGTTCTGTTTCTTCACCTGAGGAAGGCTACTTGTGTTGTGGCCGAAACGTCGTGATAATTTTATTTTATTATGTTTTATTTTTTATTATTTTATAATTTCCCTTCTACGTGACTTTACCGAAAGAACCAAGAAGATGAATCCCTGCAGTCACGAAAGCTTTAAATCGAAATTTAAAATGTTAAAGGTGAAGCCCTCCAATTTCTTGCTCACACCCCGCCTGGAGGAAGGAAGGGGGCCTCCTCTGGAGGGAGCTCTAGAGTGCCCCTCTTGAGGATATTTGTGCCTACTCTTCCAAAATGATATTTGTGCCTACTCTTCCACAATGATATTTGTACCTACTCTTCCACAATGATATATGTGCCTACTCTTCCACAATTATATTTGTGCCTACTCTTCCACAATGATATTTGTGTCTACTCTTCCACAATGATATTTGTGCCTACTCTTCCACAATGATATTTGTGCCAACTCTTCCACAATGATATTTGTGCCTACTCTTCCACAATGATATTTGTGCCTACTCTTCCACAATGATATTTGTGCCTACTCTTCCACAATGGCCAAGCATTTTCGAATAGGTGGGAGTAGCCCCACTTTATCCAACCGCACAAGACATGCCGATCAACTAGCTGTAGTGTACCGCTGGTTGGACAGATGCAAGGGCTGTTTCAAACACTTTCCAATCGTTTCAATTTCCACGCCCGGGACATTAAACCTTGGTTTGTAGGTCCAGTGTGGTAACCATGACCACAGTAGCACCTGGTGTGTAGGATGCTAGTGTGGAAAGCCACCTGATGAGAGCTTTGACGGCAAAGCGTACGACGGTCGAGAGGAGGAAGAGGGGAGTGACCAGGATGTGGAAGAGAGCCAGCGACGCAAAGGCCACCGCCGGTGACAAGGTGATGTCAGGTGAGCTCAAGTGCACGTAGGTCACGAATGTCTAGACAGTGAACAGCGACACAAACGCACGACGTAAAAAAATGTTACATTAACGTTTGGCCGGGATCTGTAAAACAAAACATCAATTCTTTAGTATCTCTGGCAAATAATAATAAGGATATTTTTTTTAAAAAACGCCTTTCATATGGAAATATTTCAAAGCTCCGGACAATAATTACATTAATATACAGTAATACCCCGATTTACGTTGGGGATGCGTTCCTGAAAGGAATATCCAACGACGAATATCCAAACGACGTAGCTCAAAGTGATTTACAGGGTAAGTGGAGGCGAATGGTGAGGCAACAGACAAGATAAAGGATGGACGATGCTGTCAGCAACGTACGTGTGGGTTGAGGCGACGCAAATCAGCCAGTGGTATTAACAGTGACGACATATTTGCAAAACGACGTAAAAGGGGGAAGACGTAAATCGGGGTTTTACTGTAGTTGAAAATAACACTCACAAGTATTGCTGAAAACTAATAGAAATTATAACAATGACTAGATCCGCAATATGTATGGAATGAAAACAAATAACAGAATATAAATAATAATTACACTCCAATCAAATTACAGGAAAAGCCAATTAATTAAAATAGGATGGCAGGTCTTTGGCTCAAGCGCCCTTCATCTTGAACATTCTTCTTCATTTCACTCTATGGATCCTTTTCCTTCACGTCATCAAGCGGCATTTGTAGTCATCAAGCAACTCCATAGTGCTCCCATGGGGAGACATTCTCATTAATAAACTGACTGCCCAGTGCCGCAACTGCTAGATATGCACAAAAGAATTACACTAATTTAATTAATTACATTTGTTGCTGCATGGGCAATCTTCTCCAAAGCATAACAAGTTAAGACATAAAAATAGAAGTATTGTGTTAATTCTGTCTGCATCCTTGGCATTTTTGCCGAATGGTCTCAATTTAGCTAGATTAATTAAATGTGCATCCATTTTCCCACGGAACATATTTAATTGTATCTGTCAACTTTAGTGAGTTAAACGACTTTTTAGAAATGATCAGAATAAGAAAATTTCACATTTTATAAAACTTCTTTGAAATTATAAATGTGAATACAATAATGCAGATAAAAAAAAACTGCAGCATGTGTGAAAGTGGCCAACATGCCTTGCTACTATCTGTAATTTATTAAATTTGGGTGACATTCACAAGTTGAGCCTGCAACTTTCTGCAACATTATCTCTTTTGCTACATTGCTCAGCAGGGCATCCATTTATTATAGCACAGCCTTTCTTTATTGGCAGTAAATGTTCATCGAATTTTCCATACGTCCGGATGTGAATAAATGTATCTAATCACTGCAATGATGGAGCAGGCTATCCCACGAGGGTAATAAGTGGGTAGATGGCTCCGAAGTTCTCTCCTGGGGACACATTCTAATAAATAAACTGACTGCTTAGTGCTGCAACTGATGGGACAGCAGGCTCACAATGCACGGGGAACCACACACGGAATGTAGACGGCTCACCAATTTAACCAAACGCCTTTGGGTCATGACAACTACTGCCCAGCCTGTTATGTGGAAGATGGCCAATTCAAGATGCTGCGACCTCAATTTATAGCAAGGCGATTCAATGCCGACCTGATAGGTGTTAGATGTGCACCCACTGAGCAATGCCTGCTTGGGTAATCTAAACAAAAAAAACTAAACATTTCACCTTTGGTTTACAAACAAACAAGTCAACTATGAGGCGCAGGCTGCGTGGAATGAGGTTCAAATAAAACTCAATATAAGAGTCCTAAGTCCGACTGAGACTCCACCGCCGCAGTCGACTGCTCCGCGCATTCAGTGGTTCTCTTTGTAGACTCATCAATCAAATGTCTATGTTACGCATCAGAGATAGCCTTAACAGACTGTAGGGGCAAGTGCTGTTAGCGAGCACCTATGAAGGCCGGAACGGTACACGAGGGGGTGGGTGGCCAGCACCACGCCCGACCGCCTTCGTCTCCCCAGTGGCAATGTTTACACACCGCACCAGGTACTCATTTGAGGCTGAGTCGACCTAGGGGAGGCCCGGGACCGGTTCAGATAATCGTCACTGGTGTTGGCCGTGAGCGGGAATCGAACCCGGGTCGCCAGGTTCATAGCGCAGCGCGCTAACCGCTACACTATCGCTCCCCACATGTTACGCATACATAAACAACATACACACTCTACTTTATGAATGACGGCTGTTGAAATCCATCATGAACAATTAGTTTTGATTTTGCTCAAGCATGAAACAGGAATGGACTCACCGCCATGACAGCCGTAATCGGTATGGCCGCGTTCATGAAGGCTGCATTCAATAAAACACAAAAATCATTTAAGGAACTTCCTATATCAATAAAAGTAAGCATTGCATGTTCAAAAATTGAACCCTTAAAACAATACAAATATAACTAACAATTAAACTTTGTTTCAATATCACATAAAACTGGTGGAATAAAAGCATCATTGATCCTGCCATGCTTGTAGTGATTAGCAGACTGGACTTGCAATCCAGAGGTCACCAGTTCGATTAGGTCTCCCAGGGCAGCAGTTAAAACAATTGGCAAATTTCTTTAACCCCTCCGCCATTGTCCACTCAGCAGTACATATGGGTACACCACAGTTAGCCAATCAGAAAGCGGTGTATGCTGGGGTAAAGTGGTGGGTAACTCCCACCACTTCCAAGACATGTGACCAGTGTGAAAGAGTAGGCCAAAATACCCTCCTTGAAGTGGAAGCCTTTCTGCCAACATGGGTGTAAGAACACAATCACAGGGCTGCAATTATACCTTTACCACCACCATCATCATCATCACTATAATGTGTAGACCATGACTTTGGCAGTTGTGCTTAGATATCTATGGCAAGCATGGACAAATAAAATTAATAAAATACCACACATGGATGAGTATCTGGTGCATGCTCCGGTGATCTGAATCAACTGTGACAACTCCTTATTGTGAATTGATTTGAAAACCATCAATCATGCATTTGTCATCTACCAAATTTGAAAAGGAGGGATGATTGTAAAACCTTATGCTTGGATAATGTTCTGTATCTACTCTTGAAAAGTGAACTGAAAGATTGAAATAAATCATAATACAGTAATGAAATGATTGTTTTTGTTTTATGTTACTGTGCAGTAAATTGATTGAAGCCGTTCTGTATCTCTTAAGCACAAATTGCCATCTGGCTTGTCTCAAACAAGCATCAGGTAAGGAATATTGTAGTCGCAGCTTTCTTGAATCTTAGCCTTGTTATTACATTTGCATTTCGAGTTTCCCAGAAGTGACACGTTCAGTGAATTAACCATCTGTGGGTCGAACAACAGAAGATTGATTCCAAGACCTTCATTGGCGATTCCAAAGCCATATTTATTTACGTGCTGTCAACACAGCCTTGAAACAAACATTCATTGCCACTGGGGGTGGGAACAAACGACCAAGAGTCCAACCCATTCATCAGCATTGGCCGCTCGATTGTCGGTACAGTGATTTGTCCAAAAAAAGTATGAATGATTAATTTATTCATCTTGTTCAGGCACTTCATGTGTAATCAGGCAAAAGCCCATTGAGACGATGAATCCCTATTGCAGGGTAGACATGCGGTATGAATTCAACGGCATTCCTTTTTGTAAGGCACAAGAGTTGTTAGGTGGCGGCAGGGTTGGGGGAAATGGAGAGCGCAGTCCTAGCAACAACAAAAAAACATAAAACGTGAGATCGTTTCTGCGAGTGAGCAAAATTGGAATAATTAAACTACACTTGAATCACACATTACGTTCATGAGAACCAGAGGACGCCAAAACCATTCGAGACTAGGGCGTCCTCTGGTCTAACACCGTTTGAGACGAGGCTCGAAAGAAAGCTGTCTCTGGTGTGGACCAATCAGTTTAAAAGACAATGCCACATGTTTTATCAGTGTGTATTTTTGTTTGCATTCTGACCACAAGTATTGTGGTTAATACAGACATGATTCCTTATAAAAGGTTTCAATTTGGTGTTTTAACATCTTAACACCTGTTTTGTTGCCAGAAAAAAGGGGAAAACCTATTCTCATACGTTGATCTTCTTTCGCAACGTACGTAGCCAACCGCGCTAATCGGAGGTGCGGGGGAAGGACAACAAACTAAACACAAAAAGCAGTTCTAAAGAAATGAAGTTTTCAATCTAGCTCTGAAAGCGCATAGCTCCAGTGGCTTTCTAATATCGGAAGGAAGAGCGTTCCCGATGGTTGCATAAGTGCAACTGAAAGTGCGCGATGCAGTGACCCCCTTTGTTCAACAGCTATCCAAAAACCACCTCGAAGATGATTCGGAGTTCGCGTGATGGTTGATGCTCATTGACCTGCGCCCCAGAGCCATGCCCTGCCTTGTGGCCCCCTGTGCTCGTCTCACTGGACAGGGCGGTGTAGATGGCGAAGGTGGAGAGGCTGCGCAGCTCCTTGGAGCGCGTCTCCTCCACGGTGCTGCAGAACACCTGCTCCCAGGCGTACAGCTTCAGCAGCTTGATGCCATGCACCAGCTCGCTCGTCTGCTTTATCCGCGAGCTGCTGTGCTCCTGCAATGCATCGCGCACGCCCACAAAAGACAACGGTCCCCGATGCAGCCTTCAAAAGACTGTTGGGACAATCTCTGTCAGCGAGCAGGTGTAAAGGCCGGCACGGTGCGAACAGGGGCGTAACACCTTACCACCTGGCTACCTTCATCTCCACAGCGCTGATGTTCCGACACTGCACCAGGTACTCATTTAAGGCTGAGTAGATCTAGGCGTGGCCCAGGACCAGTACAGATTGCACTTGCCGCTGATGTTAGCCGTGGCCGAGAATTGAGCCTAGGTGGGTGGCAGTTCATACAGCAGTGCGCTAACCACTACGTTAACATTCCACCCATCACACACAAAGACATGCATGTAGATATAACTAAAAGAACAAAGATTCCCTGCATAGCAAGTGGTGCTATCGATCACCTATGAAGGCAGGAATGGCCAGCACCACTCCCAGCCACCGTTGTTCCCCAAGTCCTGATGTTTACACACTGCACCAGGTAGCCATTTGAGGCTGTGTCGACCTAGTAGAAGCCCATGAACAGTTCTAATACCACTTGCAGCTGATGTTGGCCGTGATTGAGTATCGGTTACAGATTTCATTGCACTTTGCCCTAACCATTGTGCCACCCTTCATCACAAAAACACAACCAAATGCACACACATGCACCCACGCACACGCACACGTGCAGTAATACAAATATTAATAGGCCCCACTCAGAAATGTACAGACCCTGTCTCAAAGCGACCATAACAATTTACTTTTCTTAGTGAATTGTGCGACTATTTTTCACGATATCAAAAATTACGTTGTTCAATTAAGCTTGCCAAAACAATCCAAAATGTGCCTATTGGATCAATACAACGTAGCGGAAGCGCATTGCTAACCAGTCAATCATCTCCCAATTTTATTCTTCAGAATAATGATTAGAGCTGCATATATGTAACACATTCAGTATACGAGATAACACAATCAGTAACATGTGTATATACGAAATACATGTGCAGCGTTATACGTAGATGTAGAGACGAAAAGGTGTACCAGATATAAAACATTACATATGCACATAATATATTTTTGCAATCAAATACATGGACACCACGACAAACATACATTTAACCTGTGCCCATGTGCTTTGTACATCACGATCATCTTAAAGCAGCATTTAATTAAAGCATACATTAAATAACAAATACGCTGAGTCACTTTATCAATTGGCAACAATTAGTGCAATATATTCCAACACGGAGAAATAATTTACGCAACAGAGCTTCCATCTGGGTAACAGAAGGGGAAGAAAGAAAAGAGGGGATGGAGGTGGGGGGCTGAAGGGGGGGGGGGGGGGGATGGGGGGGGCCGAGTCGATCACTGAACACGACGAAGTCTCGGGGAGTGCATCGTCTTTGTGCTGTTCGCCTTTTGGCGTCCTCTGGTCTAACACCGTTAGAGACGAGGCTCCTAAGAAAGCTGTCTCTGGTGTGGACCAATCAGTTTCAAAGGCAATGCCACATATATTTTATCGGAGTACGTTTTTTGTTTGCATTCTGACCACAAGCATTGTGGTTAATGCAGACACGATTCCTTGTAAAAGGTTTCAGTTCGGTGTTTGAACATCTTAACACAGCCGTTTTGTTGCCAGAAAAAAAAAGGGAAAACCTATTCTCGTATATTTTGGTAGTGGCCAAGGAGGTCCCATGTTGTCGGGCGGTTGTGCTCACCAGCGTGAGCTTCTGTGCGCGGGCGAGCTTCGTGGCGATGCAGTACTGCAGCGGAGCGAGCAGGGCGATGACGGCGGCGCCGATGAGGGCACTCACCCCGAGCAGGGAGTAGAGCAGCGACACCCCCACAATGATCTGCCGGACAAGCGCCGGAGAGGACGCGGGAGTGAAAGGTCACTCCTAGCGCTGGGACATCGCGTTGTTTCGGCAATCGATTTCCCTCTGCCCATTTATTGGTTCAATCGCTACAATACATCGGATAACACGGAAATAGCTGCGAGAGAAAGAAGTGCTCGTCTCCGTTTCCCACACGTGCCACAGGGGGTGACGGACGAGACTTCATGATATAGTCGGCATCACGGGCCGTGTCAAGTCGGGGTCGGCTGGTGGGGAGTTTCCCACCTTTGGGAGGCAGGATGTCAGAGCGGCAACCATTTTTTGGCTGAGTAATCCACCACAAACAAAATGGTCAATTACAACATTTATTCGATCGATTACATACCTGTCAACCCCTTATCAGTGCCCTACCTTATTACAGACCAAATCAGACCTTACTGGTCACCCCGTGCCCTTATAAATCTCAACGTTCGTCCTACAAAGTCCCATCACAAGGGAGAAACTCAAACAATTAGACACAAAAATGTGTTTGCCCGTATTGAAACGGCTTTATGCCGTCTGGACCTGAAAGCTCAATTTCCTTGTGCAAGAATACGGGAAACCGTATGGGTTCACAGGTGTGGAATTGACTTCATCACACTACTCGTCCCAGCTCTCTACTCCCTGCTGAGACGAGCTTGGAGTAGTTGCTGTTCTTCGGTTGCGGTCCATAAGCCGGTGGTGGATATTCCACATTCATATCGTTGAAGTCAACAACACCATATTAATCATTGCTGACTTTTCATCAGGGAAAGCACCTGCTACTATCTTGAATCTAAAGGCAGTTAAAAAGATAATGACATTTAAAAGAAAGTGAATACATCTGAGATAAATAAATTAAAAGCTTAGATTATTGTACAGGAAATGCATGGTCTGTCGACTCTGCAAATTTTACTAACTTTACCGTACTTTGACAATCCACTGCTCTCGACTTTGTAACAATGATACGTAATCCAGTAACGATGTGTACGAGGGCAGTGGTTCTCATTGTGGGGTCAAAATGACCCAGTCACACTCCCAACTGTCCATGTCTTCAAATGTCCACACTTTAAGAATGCTCGCATCATAATTACGAACGAACTGATACCAGGCGTCTGACTTGTAAAAGGCCGGATCACAAGTCTCGTCACGGCAGCTGGAGATGAGGATATCTTTGTGAAAGGGCTTTTGTTGTGGGAACACAATGTGATTGTGAGTCGCGTCTCTCAGACTGACATCTCTTGGCAAACCTGCACAGGCAGAGCCCAGAGGTTGGGGCACAGGAAGAGGAACCACATGAGCTGATTGGAGTCAACAGTCACGACGTTGGAGATGTATCTTGAGGTCATCTTCCCACGAGACACGCTGGACGTGGAGAGGTGAAGAATCTTGTCATAAATCATCGTCTGGAAAACATTTAAGAGTTTACATATAATATAGACTTAGTATTTGTAATATTTATTCAACATGGCAATGTGTGATAGACGTTACCTGCGAAAGAACACAATGTACAATACATTTTAATGGATACCCATATATATAAAAAAAAATTGTAAATAGTGTAGTCTTAGACTTGACAGTGATTTGTACTTATCATATTTAATGCTTTTCAAATTGGGATATTGAAATGTCGAGTAATACTGTACGTATGTTAAACTTCTTTCACATCGTATGTAGCCAATCGTTCCATATTGGAGTTTCTCTATCAGGGGAGTGGTAATGCAATGTGTTACGGACCCTTGAACCTGAGTTAAATCCTCGGCCAGTGCCAATGTCAGAAGCAAGCTGGAATCTGAGCTGGTACTGGACGCCCTTTTCAATAAATTGCACTAAGCAGGCTGGAATACGGTCAAACAATCTCCATGGCCAACATGGATTGGCAAAGGTCTCTAAATTCACATTCAACATGTAGTAGACTTTCGTGGCCAATATTATCCACAAGAGGGTTTTTTTTGGTGAGATTGTGTAAATATAATTCTGTCGTTAAACCTGCCACCACAACATTTACAAAAATTGTAAAAAAAATGTAAATGTTGTGGGTTTATTCTCCAACTAGTAACGAATTGGTATTTTCTGTTTACATGACAAACCTTACTAATTGACTGTGGCGGGTGTAACGACACATTTATATTTACACGATCTAACCCACAAAAACCTCTATTATGGTCTCTAAATTATTATTTATTCTTACAATACATAAATTGGCACAAATCTAAAATAAAATAAATGGTGGTGTAATATCAACTCAAGTGAGATGATACGAACGAAGCAGGTCCACTTTTTCTCCATCATCTTCTTTTACTTGTGAATTCCTAATAAAATGCCCGTCATAAGATTCTGTTGACCGTTTTTTTGTTTGTGGCCAAATGTCCTTAAACGACTGAGCTGTGATCATCCCAGCCAGCCTGTACCATGACCACTTTGGCAGCCAGTGATGTGAGAAGAGTTATTATTCACCCGAGCCAGGGTTAGATTTTTATTCAGGAATCCAGAGGTGTTGGAAACTGCGATCGGATATTGGAATTTGGCCACCTGCGCCAACCAGGGATTACAAATTAGGTCAAATATTGAGACCTGAACCGAGCAATTTCATGAAATAAGATTCCACGTGTGTGCTATGTGCTGACATAGCAGAAAAAGCTATGATTGTGCCAATATGTAGCACTGGCGAATATCAACATTCAATATATTGCACAATGCAACAAATTTTTGTTTATTTCATTGTATTAACATACAACAGTAAAGGAAAATAATTCAAAATAATTACATTGTTCATTATAATTATTGAAAGCAGACTGGGATCAATATATACAATAGACAGGCCAGAGCAGGTTGGAATGCTAATGGTGAATTTGATAATGGAAAGTAACACATCAACGTTCCTGTAGAGGAATGTTTTTGGTGTATATTGCCTGCTTCGACATGGATTGGAAACCTGGACACTGGCAAAGAAAATGTAACAAAAATTGAGAATGCATGCTGGGAATTACACTGAGAAAGAGAGGAACATCTGGATCCGACAACAAATGCCAATTACAGACATCACATAGACTGTACACGAATGTGAGTGGAATAAGGAAGGATACATTCTTCGAAGGTGTCATAACGAAATGACAAGCATGGTGATGAAGTGCTAGCAGGATGACCACCACAGAGATGGAGCTAGCTTATGTGCAGGAATTAGATAGATTATATAACTGCAATACCATGAGGGATGACGTGGGCAGGTATTCATCTAGCAGTGGATAAATTATATTTAATTTAATACTTACAAACATTAGTGGCAGTATTTATTTTAGCCTCACTCAATGCATTCCAAATATTTTCTTTTTGATTTTCAAAGGTGAAGATTTTCATTTCATTGTGCAATTAGGGTATAAATGAAAAGCACTTTTCGAGCCAATGTCTTCATAATCATAAGGCCCTTCCTTATAATAATGTTTGGTTACAAATTGGACAACTGAGAATGACTTTCTGAATAAAATTGAACGAGTTGAGCACAACATATTCTGTTCTGTGGCAATTATAATCTAAAGCACTCATTCACTCAAAGTCTGTGATTAATTGAGATTGGGTGTTATATATTGTGATCAGCTCTTAAAGAGAAGCTGGATTATGCACATGGAGAACCTGGACTTTCTAAAACTCTGGGTTGAGAGAAATATGAAGCGTTGTTCTACAATATGAAAACGTGTAATGACCATAGCAGGGGAGCAATAGATCTGTACTGCCAGAGGTGGATGGCTTGTTCAGAGGGTAAGTAAAATGTCAGGGCACTTAGCTGGTGCCCCTGAGATTCTTGGTATGACTCTAGGCAGCCACACATAATTAAACTGCATTCAGAAGTAGAGAAAGTTTACAGTTTCAGCCAATTTCTGCACAAAATAATTATCGTTCCATTTAGCATTAAACTTAAATCAACCTCTGAGATTTGATTTTTTTTTACATGGAATGAACACTTTGTTCAGGGCATTTCCAAGCTGTGCCCACCTCGTGTAGGCAATAAAGGAATGTATATTACTTTGGGAGGGGGGGGGGAACCCCACAAAAACCGAACCTGCACCGCCGCACGGAACTTGATGCCCGTCTCGATGGCCTTGTAGTAGGAGGCCTGCAGCAGGGTGCGCTGCAGCACCAGCGAGAAGAAGAGCAGCACGGACAGCACGTACGCATTGGCCAGGAACTCGCGCGATGAGATGAAGTACACGCCAAGCTGGTGCACCTGGCCAGGCAAAAGCGGGTGGCCCTGTTCGTCAGGGCCCTCTGGCAATGGCAGGTGGCCACACCTGTGTACTCTGCCACGAGCAACATTTGGAAGTATTCATAATCACGATTAATGATTAAATTTTTTTAAAAAAATTAATTGTTATTTAGATTTGTTTCAGTTGCCACGCTATAATAACGTAAGCTGTGGAATGTATCAGGGTTGTCAAAGGGAGGGGTCTGTCTTGACTGGTGTCCTGAGGCCTAAAACATATTGAGGAGTCAAACAGGTTATGCATTAAATGTTGATTTAAAGCTTTCATGACTGCAGGGATTCATATTCTTGGTTCTTTCGGTAAAGTCACGTAGAAGGGAAACAATAAAATAATAAAGTTCCTGTACCTGACACCATCGCAATCATTGAAGACTTGGTTCATCAAGGACTAAATACTGAGGTACCCCCCCTGGTGAGACACTGCTTAACCAATACATACTTCACTTGGAATGGAACTTTCTACAAACAAACTGAGGGCACCCCAATGGGCTCCCCCCTATCTCCGGTTGTAGCCAACATTTTCATGGAGAAATTTGAGACTGACGCCATCCAGACTGCCACTCTACGCCCAACCTTATGGAAGAGGTACGTGGATGACACTTTTGTCATCTGGCCACATGGCTGGCCTGCTCTAGACCAATTCCTCGACCACATCAATTCCATACACCCAGCCATCAGATTTACCATGGAAGTCGAAAAAGATGGCAAGCTACCTTTTTTGGATGTCCTAATAAAAAAGAGACCTGATGGTTCAATGAGCCACTCTGTCTACAGGAAAGCTACCCATGTGGATGCTTATCTGAAACGGGATTCCCACCACCATCCATCCCAGAAGAATTCCCTCATCAAGACTCTGCACCATAGAGCCCAATGCATATCCGACCAGGAACACATAGCCAGTGAACTTAAGCACGTACACCAAGCTCTTAAGGCTAATGGTTACTCCGACTACACAATCCGCAAAGCTATCACTCCAACCATGAAGAAGGACCCTCTTGAGGAGCCTTTCAAAACCATCACTTTACCCTAAATTGCGGGGATCACCAAAAAGATCTCCAAAATCTTGAATAAACACAAGATCCAGGTCCGATTCAACACATTACATAAAATCCGTGATCTGGTTCCGATTGTAAAATATTTGATTGCGGACATACAGTACCCTGGCGTCTACAAACTAAGTTGCCTCTGTGCTATTAGTTACATTGGAGAAACCAAACGACATGTCTCGGACCGCATTCGTGAACACAAAGCAGACCTAAAACACGGTAGGACCAACACCTCGGCCTTGGCAGATCACTGTTATAATTCAGTAGGCTCACATGACATTGATTTCTCCAAGACAGAGGTTCTTTGCAAGCCATCTGGCTACCATGAGAGATTCGTTCATGAGGCTATCCACATATACAAACACAGAGACAATTTCAACCGAGAAGATGGATTCTGGCTTAGCAATCATTGGAAGGATTTGATAAACCATTTCGGGCCTTAATTGATTGTTCACGCTTACGGTGGCTTTCAGACCGCATCCATTATTTTCGTCTCCCCCCTCCTCTTTTCCGAACATAGATGGACTCGTCCATCTGAACATACTGTCAAATCGCTCTCCGTGGTGCTAACGTTAAAAATAACCGCCACTTTTTAAAATTTTCTTGCTGTGGTTTTCACACCTGATGATGATTGCTTATGTTGCAGTCGAAACGTTGTGATAATTTTATTGTTTTATATTTGTATTATTTTATTGCTTCCCTTCTACCTGACTTTACCGAAAGAACCAAGAATATAGGTTATGCATTATTAGGGCTCTCAAAAATAACGATCATGGAAAATATTAGCGAAGCTGCAATGAGTCTCAAAACTCTATTTTTAGGAGGGTCTGTCATTGCGATGTTTGGCCAATTCCGTTTGCGAATAAGTTGAAATATCCAGAGAAATATTTCGCATAACAAAGGGTAACACTGAACACTGCAGTCAGTTGACCACTTTGTAGCCCCAATTTTACAACACTTGGCAAACCCTAGTGACCCATCCAAATACCGACGAGGGTCAGCTCCACTTAGCTTCCTAGATCTGATAAGATCGGACGTATTCAGGGTCAATTGGTTATGAAATTGTTTTTCAGGATAATGAAGCCATGAATAAACACGTTACATATATTTTTACACACCAGTTTTTGCTTTGTAACAGTCTGGGATTAGTCATTTAAGCTCTTCGTCAATCCGCTGTGGGATGAAGACCTCCCCATGCCATATCTTTTATGAGGAATGTTTGATCATACCAATCCTTGCTGGTCAGTGTTGATTGGTGAAGGAGATGAGGACCAGTTCAGACATTACTCACCACTGATCTTAGCCTTGGCCAGGAATCAAACTCATGTCGCCAGGTTCATTGCCCAGTGACCTATTCACTCCAATAACACTCTACCCCTGTTTGATATGAAGTCACTTAAAGATAAACACTAGATTATTAGGAGAGAGTGGTCGCTTAATAGTGGGCTAACTACTGCCCCACCACTCTACCTATGTCTGGTATTGGGCCACTTAAGAGATAAACACGCCATAAGTGGTGGTTTAATAGCTAGCTGCATGGTGATGAAAAGGACATCTATAGAAAACATGGGTTGGCTCTCTTTGCCAAATGAAAGCATGCTTGCATTAGGGCCTCCATCGGTCCTGATTATCCCAGCATCATCCCTTTTTGAGGTGGACTTCGATGAAAATTTGTAAATCTACCTGAGACAATAAAAGTCTTGGTTTTTTGTCAATTGCATAATATTATACCACTCAATGCATGCATACACGTGCAATTCCCTCCTCTTCTGGTATCGTGAGATATTCCCATAATGTCTTGTTTTTTTTACCTCAGAAGTAGCAACCATTGCATAAATGTGCGAGTGAATGCTCACATGAAATCAAAATCATTTGGCACATTTGGTGTTCGTTGCATTAATATACCGCAGGGCTTCAGACAGATATAGTCTTCCAGCAGAGACCGATATTGCACCTCCGATTAGCGTGGGTGGCTACATACGGTGCGAAAAAAGTTCAACATATATACATATGTAATCCCATTTGAGAATTTGTGAGCAATTTTGCAAATTAACAAATTTGGACCATGGATGGAAGAGATCCCCCTGAATGACGTCAGGGGATCTCCATCGGTCCCACTGTGAAGCAGACGGCCTCGCATCTGCATGGTTACTACACCCGCAGTAATAACCAGTAAAGGCACGTACCTGTGGCTTCAGCTGCTGCTCGTCGTTGTTGAGGTGGTGCACGATGCCGTATATGCAGAGGGGCCCAGTGAAGGCCAGCAGGTCGGCCATGTAGCGCAGCACGCTGCTCACGATGATGGGCCGGCCAAACGTGCGGAACACCGAGCGCCAGAGCGAAGGCACAACCTCCTGTCGCGCCTCACACTCGCGCTATCGGCACACGGAGTGTTGTTGCAACATTTCTTTTGTCAGATTTAGGGAACGGATTAATGTAAAAAAGTTTACCAAATTGCAATACATTTTCGAACAATGCTAGTCGTTATTTCTGTTGCGTATCGTGTGGTTTTGCATTGAACGAGGAACAATATCTAACAGAAGGGGGTCTTTGCCATATAAACATTCATCAATTCACCAGCACTGTATTTTTTGCCTAACTCTGCTTATTGTCAAAACGGGTCCAGAGTTTGCTTTATTGAACGAATGAGTGCTCCAAGAATGCTGAGTGGCTGATGGGATATGTAAAAAATAGTATTAATTATTTACATTGTCTCAGTATACATTTTTTGTTTTAAATTTTTAGTTTTACTCTTAAATTGCTGAACCAAAAAGCAGTCCAGTCAGTAGCAAACAAGTTGTAAAAGAGGTAAATACCTTTTCTTTTGTCAATTAAATTTTTTATAGTTTGGTAAATGAACTAAGAAAATTATAAGGTCATATAATTGTCATACCACCAATTATATATTTTTAATAAGCCTATTCTAGAATTATTAAGTTAGTAAATAATAACCTTCTATTTATAACTTTTATTATTGTGTTTGATACTTCATACATATTTTTTCAGGAAACAAAACACTTAAGAAACGTAAAATTGGCAAGAACAATCGCGACATAACGACATTCTCCAAAAAGGGGCGAAACATTTACCATACATCTTAGACTGTAAACGATATCGTAGCATCGCCACATCGCGACAACCCCTCGTGTGAACATCCACAGTTGCATACGACGCCACCTTGTGTTCCTGGAAGGATTTTTGCAGAAGGATGTAGTTGCTGAGAGCTCGCATGCCGATGGGCAGTTTGCCGATGTCTTCGAGGTCTATGAGCCGCGTCTGGGCCAGGCTGATGAGGTTGCTGAGCCACCAGTAAGTGGCCTGAGAGAGCAGGTTCACGAAGGGGTGCATGAATCGCACACCCAGGTCCAGGAGGTCGTCCGGAGGGTTCACCTTCAGCGGCTTCCGAAAGAATATGTACCTCTGTGAAAAACGTACGTCAAGGAGGAGGTGTTGTTGTCGCTGTTGGCTCAGTGCTGGACATTAGCGTGCCGTGCCCGCTGTCTTTGAGGATGAAATGAGGCGTGTCACTTTATGTCATAGGTGCATCTATGTGCATCTCCTCACACGAGATTCAGCATGTAACGGAAAAAAAACAATAACTGCAAGCATTCAAGAAGCTCTACATACATCTGCTGATTTTATTTCTGGTCTTCGTGTAAATGAGGGACAATTCCTCACTAGTTTTTTTTTATTTCCTGCAGTATGATGCTTGTAATTTAGCGCATAAAACTGAATGCCAGCTGAGTCTATGGCAAAAACAATGTATCTCTCCAGCTCTCCCACATATCTACCTCTGCTCTGCATTTCACATGCGGTGATTCTGGAGAGGTAGTGTGTGGCTGTTCAGGAATTAAATGCCAATATGTGGGAGTGTTTGGAGCCCCTAGTGCAGAGTGCACAAGAATTTGTCAGCTGAAATTGTGGGCTATGTTGATGCAGGCGGCTGAGGAGGTGTTTTTTTTTAATGCGTGGCTTAAAATAACCTCGTGAACGATCACTTGATAGCCATGTTGGAGCATCGTTTGCCACTTTTTGGCTTCACTCAGCAGACATGAGATGCAGCAAAGGCTCTCTATGCATGTCAAGAGATCCATGGGGATGAATAGATATAGCAAAGCATGAGTGACTGGGCGTCTGTGCACGTCTGTAGTGTCTACAGTACAATACTAGAGAGTTAGCAAACAGACAGTCACCTTGGGACAGTGTACCTTTCAGCACTGTGTGTTCATGGGCCACATTACTTCAGGCCTACCCAATAATGTTTGTTTAACAGGATATCCTCTGCTGATGAGGTTAAGATAATCTAAACCGGTCCACAATTTGCCTCCTGGGCCAACGCTGGCCTAGAAAGCATTGGTCCAGAAGGCCCATTAGGTTGATGGACAAATGTAATGATGATTTATTTTTTTAGTTGGAAGGAGAGACCTTTGTACTTTTACTTTTTGAGATGTGTTTTATCTTTATAGAACATTACATTTGGTGAAAGCAGCATACGTGAATCCAATTTTATGATTAACACTATACTCCAAACTACAGTGCCTATACAGTAGCCGTTCAGTATTTATTATCTAAATAAAGATACAGCAATGATGTTCTTCTATGTTCATGAATCCCAAGTTCTCACTCTCGTGCCACATATCCCAGCTCTGCAGGACTTCATACTTCCACTTATGCAACATATCTTGCATCTGTCATTCCTTACTCCAGCTGCCAGTGACACCCCCAATCCATGCCTTCAAGCACATCTCAACTCGACTACAGCGATTCCACTTCCAGACCTTCCACCGACACCCGTAAATGTGACCACACCACCTCAATATGCCAATCCTTTCCACTGGCGCCCAATCCAGTCACTGAGCAATTTCAAAGAGGGCACTTACCTTGATTTAACATCGTCCATGGACTCGCCAATGTCTAACACTCCCATCATATCTCACTCCACTCCCGTCTACACACTCTCTGCGACAGTGAGCAATGCTTTCTGTTGAAGCCCCCAGTCAGCCTTCGCTGAGTGGGAGGTAGCTTGTTCTCTTATGCTGCACCCCATAGTCTAGAACTCCCCCTCCCCAGCTCTCTATGCTGCAGACTCCCTGTTCAAGCCTCGGCCCAAGCCCAGGCTCAAGACCATCTTATTCTCTCCTACCCACGTCTATCACTGTATTTCTCCGCTTGCTCTTAATGTGCATCCTGCTATTTGTATATCATTGTGAGACGCTTTGAATTTAGATTCTAGATAATTTGTATTGCATGCTGTTATCATCCATTTCATTGGCGTCCTATGAGTGACTGTCTCTTTCTCGCTACACAATTAATATGCTCACCGTTTTTCTACAACACCTCGAGATGCCGTTGCATTAGGATGCAAAATAAATTCTGCATTCTATTGAAAATGTTGCCAGATTCAGCATTTTATTTATCCTGGAAGGATCCCCATAGACTGTCATAGCCACTTGGTTTCCAATAAGCAGAAGGAGAAATCACTTGACGTGTGTGAATATGTATCCTCATTAAGTGCACACTCGCTAAATGTATTCAATAAAAAGAGGTGTAAGTATGCAAAATCACTTTCTGCTCTTTATTGCGATGATTATTTTGTTTTATCCCTCGTTAATTTTCGTAGCCATTTTCACTCGAATAAATGTCACTTATTTGAACAAACAAGTAAATTGAAAACCAATGTAGAGAGATGATTGCAGAGTCGTGCACAGTGCAACACTCTTTGCCATGAAATGGGAGGCAAGGAAAACTCACACGTTTGTGTGTGCGGCAAAGTGGGTGACGCAGATGGTGCAGTAATCTCGGGCAGTTAACCCATAGGACCTGTGTCTGCCGTGTCACCTCTTGTCAGCGAGCATTCCACACTTCACGTAGCCTCGAAGTGCACCCAGCCTGGCACAAGTGCTCTGGTGACGTCACCGCCAACTTAGTGGCGAAAACGACGGCTGTTGATATATTTGTGTGTAGACAGAGCAGAGGGACACCGATGCGTGAGACATTCGCATCCGATGAGGTGGGGAAGGATGTATGTATGTATGTGAGGAACCAGTAAAGTATTTATAGTTTCTGACTAAGCACTTATTCACATTCTCTAAAATCTGACACCGAGGATCTCCATCCCATTGGGTCACGTGAGAAGATAGAACATTGTCGGCCCTTATTGCTGAGGGTTCTCATGTGCTATTGGACAGGTGGTTACTATGAATGTGCCAAGTCAGTGACAATCGAGTGTTAACAATAACTTAGAATCCATTTCTGGGTGAAGGCCTATCCATGCCACGTTAGTTATGAAGTTTGTTTGACCATAATTCACCCATGCTGGTCAGTGCAGGTTAGATAAGGGGACAGAGGAATGGACCGTTTCAAATATCACTCGCCACCAATGTTAGCTGTGACTAGGAATGGAAGTCAGGTCGCTGGTTTCAAAGTGCAGTTCGCTAACCAATGCGTCATCCAAATTAAGTGTTACGTGAAATTGTAAAAAAAGGCCGATATTATAATGTTACATTTGGTTTCACAGACTCTGATCGTCACCTTTCAAGTATTAGGCCCACATGAGTCAAGAATCCTCTTGGATGAATCAACGTGTAAACTGTAAAGGTGCCGCCCATGCAACTGCTTGTTTATGCCACCACAGATGGAAGAGCCTCTGCTAAAGAGAGGTCTAGAGAGCTGCTCCAAAGGGGATTTAGTCTACTTTTCCACATTGACCAGACATCCCAGAAGAGGTGGGAGTATCCAAACTTTATCCCAACCACACATGGCCTGCCGATCGATCCACTGACTGTGGTGTATCCATTTATCCTTCTTGGTGGACAAGGGTGGAGGGATTTAAGACACTTTCCCATTGTTGCAACTTCCATGCCTGGAGATTAGGCTGGCAGCCTAAAACTATAAACGATTTTTTTTATATTACCAAGAAAGGCCCACTGAGCTGTGTAGCGCTGTTTTGCAGAAGCGAGCTGGCCACAAATGATAGCTCAACGAAGTGGCTTATCATGTGGAAATTTATCACAGCCAAATACTCAAAATGCATGTTTCTAAATGTGAAGGGAAAAACCGGAGGACCTGGAGAAGAATGCACACGACCACAGGGAGAACATTCAAACTCCAACTATATAAAACCCACGACCTCCAATATAACAGGCAAGTTAGTTTGCCACCTCTGTGTGTTAACCATTATACCATGGCAGCATGCAATCTTTCAGTACTGCAATGAAAACGCAACAAAAGAACTAAACACGTGAATGAATGTGAACGTACATTTTTTTTCCTACCCAGTATAGATAGTAAATAAATATAGGAAATAAACAGCCAGACACGTGACACTGGAATTTGTGACAGGAGAATATATGAGCATGCAGCTGTGAAATAAGAATTGTGGGCATTCTTGTCATGGCGCCATTGGATCCACCAATGGTGGCTGACACGTGGTTGCCCCCCAATTACAGTTAACAGCACTGGTGCCAGCCCCAATAATAGGCTCGGAAGAATTACATAATAAAATTGACAAAGGGTGTAAGGCTAACCCTTGTGTAAAATTAGCCACGGTTGTAAATGCACCTCTCAGATGTAACAGCAAGGAGTACAAGGACTGGAAAATGGCAGTGTCAGTGTTTGAAATGAGGCTTGAAATCAGCAAACGGGAAAGGTGGTGTAGCTTGTGTGTAATTATGTCTGGGTCAGGTGATATGCTGCAATGGTTAGTTTAACAGATGCACAGATCCCAGTGGGGGAGCAATGGGAAGATGCACCCAAGGATACAATAAACACCCCACCATCTGTAGAGACGATAATTGCCCTTGGGGCGAGTAGCAGTTAAAATAATGAAATACCCAATATTGAGTGTTGTAGCATGGTTGGCCTGGACCCTGGTGCAAGAAATGACTTAGGGCCCTTGTGCAATTTCCTCCTACCTCTTTGTAACCTAGCACCTGGGCCCTTTTGCCCGTGGGCCTTGGTGAATTTGCCCGGCTTGCACACTCGATTTCTGCCAATATGAGGTATTATTGACTCTATGGCACATGCCAAAGCATAGCACTGTGCTGTTGTGGCATGCACAGATGCAACGATAATGTTATCATTGGCAGCTCTGCAATTAACAAGCATCTTCCTAATGGCATCACACCGATCGGTTTGATATTGTCAGTATAAAAGGCTGTTCAATAAAATGCTGTTACAAAACAAACATGGTGGCATATCGAGGTTGTTTCTATGGTGATTTTTTTTTGTTTTTCATCGATTCAGTTGGATAGACATTTGGAGGTTTGCAATTTTCACGAGGCCTCACGCTAAAATACTCTCTGACCTCAGTAGCATTGTGCAAATCGGGATATAGAATTAAGATTGACAATTTGCAGACAGGCAGAAAGACATGTGGACACACGGGAAGAAAAATCACCGTCTGACAGACAAAGAGGCTGACTCACCCGGAGTCGGATGATGTTAACCTCCAAGCAGAGGAAGAGTGCATAGATTAAGACGAGCAACGCGGTGATGCAGAAGCGCAGCTCGCTGGGCCCCACGCCATGCTGGCAGAACTGAACCAGCTTCAGCAGCTTCATGGTGAAGGCCAACAGCCAGTATCCCAGCAGGGCTGCCGAAGACACAGACCCAGCAGAATTACTTTCTGAGATGGCACTCTCTCTTCCCTGTGTCCTTCGCTTTCTCTGTACTCCTTCCCTTCCCTACTACAGACTGTATCATACCTCTCTCTGTCCTCTTGTCTTTAATCAACTCCTCCTTTTGTTCTCTTTTCAAGCCTGCTTACCGCCCATCTCCCCATGGCCTACTTCTGCTTCCAGCATTTGTTTTCATTATCATGAGCCACGTATGTCATTGGTAAAAATACAACTTTTTATCATCTTCAATGAATCATCTGTATTTAATTACTAGAGATGGAAATATATGTTTTGAAAATGTTGTATACCGCCGAATACAAATTTTAAATGTATTCCTCTGTTAATGTCAAAATACTCCTGCAAATGAAATACTAAAGTTCGGTTAATAATTTAACCCATGGGCATGTTATGTTTGCTTAACAGACCACCATGTGATTTTTAACAAGATGTATTAAGTTAATATGAGACAATTAATTATTAAAATCAAAATTACAACTGATATAATTATAACTGTTCTGTTTTTCTTTGATCTCGAAGCGTGTCTTAAAAGTAATGTACAGTGAGGGAAAAAAAGTATTTGATTCCCTGCTGATTTTGTACGTTTGCCCACTGACAAAGAAATGATCAGTTTATAATGTTAATGATAGGTTTATTTGAACAGTGAGAGACAGAATAATAACAAAAAAATCCAGAAAAACGCATGTCAAAAATTTTATAAATTGATTTGCAATTTAATGAGGGAAATAAGTATTTGACCCCCTCTCAATCAGAAAGATTTCTGGCTCCCAGGTGTCTTTTATACAGGTAACGAGCTGAGATTAAGAGCACACTCTTAAAGGGAGTGCTCCTAATCTCAGCTTGTTACCTGTATACAAGACACCTGTCCACAGAAGCAATCAATCAATCAGATTCCAAACTCTCCACCATAGCCAAGACCAAAGAGCTCTCCAAGAATGTCAGGGACAAGATTGTAGACCTACACAAGGCTGGAATGGGCTACAAGACCATTGCCAAGCAGCTTGGTGAGAAGGTGACAACAGTTGGTGCGATTATTCGCAAATGGAAGAAACACAAAAGAACTGTCTGTCTCCCTCGGCCTGGGGCTCCATGCAAAATCTCACCTCGTGGAGTTGCAATGATCAAGAGAACGGTGGTAAATCAGCCCAGAACTACACGGGAGGATCTTGTCAATGATCTCAAGGCAGCTGGGACCATAGTCACCAAGAAAACAATTGGTAACACACTACGCCGTGAAGGACTGAAATCCTGCAGCGCCCGCAAGGTTCCCCTGCTCAAGAAAGCACATATACATGCCCGCCTGAAGTTTGCCAATGAACATCTGAATGATTCAGAGGACAACTGGGTGAAAGTATTGTGGTCAGATGAGACCAAAATGGAGCTCTTTGGCATCAACTCAACTCGCCGTGTTTGGAGGAGGAGGAATGCTGCCTATGACCCCAAGAACACCATCCCCACCGTCAAACATGGAGGTGGAAACATTATGCTTTGGGGGTGTTTTTCTGCTAAGGGGACAAGACAACTTCACCGCATCAAAGGGACGATGGACAGGGCCATGTACCGTCAAATCTTGGGTTAGAACCTCCTTCCCTCAGCCAGGGCATTGAAAATGGGTCGTGGATTGGTATTCCAGCATGCCAATGACCCAAAACACACGGCCAAGGCAACAAAGGAGCGGCTCAAGAAGAAGCACATTAAGGTCCTGGAGTGGCCTAACCAGTCTCCAGACCTTAATCCCATAGAAATTATGTGGAGGGAGCTGAAGGTTCGAGTTGCCAAACGTCAGCCTCGAAACCTTAATGACTTGGAGAAGATCTGCAAAGAGGAGTGGGACAAAATTCCTCCTGAGATGTGTGCAAAACTGGTGGCCAACTAAAAGAAACGTCTGACCTCTGTGATTGCCAACAAGGGTTTTGCCACCAAGTACTAAGTCATGTTTTGCAGAGGGGTCAAATACTTATTTCCCTCATTAAAATGCAAATCAATTTATAACATTTTTGACATGCGTTTTTCTGGATTTTGTTCAAATAAACCTACCATTAAAATTATAGACTGATCATTTCTTTGTCAGTGGGCAAACGTACAAAATCAGCAGGGGATCAAATACTTTTTTCCCTCACTGTATTCCCTGACACTCCACAGCATGCACATGTAGAGCCCATTGTGAATCCGCTGCTGGATAAGGGCCTCCCCACGCTGTGCAGATCATTGAAATTATATGAGCAGACTTCACCACGCTGGTCAGTAGGGGTTGGCGAAGGTGGGGAGCATGGATGTTAGGAACATAGAAGTACAATACAATTGATTGTTCTGCCCTGCGATCTGCTTGCCAATAACGCAGCCCTGCTCTAAGTGTACAATTAACAGCTAAATAAAATACTGCACAGACAGGAATGTAAGATATGTGGCTTACCCAGCAAGAGCTTCGGGAAGTTGGACGTCTCGATGTTGTGGTAATAGACGATGGAGGCCAAGCCAGCGATGAACCCCATCATGGGTGGCATGTAGAGGTGGAGGTGGCTCGTTGGCAGGAAGCTGCAATCAAATCCAGAAGAGTGCGATATCGGGTTTGTACCTGTGGTGGTGGTGTGTGTGTTTCGGTAACGAGGCTTACTCATGTGAGGCATTAATTTGGCTTTAATTTGGTGATCAAGGTAAATGTCCCAAGTTCAATATGTTTTCACTCAACGGGCACGAATGAACATGCAACGTCTGACTTGTGCGCCGACAAAAACTCCTGAAGAAAATGTGGCAATCTGTGCAGCGTGAGTGTTTCTGAATAGCTTGTAAAAAGCTAATTAAATCCCAATGACAATGAGAAAGAAGACAGCGCACCAGTGATGCTTTTATAACCAAAATATTGCACAGACTGCCGGCATCATTTTTTTAAAAGAAATCAGTTTTGAAAACTGTGAACGCAAATTAAAAAATAATTCAATTAATTTGAAGTATCATTTCCAAAAATAATACTGTAACGTAATCCATCCACTCATTAGAGCCTTGCCATATAACAGGTGCTTGCTGGCACCAATTCCAACAGGCATCTAGGCTAAAAATTACATCTTTATGCGCATGGTGGTGTGTACGTGTGTGTGTGGATGGAGCATTGCGTAAACACCAGCAGTGAGGAGACAAAGGTGACCTCACCACCGAGTGTGGTGCTGGCGTGCACTGTGCTGGCCTTAACTGGTGCTTGCTAATAAGGCATGGCTCAATACCCTATGTTGGCTAAGCTGAAGATCTCTTCACGTGGATATAGTAGTTCAGTGGTTATCCCTTTTAATTGCGCACGTGAGTTTCATACCCGGTTATGGATAACATAAGTGGTCAATAGTATACTTTCAGAACCTGTCTGTTCTTGGGCATCCATCCTGTGGATTTATTCAGCCTTAAATGCCAAGTGTGACCATCAGCACAGGGGGAGACAAAGGTGGCTGTGCGTGGTGTTGGCCACACTCTTGTGTGCGTCAGACCAGCTTATATGGGTGTCTCGCGAACAGCTCTTACAGTCTATTTGGCTGTCGGTGGTGTGTGCGTCTTTGTTTTGTCTGAATTGGTGGCAGACTTTTGTTAAGAACAGGCAGGAGGTGGAGCAATGATGGAAGAGGTCGTCGGGTGGTTCAAAGAGAAATCTGGCAGGAGGCGGCACGTATTGTATAATCGGCATAATTACAATCCATACGGCGTTCTGTATGTATGCTGAACTTCTTTCACGTCGTACATAGCCAGCCGTGCTAATCCGAGGTGTCTGCTCGTGTTCTATTAGTGAGCATTCAATCCACTGCTGGATGAATGCCTCTCAATGGCTTTACTTCGCAACGGGGGTTATTTGACCATACTTCACCATGCTGGTCAGCGCGGGTTGGTGCAGGCAGGAAGCAAAGTGTAGACGGAGCAAAGGGCAGTACCATGGATTCTGCCGCACTGCCCTCTGTTGACAGCACAACCCCGGCAACAGCCTACAACTGTCCGAGCGAATCGCGTGGGGGATGTGATTGATCGCGTCCCGTCTCGGAAGCCAACCAAGTAGGTTTGGACAGTGTTTGGATGGGTGACCACCAGGAAAAATGACATTGCTCCTCTTATGTATGTTGAACTTCTTTTGTAACGTACGTATACAACCGTGCTAATTGGAGGTGCGGGGAAGGACAACAAATTAAACACCAATAGTTCTTAAGAAATTAGTTTGCAATCTAGACTTAAAAGTGCATAGCTCCAGTGGCTTGCTAACATCGAAAGGAAGAGCGTTCCAGACGGCCGCAGAAGCGCATCTGAAAGCGCGCGATGCGGTGATCGTCTTAGTTCGATGGCGAAGCCAAAAGCCGCTGCGAGGATGACCGAAGTTCGCGTGATGGTGTATGCACCTTGACGAGATCAGCGAATGTATGGTCGTTCATGTGTGGCAAAGCACTTTGTGTGCAACGAGTGCGACCTTGTAAACGTATTCGTTCGGCAAACCGCAAGCCAATGCAGCTCGGCGAGCACTGGACAAACGCGGTCGGATCTTGCAGTACCGGTCGAGGGCTGCTCACCTGTCCGAGACCATGCCCTCGGCGATCTCGCAGAAGCCCACGAAGAAGAGGGTGAATGTGAGGACCCATCGCAGGCTATGCCCCGGGAAGTGTAGCCACGTGCTGTGGTGGATCTGCACCTTGGAGCTCTGGCTGCCCCAGCCTGCACCGCAGTCAATGGGCAACAACAAAGAGCGTAGTCCATCACTGTCACATGAGGCAGTGTCGCAATGGTAAATATAACTTAAACCCAAAACCTTTGCATATATAGACACTCATCTGCGGCAGTATTACCTGCGACTCCCACTATCTGTGGACCCAATCGGACCCCAAAGAATATATGTGTAGATTCATTCTTGTCATTACATTATCCTCGTTTTATACACATTGACACAGACTCGCACTGAGGTCATGAACCGGGCATGATCATGGCACACACAAGAAATCTTGAGCTTAGGAGAGAAGGGTTGGTGAATCACGCAGATGTTTGTCTCTCCCACACGCTGCTGTAAGGTGGCTAGGAAATGGCAGTACGGAAATTGTGATCATGAACCCGTCTGTGTGAACCTTTGAGCGTTATCCTCTCGCGTGCGTTGGATTTCTCTGGGTCCATAGGTTTCTTCTCACATACAAAATAGTCTTGAGACCTCGATAAATAAATGGCATTGGTTTATTTTTTAATGAATAGGCATTCAGTCCTCGGGTCACATCAGTAGTCAGTGTTACCTCAAGTGGCAAAACTAGTGGTACTGATGTCTTTATGTGACCAATAAAAGTGAGTTACTATAATGCGATTGCTAATTAACAATTTTTATTGGTCCATATCAAGAAATTACATTTATAATGATGAAACATTTCCACCTCAAGCGGTAGTGATAAACAAAACCTGCACAGTTGGGCCCCTAAACTAACAGTAGGCATGTGGTATTATAGAAATTAATATATTACAAAGGATGCTCACACTCGCAATACAGGAATCGAATTGTGTACATGAGAATCGTTTACATATCGACTATATATTATGTGTTTATTTGACATCTACAGCCACTAGCGGTGTTGTATTCGCCTAAGTATTTTAACATCACCCTAAATCATGACAAATTAATCATTTAGCGGGACCCTGGGGTCCCGCAAAAATCAGGTCAATAATAATTATTTTTCAGTCCGCCCACTCGTGATCCCGACAGCAACGCGCCGCCCGCCCAGACTCGCACCAACAAGCGCCAGCAGCAGGCGGTGATCAACACGATGGGCACCACCCCACCGGCCAAACGCCAGCCCCGGGGGGCGTCCGCTGCAGTCGCGCGCGGCGACGACGCCCTCCGGTCAGCCGTCGATCCTCAGCTTCTTTGCCAAGGCGAGCCCGCCCCCCCAGGCAGTCAATTTAACGTGTTTATGTAATTTTTAAACTTTGTACGAAACTTAGTGTCCCGAGTAGTTCTCGACGAGGCCAATCGATTGACACTAGTTTTGTTGTCGGTAAGGCGACAAGACTCGTGTCGCTACGCGGTTTTTCCCACCCCGGGGCAGTGATGGGACCCCGGGGTCTCGCCAATTGCTTCAATTCATAATTACCCAACAGGTCACTTTGTAATAAAAGCATGACTCCTTTTGCTTGTTGGCTGCTCATCAAATTCTGTCATGTTTGATTTGACAACATTTTTTGGAGTAGAAATGTGTGCATGCGATACTGTATTAACTTAAATGCGCACATCCAAAAAAAAACTTTTTTACTTAATTGTACATTTATAATAATAGTTTACTCAATAAGGTTCAATACGGCAGTAGCATGACAGTTACTCAGTGTCCTCTGGCCGCTGCTCTGAGTGCACTGAAACTGACACGCACAAATTCACAAAGACATTCGAGCACTGTTGATATTTTCCTGAGCAAATCTTTCACCGGCCAATGTGCCTTCGGTCTGACGGGTTTTGCCACAGATGCCGGTGAGATTCCCACAAGATTAGTCTTCGCTGTCACAACAGTCACGCACCGGGACATTGCCAATGAAAACTCCCCGAATGTTTGTGATTGTGCCCAATTGGGATGTGCAACATACTGATATATGCAGAGTCGTTTAACGTTGCCAAAACAAATGTCCTCTTACCGATTCTACAGTGTATCTTAGAAATAACATCGGCAGACATACTATATCTCCCATATAATTGTAGGCACATTGGGAGACCCTGAGATTGTCTTTATTGGGGAAAATATGACACAGTGCAAAAGCTGAATAAGAATTGCTGACTTGCATTTAGCTGTGTATACAAACTGCACATTAACGTCACGGGCCAGGCATTGTAATTTATTTGCATACATTAACCCCCCCTCTGGCCTTCGTTCCTGAGTGACATCACATTTATCCCTCTATTTAAGAACGAAACAGGAGGATTTCTCTACAAACCTGGCTGTCACCTGATGATGTTGGTGTAATTACTGGCGAAACGTCATACTCAGATTGTAAATGTTGTGGGTTTACCCTCAAACACACCGGTGTGCTGTACTAGCAACGAATTGCCATGTTTTGTTTACGTGACAAACCTTACTAATTGGCTGTGTCGGGTGGTGGCAGGTTTAACAACACGTTTATATTAACGCGATTTAACCCAAAAAAACCTCTATTATGGTTAATATTGCTCGCGAAAGCCTACGTGTTAAACAGGGAGTCCCAGTTGAATACGATCCTGTAACGACAGCGTATGATTGTTCATTCAAGAATAGGCTGTGGTGTTCAGTGGTGTCTGAAATGTTTTTCTTTACATTTTAAATCGTTTGTAAAAATGTATTTTATATAGATAGTCAATATCTATATACCATGACATTCTATAAATGAACTAAATAAGTCTTCCTGGAAATAACAAGGGGTTTTTTTTTCTTTCAAGGAAACGTATACACTAAGGGCACTCAACCCCTGAATTAGCCCGTCAATTCTAAGACCCACTGTAACACCTCCAAGCGATTCAAGGTGAAGCGGAGTGGCAGATCGCAGTGCCTGGCGTAGTATGAACACCATCGGTGGTCTCATCTCTTGCCTATGAAGAGGATGGGGCACGTGATGAAGAGCAGGAAGACGTGAGGCACCAGGTTGAGAGCATCCACAAAGCAGGCATTTTTGAGGACGCCCTTGTCCACGCTGTAAGCGGAGCTGTTGTCACTTCCGCAGAAGGAGAGAGGCATCCTTCACCCAGGCAGCTTCAAATGGCAGGTACTGCCAATTCCTCCTGAAGTTCACCTGTTTAATGATGCAAAATAGTTGCTGTACCTGTATCGGTAATTAAAAACACACACACACACAGCGGGAATTTTAAGAATTTCAAGATTGCAGATAAAATTACATATGCAGTACCAATGACGTGTATTATTGTAGTTTTTATTCAATTAACTTCAGACATGCCTTTGGGTTTTAGCACCACCTTGCTATCATGGCTACGAGATATTTACCGTATTTTCCCGCATATAACCCGCAGACGCATATACCCCGCAAAAATAGCGTTTTGTGTAAAACAAATTTCAGATAGCCCGCACCTCCATATACCCAGCAGGGTCTTGTTTGTAGAAAGTGGTATATCCCGCGGGTTATGTGTGGGGAAAATACGGTAGTTCAATGGATGGATGATAAATGGCACACAATGCCCACTCTCCAGCTTTGCCTTTTCCAAACATGCAGTGGCGTAGTCTCTGGTGATTCCTCAATATCCATTGCTTCGTGATTCGCAGATTGCAGTCCGGTGGTCTTTTGCAAAATGTGATCTCAAAAAAAATGTGCATTTTGGAAAGAGGGATTTTTTTAATGCAGATGTTTGTGTATTCATTATTATCCACGTACTACTCTTGGTTTTCTCAATATCAGTAGGGTTATGGTTTAAATTGCATTGTATTGACTTGTGGGCCTTATATAAGCCCTGTTCCATACCAGTTGACGAGGTAATATATCCCTTGCCCTAATTACGTTATCGGGGACATTGAGAGATTACTGCACTTGAAAAATAAGCTGCTTCACCGCAGCTGTACAGACTTTTTATTAACGCTTTGAAATTTGGCAATGGAGGGAAGGTGGCAGTGACAGGAGTTTGAACAAACAACGTTAAGACAAGGACCATTCACGATGACGAGCTGGAGTATTATGCAATCGCTGATGTAATTTCTCACACGAAAAAGACTCCCGTTTGGTACCAGTACACATTTAACGTTACAGTACTACATTTGCTCAGTGCCAACCCTTAAGCACTCGCGTCGTTAACATCTCTGGGACTCGCAATGAACGAAAGCACGTGCCGCTTAAATACACGCGCTTCGATCCAGCCTCTGTATCTCGCCACATGCACTGTATCGCACTCTCGCCACCCTTCCAATGGCACTCACAGAGGCTGACCGACAAAGTTCACTCAACTCTCAGTGGACACTCGCGACAACAGTTTACCTTCGAAGTCACAACGGGCGACGGGGAAAATAAGAGCGGCTGACGTTCAATCGCCCAATCGGTTTTTGCCGACTGCGGGACCCCGCACGAACGAGGGAAGCCGAGGGGTGAGCCAGTCCGCCACTGCTCGGGTTATTTTTAGGAAAAGAGAGTGGAGTGGTGGTGGGGTGCTGATGGCACTGGGAACTGAGAAGGGATGGGCGAGTTGGGGCTCGGGTGATTATTTGGGCTTGCTGTGAGTAATGGGACGAGTAAGAATGTTCAAGTCAGGGAGGTACACCCCAGCCCCCCCCCCCTGTTCAGCTGCTTGGAGTTTTAATATTCATTGCCCCGCAGCTGCTTCAGAGGATCATGGCGAATCGCAGAGAATGGAGGGCATTGCACAGGATACAAGTCATCCCCGCAAGGAAACGCAACTGATTAAATAAGCGTTATCCTCCAATCTACCCACCACACTTCCCGCACTTTAACGGTGCACGCTGTGTTCACCGGCAATCTGCTCGGATTACATTCGGGGGAACTTGCACTGCAGTTGACACGATGCGCCACACTCATTGCACGTCGGGATGTTTAATCATAGCGAACGTGGCAGCAGAATATGCGATGAGGAGTGACATTCGTGTGTTTCGTTAATCGCTGACCATACACACCCAGCGCAGTTGTGCTCCCTAAGGTCACTGAGATGCAGAAGTCAAGGAGACCTCATTAATAGTCTTACACCTACACCGCTCGACTCACTGTGAATTAAATACTATATACGCTTAATTAAGCCATTTGCTTTGGCGAGCTTTCAAAAAAACGAACCTTTTTGTAAAATATTTTTACAAATTGTTTACGTTTTTTGACGTTTCCCAGGAGCAGCAGTAAAGGTTCCAGTTAATTTTCTCATGAAAATGTGCGACACGCATTTACCAAGATCGGGCACAGTAAATCACCACAATGAGATCATGCATGATACAAACTTGTGACTTCCACATTTTATTTGGTTTTGTTATTTACACTAAACCGATATGCGTTAGCTTCCATGAAAACATAATCACACACTTTCTTCTGCCAACTCTAAATTTTATGTTGAGCATCACTTGCCATCATATATGTAAAAATATGTATCGTATGATGCCAATGGCATACACTGTACCAAATACATGAATCCACCACTAACAATATTAATCTTCTCACCTTAAATCAATGATTCTTAATCTTTACTCCAGCTTTGCGCTCCTTTGCTTCTCAATAATTAAACAACGTATAATGTTATATTCTTTAGGCCTTTCGGTAAAGATAGTTTCAAAGAAAAAAAACTACTACGACGTTTCAATCGCAACACAAGCAGTCGTCATCAGGAAAAGGGGGTTAGCTTCTAAAGGTAAACTGTTTGTAAAGGTTTGAAATGGGCGTAGCCCAAATGTCAGCAGCATGGGCGGGGCAGCTTATGTTAATGTGAGTGGTGGGCAGCAACCGAGGTGGTGGTGGGTTTTCCACCAATGAAAGGGCTGCCAGATACAAATTTGCATATTAATGTAAGCTCGGCGAGCGGTTTCCACGGCGAGCGCGCTGAGGTGGCTATGTTGAAACAACGTAGTTGTACTTACGTGCCAGTGCTTAATTTGTATTTCAATGATTTACCTTGTAAAAAAAAATACCTGGTATGTCTCCCACCCCCAGAAAGGGCATCTTGCACTCCAGGTTAAGAACCGCTGCTTGAAATTATTACCAGTACTGTAACCAGTATTACCTCTGTGCTCAAGAGACAATTGATCTCATTGGGTTCTCAATTGATGAATGGATTGTTTGGCTGGTTCCAGCAGTGCGTATCTCGAGACAGTATCACATGTTGTATTCCTAAACCACGATTGTCCTTGGCTGATAAAGCAAAAGTGTAAATATTTGCAGGGTGCGGATGCCGATGATGAAAATATATTGCACATACCAGAAATGCTAATTCCTTTTTCAGAAATTATTTATTGCTGTTGTGGATGCATTGAATATTTCAAATGCATTAAACACACCATTATCAATAATATTTGGTAAACTAAAACTTCAGCAAGGCTTGGGGCATTTTACCAACTCTTATGATTCGTTAATGATTTGGATAGTTGTTCTGCCTCACGGCAGGTGTGGGGGTGTGTGTACACAGGCATTTCCTGTTTGGATGTTGAGTTTGGTCACGTGACCAGGAAGTGACGATTTGACAGCCTCTAAGCCATTGCGGCAGGTTATCAGCCATTACACAGAGTACAATATGGTGGCACAAATAGCGTCCCAAAGAAGACAGCTGTAACTGTTCATTGTGGGACTTTAACAAGCATTGTCTGTAAGTTCGTTTATGTTCTTATAATACTGGGAATGCTGTTAGAATGGCCGTTATAATGCTGTAAATGCCTTTATAATGCTGTTAAATTGTTATGACAAATATGAGGCCTAGTTAACAACGAAGCCTGCCACTTGCCTTATTGTGAATGTTACTTGTAATTGAATAAGTCGAGTCAGACTTGTACCCATATATCCTTATTGCGATCTTGAGAACAAGGATGACGAAATATCTCATCCACAGTTCAGTGTTATGTGTAGTGCTGTACATTTAGGCTGCAGTAGCTTATTCTCTTGTATAGCTATTCAGTACTAATCTAGGTGCCTGGTCCATCCAGGATCTATTGAGTTTCATGTTATCTAAGACAATGTTATGATGCTGTGGTGTTACTTCATTGTATTGATATTTCCAAGTATTAACGGATGCTGTATTTGTGCTGTGTTTTTCCATCAGTTTTACCTCGTTCAATTCATTAAATACGTTTGGAGTCGGATGGTCACCCTGGCTCTGAAGGTTTATTGAATGCGAGGTTATCTACTCAGATAGTGGTGCAACGCAGCGCACAGCGAGGCCGAGACAGCAAAAATACATTCTTCTTGGAGCTCTCAACCAGCCAGCTCCTCAGGCTTGGAGCTCTCAAGCAACCAGCTCTGCAGCTAGTCTACATTAAATTTGTGTTGCAAGCATCGCAGCATGGAAAGCAACAGTTCAGCAGGGAGAGATGCTGAAGCAGGTCATTTAAGCAATCCAGGACCTCCCATCCTGCCTCAAGAGGACCAAGGGAGTTCAAGGCCCAGAGAGAGGTCAGGCTGACACAAAGGGCCTTGGAAAGCTATGATGCTGAGAAGCAAGACCTTGATGTCAGGATACAAAGGGTATGGGACCGGGTTGAAGCAGATATATCTGAAGCCCAAAACGCCTCAGACAGTGGCCTCAATTCAACGGGCCATACAGCGAGTGAAGGTGAGCAGTTAGATCTACAAGCTGCTGGCAAATAAATACATCTCCCTCCTGAAGAAGGGTAAAACAGAAGAGGGCATCGAGGGAGTGTGCATGCAAGAGCTGCTCGATGATAATGTGAAGGCAGTGATTCAAGACGCAATTGACCATGTGGAGGGTTTAAGAGAGACACGATCTCAGCACTCTGTCTCATCCAAGTCCACCACAAGATTTAAAGGCTCAGCACACTCATAGATATCATCTACCAGTATGGCAGCAGTTCAGGCACGTGCAGCAGCAGAAGCAGCAAATGCCCATATCGCCTACATGGCTGAAGAGGAAGCCATGCTAATTGAAAAGGCCCGCATACAAGAAGAAGCAAGTATAGCAACAGCTGCCGCTCTTCATAAGAAAGCAGAGCTGGAAGAACAAGAGAGTACATGAATGGCTACTGCCACACGGAGGAAAGCAGAGCTTGAAGAGCAAGAAAGTATATTAGTGGCTACT